TTGCCTGCTTCTACTGAGTTCCTGACCTGTAGGGGAGACAGATGCGTTCCCTGACAGGTTTGCAGGCAGCCCTTTGTATCTGTTACTTTCCAATGTAGTCTTTATTGTGCTTGGGAGGAAATGTCCTGAAGCAGAGAGCTGCAGCCCTGTGTCCCTGACTTCAGGAGGGAGAGCCCTGGGCTCCAATCCTTGGCCTCTTGGGTTATGGGAAACAGCTGGAAAGGGAATCGAAGTCCACTCTGACCCATAGCTGCGTGATGTGCACAAAACGCTCTCCCTCTCTAGCCCTCGATTTTCTTGTCTATTAAACAGCATGCCCCACAGGGCTGGGGCAAATGAGACATGAAGGGTGAAAATGCTTTTTGGACAAAGAGGAGGAGCTCTAAGTGGCTACAGGAGAGGTGCTACATATATTTTACAATTCTTTGTTTTTTTTGTTATTTTGTTTTTTGAAACAAGAGTCTCATTCCATTGCACAGGCTAGAGTGCAATGGTGCAATCTTGGTTCACTGCAACTTCCGCCTTCCAGGTTCAAGTGATTCTCCTGCCCCTGCCTCCCCAGTAGCTGGGAATACAGGCACCCACCACTATGCCTGACTAATTTTTGTATTTTAGTAGAGATGGAGTTTCATCATGTTAGCTAGGCTGGTCTCAATTTCCTGACCTCAAGTGATCCGCCCACCTTGGACTCCCAAAGTGCTGAGATTACAGGCATGAGCCACCACACCCAGCCTATTTTACAATTTTAAACATGATAGAACTGTAGAATGCAGATATCAAGACTCTCTTAGAATTCCATTTGGGGTGTGTACCTTAAATCTTGTGTTGTTTATGCAGAGACCAACATTATATATACACATGTGACCTCTTCATTGAAATTGGATCATCACGTGCTATTTAAAAGTTATCGATGTTGGACTACTTTCCATGTCAATATATAAACATCCATTTCTTTATTTTTACCAGCTGCAAAATATCCCATGAACAGACTAAAATCTGACCCTTCATTGATGGATGTTTGGATTGCTGAACCACTGGAGGAAATTCAGTGAGAGCAAATGGAAGTGTAATGTATGTCACCCGGCAGATCAAAGTGAGAGTTCTATGACAGGAGACAGTAAAGCTAGAAGTGGGGGAGAGCTAAGTGAATCAACATGTTGCAGTTGGAGCTCAGAATCACACCACCCAAGAGGCAGGCAGCAGTGCGGCCAGAAGGCACTGATAGCTGTGGCCAGAGCTCCCTGTGGCTCCCAGCAGTGGGACCAGATGCAAACCTGACCACATGTCTGGGCTTCCTATACCCTGTTCAGTCTTTACTGAGTCAGAGGCTGTTTTAAGAGATGAGCACACCCATCTTACAGCAGAATTTCTTATGGATATTGCTGCTGTCCTGGACTGTTCATCTATTCTGGGACGTTGGCCCAGCTCCGGCCTCATCCTTGAATGCTGGGTGAATGTTGCTGGGGGCCTTGCTAGCGTGCACGAGGGCCTCCACACAATTTAGTTGCTCTCTGTTGTGCACAATGATCTTGGTACCATTAGGATGTCTTTGTCCATTGGCCTGATTATTTCCTTAAGATAAATTCCTAAGAAATCAAACGGCCAAGTCAATATGTAGTATATTTTCATGGTTTGCTACTGACTAAAGATATTAAGGGTACAAAACAGAAACCAGAATTAGATGCAGAGTCACAGGGGAGTTTTGTTACCAAGACGTCATTTTTAATCAGGGAGAAAAGATGGGTTATGGAGTAAATGGTGTTGGAACAATAGGCTAGCCACCTGAAGAAAAATAACCCCACTCCTTATACAAAATGAATTCCAATGACAGCTAAGATATTAAAAACATGTTTTAAAAAAGGAGGGAAATATTTATATGATCTTGATAAGGGAGTGGCCTTAAGTACAAAAGCAACAAGTCATTAATTAAAAGCCTGATAAGTCTGACTCCATGAAAATTAAAAATTTCTATGAAAAAAACACCGTAAAGTTAAAAATCAATCAACAAACTGGAAAATAGATCCATAACATATGTAAGAGACAGACAGCTGACTTTGGTATTACTCATAAAAAGCTATTACAAATCATCAAACAAAAGATCCACAGCCAAAATGAAAAAATGAAGAGACAGTTCAAAGGCAAACAAGTGCAGATCATTTTTTAACATAAGGAAATGTCAAAATATTTGACAAGTCTCTGTGTTGGCCTGGGTGTGGCCATGAGTGGTGGGTGCCGGTGGTATTCACAAATATACCCTTTCTCCTCCTTCTGGGCACTTGGTGCGATTGCAGATTCCTACATTTAACCTTAGGTGCGGTCCTGTGTCTTGCTCAGGAGGAGGAAACGTGAGTGGAAGTGGTGTGGGTCACTTTTGGGTGGAAGCTGCATGGAGCCACCTCTGCCTTCTGTCAGCCTCAGTGTTCAGCAATGTTCTGAATGACGGTTGCTTTATCAGTCTAGTTCTGGGGTGAGGTTAATAAATAAGGAAGCAAAGTCCTTGATGGACATGTGGCGTGAGGGAGAAATAAACCTTTGACGTTTCAAGCCCCTGAGATTTGGGGCGTGCATGTGCTGGAAGCAGAACTTAGCCTATTCTGATGGAGTCCTCCAGCATTGCCGTGGGAGGACATCACCAATATATAGCATTCATGTGCCCTTTGTCTCGAAATTCCACTTCCAGGAATTTATGAAGCAGATAGTCTCACATGTGCAAAGAGCTATGGATAAGGATAGTTCACAGCTATCAGATACTCTCACATGTATAAAGAAATACTCACATGTGAAACAGATACTCCTACATGTAAAGAGCTATAAGGATAGTCATGGCAGCTTTGACTGTAAAAGCAAAAGACAGAAACAGCAACCAATAGGAACTTGGCTAAAGACATTGTGCCAATGTCTTTAGAATTGTCTAAAGAATGAAATACTCTGCAGCCAGAAAAATAAGGCAGTAGACGTCAGTGCACCAGTGCAGTTTTTACCCCAAGATCAGGGCTGGGTTAAGATGTTAGATTAAGTTGTCCTTCTTCACCCCACAAATATAAATAAAAAGTAAGTCATAAATATTTTTACAATTTTAAAAAGTGGCTTAAAAAGCCCATCCAAAATAGTTTTATAAAAGTAGACCATCAAGGCCGGGCGTGGTGGCTCACGCCTGTAATCTCAGCACTTTGGGAGACCGAGGTGGGCAGATTATCTGAGGTCAGGAGTTCGAGAGCAGTCTGGCCAACATGGTGAAACTCCGTCTCTAAAAAAAAAAAAAGTAGACCATCAATAGCAAAGACCTGGAACCAACCTAAATGCCCATCGATGATAGACTGGACAGGGAAAATGTGGCACATATACACCATGGAATATTATGCAGCCATCAAAAATAATGAGTTCATATCCTTTGTAGGGACGTGGATGAACCTGGAAACCATCATTCTCAGCAAACTGACACAAGAACAGAAAATCAAACACTGCGTGTTGTCACTCATAGGTGGGTGTTGAGCAATGAAAATACATGGACACGGTGGGGGGAGCATCACTGGGGTCTGTTGGGGGGAAATAGGGGAGGGACAGCAGGGGTTGGGGAGTTGGGGAGAGATAGCATGGGGAGAAATGCCAGATATAGGTGATGGGGAGGAAGGCAGCAAATCACATTGCCACGTGTGTACCTATGCAACAACCTTGCATGTTCTTCGCATGTACCCCAAAACCTAAAATACAATTAAAAAAAAGTAGACTATCTCTGAAAAGATACCCAATAAATATTAAATTAGGTATATTAGTTTCCTGGGGCTGTTATAACAGGTTACCAGTAATCTGCTGGCTTCAAATAACAACAATGTATTCTCTTGCAGTTATGGAAGGCAGAGTTCTAGAATCAAGGGTTGCAGGGTGGTGACCTCTCCAAAGGCTGTGGGGAGGAACATTCCTTGCTTCTTCCAGCTCCTGGGGGCTCCTGATTCTGTAGCTTATGTCAGCGCAGCTCCAGTCGGCACTTCCATCTTTACGTAGGTGTCTCTGTGTCTCAGGTATCTTTCTCTTTTCTGATATTGGTCATTGGATTTAGGGCCTACCCTAAACCCAGGATAATCTCCTCATGTGATCCTTAGGTCAATTACATCTGCAGAGATCTCATTTCCAAGTAAGGTTACATTCACAGGTTCCAAGCGTTAGTCTTGAACTGACCTTTTTGGGAGACACCATTCAACCCTCTACCACGGCTAACAGTGGTTTCCCCTGGGAAGGTGGGTTTAGGAGTGGGAGGAAAATGAACTTTCTACTGTATCTTCTTTTGAACGATTCCAATTTTAAAAATCATTTACATGTAAATTTTAAAAATCGAACATCCACACGCAAAAATATCCCCTCCCTTGTGAAAAAGAGTATGTCCATTTAAAATGTACACTCATACAAATGGTGGCTGCAGACTCCAAGTTTCTGAGTTTGGAGAAGGTAGCTAGGGAGCGTAATAGTGAGTTCTGTCTATGCATTCAGGCTGTGAGGGGAAGGCACGGGCTAGAAGAGCATTTTGAGGGAGAGTAAAAGTGGCTTTTTTTTTTAAGATGGGGTTTCACCATGTTGGTCAGGCTGGTCTTGAACTCCTGACCTCAGGTGATCTGCCCGCCTTGGCCTCCAAAGTGCTTGGATTACAGGTGTGAGCCCCATGCCCAGCCGCCAAAAGTAGCATTTTTGAGGGGGAAGCCTTGAGGATGCTTGTGGGGTGAAGGGAAAGAATGACACAGGAAGAGAATTTGAGATAGGAGGAGAGGAGATAGTGGAGGTAGCTGATCCCTGCGGAGGCCAGACTGGGGCAGGGGAGGGTCAGTTGAGTATAGGAGGATAGTCCCCTCTGCCCTGAAGGAGGAAGGCAGGAGAGGAAAAGGATGAGTATTGACCCAGAAAGCACTTGTGGGAGAGGGGAGGCCTCAGAAGCGCATCTGACTGCTGGTACCTCTCAAGGGTTATTTGCTGGCCAGGGCGTAAGGGAAGGTGGGAGGAGGTGAAAGAACTCCTTTGGGCAACTTCTGGGAGGGGTAATGGGTGAGGGATGAAAGCCCTGCCAAGTGGCAGGAGGCCCCGCTGGGGCTGCCCCTCAAAGAGTGCAGTGGAGGATGTGGAATGAGAAGTGACTGCCCCTCTGGTTCCATCTGTCACAGAGCCCAGGGTGCTTCCTTCCTCCCCCACCCCCCTCAGAACACACCCATTACATGCTGGACAGCAGCCCCCTTACTGGGCCTGGGACATCCGTGTCCCTCTGTGCACAGGCTTCACATCCTTTGGGTGCAATGTAAGAACCCTTGGTAGGTGAGAAGCCAAGGTCCCAAAGGCGAGCAGCAGGGAAAGTTAACTCCCATCTATTCTTGCTCCAGGAGAAGGCCTTTGATGAGGAAGCTGCCAAAAGCAGCAAATACAACTCCAGTCACAGGCAGCAGGAAGGAGAGCCACCTCTGCCACCGTGGTCCACAAACCATGAGCTCCTACTCTGCTGTGATGGTGGGCTCAGTGGGGATAGCTCTGACCATACCTCATGGAGTCACTGTCAACCCCCTGGCTGCACAGTCTTTGTGCACTGGTTCTCTGGAGTGAGGTCTTTGCAAACAAAGTGGAAAGGGCACCAACTTTGGACTCCAGCACCTAGATTCAGAGCAGGTCATTTCACTCAGAATCTGCTGTGCATCTGCATGGGGGAATCATAAAGGCTCCTTTGTTTCTTCCCAGTATTGACAACCCTTCCAGTAAGAGCAAGCCTCATGTCATGCCACATGTACAATCTGAGGTCAAGGGCCCTCTTTCCCTTTTTCATCCTCCTGCTGGTACACAATAGGTGTTTACTGGATGCTTGTCCCGTTGAGTTCTTGAACATGGTAAAAGGAATCTTTCCAAATCGAATCTTCGGAAACACTGAGCTTGTGCCTGCCATGGAATTCTGAATTCTATATGACGTCTTTGCAAACATAAAACCTGAATCTTTGCAATATAAATCCCTTGAAATGCATGTAGGCTGAACATTAAAAGCAAGCAGTATCTTCAGGGAACAGCTAGTTGGTAAGGTCAGTGTGCAGGGTGCATAAAGGGCAGAGGTCGGAGGGGATCCTGGCTAAGTTTAGAAGGCTGCCAGGCAGGTGAAGGCTGCCAGGCAGGTTAAGGCCGGTGGAAAGAATTCGGTAGGGAGTGAGGAGTCCGCCTAGGATTCATTCAGGTTTACTGGTCCGCATGTGACAAGAAGGACCCAGGAAACACTGAAAAGGCGGGCCCAGCAGAACTCCCACGCAGGGTGAGAGGGGGGAGAGGAGGTGCCTCCAGAGCGCCGGCCGCCTTCCACCCAGTTAGGATTTGGGAATTTTTTTTCTTCCCTCTGCGCGTGATCTGACGCTGTTTGGGGAGGGCGAGGCCGAAACCTGATCCTCCAGTCCGGGGGTTCCGTTAATGTTTAATCAGATAGGATCGTCCGATGGGGCTCTGGTGGCGTGATCTCCGCGCCCCAGGCTTCAAGCACCCACACCCTAGGTTTCTGCAGTGGCGTCGAGGCGCGCAGGGTTGCAGGCGGGCGTCGCCGCTCAGTTCAGGGTCTGAGCCTGGAGGAGTGAGCCAAGCAGCGAGACTGTCTTGGGCCGGGACGCGTCGTTGCAGCGCACAGCTCCCACCAAGGACTTCGCGCGCCCCTTCGCACGCCCTGACCCTGAACTCCAGCTCCTGCACAGTCCTCCCCACTGCAAGGCACAAGGCGCCGCGGGCGTGGATTGCGCACAGCTTCTAGGTCTCTTCGCCAGGACCGCAGCCTCTCCTCTGGCCCTGATGGGCACCGTCAGCTCCAGGCGGCTGTGGTGGCCGCTGCCGCTGCTGTTGCTGCTGCTCCTGGGCCCCACAGGCACCCGTGCGCAGGAGGAGGACGACGACGACTACGAGGAGCTGGTGTTAGCCTTGCGTTCCGAGGAGGACGGCCTGGTCGACGCGCTCCAGCACGGAGCCACCGCCACCTTCCATCGCTGCGCCAAGGTGAGGGCTTAGGGGTGGGAGGCCAGGGCGAACTTGCAGCCGGGACGGTGAGGTGCTGTTTCCTCTCGGGCCTCAGTTTCTCCCCAATGTAAGAGAGGGAGTGGGGAGCGGGTCTCCGAGGGCTCTTTGCGTGCCACGATCATTGGGACTGCAGGCAAGGCGACCGGGGAGGACGGGTCGTAGTGGAGAGAGGGGACAGTCGGCTCTTTGGGGAAGCTCTGGGGCGTGTGGCTGCGCTAATCAGTGGGAAGGTTCGCGGGGGTGGGAGACTGGGAGGCCTAGAGAGGGCTAGCAGAGCACTGCCAGGATCTCCTGTCCAGATTTCAGACTTTCCGCCCCGCCGCGGCACAGGTGGGTGAAGGAGTTAATGCCTGGAACGCACTGGGAACCGCACCTGGCGCAGAGGAAGCCGGCTTGCTACTATTGTTGGTTCTGATTTGGTTTGGTTAAATATGGGCAGTGGAGGGTGAAGGGCCTGGAGCCGAGACAAGGGCAGGGTGGGAGGGACTACAGACGCTGGGAGAGCGAGGCAATTTCTTTATGGACCCAGAACTCAGGCTCTAAGAGTCCATCTGTTTCAGCTGAAGAAAAGAACCAGCTGAAGGGCCAGGGGAGAAGGGGCGGAGTTATTCTCGAGGCCCATTGGTGTCCTTTAGAACTCAGGCAGGGAAGGGCCCTTGGTGCTCTGGGGCCAGAGGTGGCGCGCCTGGTGCTGGGACCCCGGAGCTGAGCCCCACCCTCTGCCTGCATCAGGCCCTCAGGCTCTGGGAAGCTTCTTCCCGGGGCGGGGCCGCTAGTTTTTTTCTAAGTATTACTAGCCCAGGACTTGGCTGAGGTTCTGTGTCCCCCAGCTTAGAATCAGATCTCGGTCTGAAGCCTGCCTTTCTCTCATTAGCTCACTAGCTGTGGTGCTTGACAAGTCACCTAACCTTGAGCTCCATTGCCTGATCTTTAAAAGGGAGATGACAATCCTCCCTAAGGGTTCAGTGGCAGCAGGTGGAGAGATGAGGGAAAGTTCTGTTGACCCCCAGTGACCTCATGATGCAAGCCCAGGGAGGGATTACTTGCAGTTTTGTCCCTGTCTGCGGTGTGACCTGTTGGTGACATCGTCTCCAAACCACAGCTTCTGGGGCAGAGGGGAAAATTCTGCCACTCACAGCTGCGGGCCCACCCTTCTGTCTGAGTGTGCTGACTGGCTGGATGGCGTGCCCTTATTCAGCGCCCTTATTCAGTATAGCTCTCTTCCTTGTTCCCTGAGCCTTTGACCTTCTAGAGGGAGGTTGTGGGGTTGTGGCCAGGATAAGAAAGGACATATCAAATTACTACTGCTCCAAAAAATCTGTTCTGGAAGTAGCGAGTACCCCATCCTGCGAGGTGAGCAGGCAGGGGCTGTATGACCACCTGAACCAAGCCGCTGGGCATGTTTCTTCTCTGGTGGAAATTTGGAACACACCTCCTCAAGTTTATTCATTCATTCATTCAATGGATAAGTTGTGACACTCAAATTTAGAATGAAAATGTTTTTTGGCAAGCAGAAAAGGATTTTTAGACCAATCCTTTTCTTTTAGTCATGAGAAATTAAGGCCCAGAGAAAGGAGGTGCATCCCGAGTGCATTAGAACTGGGATTTCAGAATGCACATTCCGCTGCACAGTGTAGTCTCCCAATTCATTCAATTTTTATTTAGCAAAAGGCATTTTAGATGGGTCTTCGAAGCATTAGTAGGAGTTAAGCAATGACAGTGTCAGGACAATTTTATTCTAAGTGTAAGAGGTACTATGAACAAAGGTACAGAGCTGGGAAAACCAGAGGTGGAGGATAAGGAGCACGTGCCACAGTTCTTTTTCTTTCTTTCTTTCTTTTTTTTTTTGAGATGGAGTTTCCCTCTTGTTGTCCAGGCTGGAGTGCAATGGCATGGTCTTAGCTTACTGCAACCTCTGCCCCCTGGGTTCAAGTGATTCTCCTCCCTCAGCCTCCCAAGAAGCTGGAATTACAGGTGCCTGCCACCACGCCTGGCTAATTTTTTTTTTTTTTTTAGTAGAGATGGGGTTTCAGCATGTTGGCCAGGCCAGTCTCCAGTCTCAAACTCCTGACCTTAGGTGATCTGCCCACCTCGGCCTCCCAAAGTGCTGGGATTATGGGTGTGAGCCGCTGCACCCAGCCTCCACAGTTCTTTATCCATCTTCTGAAATGTAAGATGTTCTGAAAACCAAAAGGTTTTTTGTGATTTATTTGATGGTAGCACCCAACATGAACTGACATGAGATTATTTTAATCCATTTGTGTGAATATGCATATTCATATATTTTGCTGCACAGATTACAGTGTACAGCTCCAGATTCCTCCAAGCAGACTCTCTGATTGCCCATTACTGCCTTTCTAAAATCCAAACAAGTCTGAGGTTCAAAGCTGATTTGGCCCTAAGGCTTTGGGTAAATGGGGTGGACTCTGTTCTACTCTGACTGGAGTCCAAGATGCATATATACAGAGAAGTAGGTGATGAGCTGCAAAGGTGGGCTGAGTTAGGGGCCCAGGAGGAGCATGGAGTTTGGACTTGATCCATCAGGCAGTGGGGAGCCAGTTCTTTCTTCCTGTTCTTGAGCTGGTGTGTCTGCTTGAGAGCAGTTGGAGCAGGTAAGAGCTAAAACCAAACAAGTCATCTGCAGACAGTGGCTGCTATAGTTTGTTTGTCCCCTCCAAATCTCATGTGGAAATTTACTCCCCAGTGTTGAAAGTGGGGCCTAATGGGAGATGTCTGGGTTGTGGGGGAGGAACTCCCATGAAAGGCTTGGTGCCATCCTTGTGATAATGAGTAATGAGTAAGTAAGTTCTCCCTCTTATTTCCCTTGAAGGTTGATGATTAAAAAGAGCTTGGCACCTCCCTCCCTTCTCTCTTGCTTCTTCTCTTGCCATATGATTGATCTCCACACATGCAGGCTCCCCTTCACCTTCTGTCATCAGTGGAAGCAGCTTGAGGCCCTCACCAGAAGCAGATGCTGGTGCCATGCTTCCTGGAGAGTCTGCAGAACCAGGAGCTGGATAAATCCCTTTTCCTTATAAATTACCCACCATCAGGTATTCCTTTATATAGTAACACGAGAGAACTAAGACCGTGGCCCTGACCACTCTCTCTTTAAGAAGTGTTGCCGCCGGGTGCAGTGGCTCACACCTGTAATCCCCTTTGAGAGGCTGAGGCGAGCGGATCACCTGAGGTGGGGAGTTCAAGACCAGCCTGACCAACATGGAGAAACCCTGTTTCTACTAAAAATACAAAATTAGCTGGGCAGGGTGGCGCACTCCTGTAATCCCAGCTGCTCAGGAGGCTGAGACAAGAGAATCGCTTGAACCTGGGAGGTGGAGGTTGCAGTGAGCCAAGATTGCGCCATTGCACAATGCGCCTGGGTGATGAGAGGGAAACATCGTCTCAAAAAAAAAAGTGTTGCCTTTGCTCACTTAGTCATCCCTTCTGCCTGCATTTCTAGAGCGTTCAGCTGGGAGATTTATACTACCGTCCCTCCTGACCTTCCCAGCAGGCCTATGTCATAGGTACGATGGTCTCTACAATACGGCGGAGCTATGCGAGGCTCAGAGAGGTTGAGTGACTTACTCATGGCTGCACAGCCAGTAAATATTGGAGCTGGAATTCAGGCCCACAGTTTCCTGGCTTCCAAGCCCATGAGTTTCTCCCTCAATTTATTCTGATTGGGGCCTCGGGGAGGGGGTGGCCAGGCCCATAGAGAGCTGGGTGCAGGTACAGAGGAGAGCCTGTTTTCGAGTGTGGCTCATGGTTCCCATTTTTGCCTGACTGCCACATTTGGAAGTGTTCTATAACCATGTGAATAATAATAGTTGGCCTATATGAGTTTTTTAATTTGCTTTTTGGTCTGCATTTGGTAACTTCTTTATCATTTCCTATACTCTGTGATGTCTCTTTTGTTGTAACTCTAACTTGTAAGTAGGGGTGAGATAAAGTACACGTAGGGTTTGCTGGGTTTCTCCCATGTCATCGTGTTCCTCCTTGCATGGGGTCAGGACTCCTGGAGGCTGCCTGGCACCTATGTGGTGGTGCTGAAGGAAGAGACCCACCGCTCGCAGCCAGAGCGCACCGCCCGCCGCCTGCAGGCCCAAGCTGCCCGCCGGGGATACCTCATCAAGCTCCTGCATGTCTTCCACGACCTTCTTCCTGGCTTCCTGGTAAAGATGAGCCGTGACCTGCTGGAGCTGGTGAGCCACGCTTTTTGGCCCATTGCTGAAAATCAGAAGGGGACAGCAAGTATGCATTGAGCACTTACTGGGTACCAAGCACAGCAACTACTGGCTTTCTGTATAGAATGCCCTTTAAGCCTGGCCATGCCCCAGTGGTATGTCCATCTTCATTTGAAAGATGAGGAGACCAAAGTTCAGAAGGGACCACACAGATGGCTAGAAGTAGAGCCTGGATCAAACCCAGTGGTCTGCCTGCCAGCCATTCTTATACCAATGCATCTGCTGCCTATGGGAACCCATAGGGACAGGCCCTGGGATGTTCAATGGAGCCTGACTCATTTGATAAAAAGCATGATTCAAGGGTCCAAAATTTCACTGAAGCTGCTCCTATCCAGAGTAAAGTTCCTTCTCTAGGACAGGGTGGCTTCTCCTCCCTTCTGGATGTCACATCTTTGGTGGAAGAGCAGAAAGGAGACTGCGTATTCTCCTCACCCTGGCCCTAGTGCTTCAAATCTTAAAAATAACTTTCTTGGTTTTGTTTCTGCCCCACCTTCTAGCACACCCCTTTCCCTGACCTCTTGATGAGAACATGTGTCATTTTCACACTGATTCACCACATGGCGGGGGTGGGTGCTTCTCAGCCTCCTGCAGACAGCGGGGCCCAGGCTCTTGTCCAAAGTATCACAACGTGTAATGGGCAGGTCAGAGTCTGGACCTGGGTCTCCTAGCTGCACTGCGCTGCTGCTCCATGAGTAATCAGCTCAGCATCCAGTGGCTGAACAGCTACCGCATACCAAGGCCTGTGGGACCATGACAGGGATTGACAGGATCCCTGCCTTGGGAACCTGGAGTCTAAGCAGAGGAGGCTGACAAGTCAATGCCTTCCAACAGTCTACTCAACACACATTTCCCAAGCGTCTGCTATGTGCTGCAGAGGCGAATGTGACACAGCCTAGGCCTTTCCCTTGAGCTTACAGTTCAGAAGGAGAGACTGACCAGTGGCTGCCAGTACTTCTGGCTATGGGACAATGTGCTTAGCACTGGGGAGGGGCGAAGAAGGTGCCCGCATAGCACCAGGTGACAGGTACAAGCCACACAGGCTGGGGCAGCTGCTCAGAGGAGAGGACGTTGAGCAGAAGGCTGCAGACATTTGCCATCAAGAGCTGGGCTTCAAGCTGGGCATCATACCAGCCTGGTTCGAGTCCCACCCAGCCCCTGGGCAAATGCCTTCACCTCTCTGAGCCTCATTCTCCTATCTGTAAATCAGGCATAATAATGGGAACATTATTTTAAGGACTAAATGAGATCATGAAGCATTCAGCTGATGCTAGGTACTCGCTGAAGTATGGGCAGGTTAAGAAGCCTCTGGGGATAGCAAGGCATCCAGGGACCAGTTACGGCAGGAAGCTGTTACCACCTAGGTCTGAAGGGTAAGGAGTGGGAATAGTTTTCCCTCTGCCCAGCTGGAGCTGGTGGCATGGAGAGGCTGCCCATGGGGAGTCACCTGAGGGTTCAGCACTGCCAAGTGCAGGGAGTCGGGAGGCAGGGAGGGAGTGGGGCAGATGCACACTGTTTTTCTTTTTTTTGAGACAGAGTCTCTGTCACCCAGGCTGGAGTGCAGTGGCGCAATATCAGCTCACTGCAACCTCTGTCTCCCAGGTTCAAGCGATTCTCATGCCTCAGCCTCCCGTGTAGCTGGGATCACAGGCATGCACCACCATGGCATACTAATTTTTGTATTTTTAGTAGGGACGGGGTTTTACCATGTTGGCCAGACTGGTCTTGAACTCCTGACCTCAGGTGATCTGCCTGTCTTGGTCTCCCAAAGTGCTGGGATTATAGGTGTGAGTCATTACTCCCAGTCGCAGATGCTCTCTTGTCCCTTCAACTCCTGCTGGTGCCTCCCATTGGCTGAGCCCAACTGGAAGGTGTGCAAGAGAGCTGGTGCTGCAGTTTGCATTGAGCAGGCGGGAGAAGGGTGGGAACAGACTGGAGGACAGACAGAATTGCCAGTGCTGTTATGTCATGATTTAGGTATGGAGTCCAGGGCCTGAGCTTCACTCCATGTCCGTCCTGCCCAGAGCCTCGGCACAGCCTGGCTCCCAGATGAGATGTCAGGTTCAGAATCCTTCCTAAAAGGAATCCGCTGTGCTAGACTCTGTTGCAGAGATATGGGAGTTCTGGGTTCCCAGCCTGAGCAAGGAGTGAGAAAACTCTGGCTTCTAGTCTGTCCTCCAGGGCTCCAGGAGGGAGTCAGGGACAAGGTCTGAGGTCTGCCGGGACAAGGTGGGCGGCTGCTGGGCTGGGATGTGGGGACAGGCTTATCAGGTGAGGCTGGGCTGTGGCTGTGTTTGCTGCTTTCCAAATGGCTTGAGCAGAGGCCCCTGGCCTCTCTGGCTTCTGCAGGCCCTGAGGTTGCCCCATGTCGACTACATCGAGGAGGACTCCTCTGTCTTTGCCCAGAGCATCCCGTGGAACCTGGAGCGGATTACCCCTGCGCGGTACCGGGCGGATGAATACCAGCCCCCCAGTAAGACCCCTCTGTGCCTTCCCTCCCATCTAAGCTGAACTGTTTGCTCTGCTCTGGCCTCGCCTCCCTGCCAGTGGTTTCCACCTCTCAGAGGCTTTGGGACTCAGCACCTCCACTGACCCCTTTTCTTCTGTCCCATCCCCAACCTCTGCAGCCCACACTGCCTGCCTTCCTTCTGCTCCACAAACGCAAAAGTCTTTCCTTAAATGATCCTCTCTTCCTCCTTCTCTCTTTTCCTCTTCTCTCCATTTGGAATGGCCCAGCAGGCTCCACTTACCTTGGGGAGGGGGTTAATCTGATGCTGACTCTACCTAGAGCCCCCAGGTCTCCAGAACTCCCAGTGCCCTGCAGACTGGACCAGACCCTAAAGGGACAGACACAGCCCGGTCTGGGGGCCCTGCCTGGCTTCCCGTGGTGCTGCTCCACCTGCCTCCAGCTCTAACAGGCTTCGTGGGGCTCCCTACAGGGGCCACTTTGTGTCTTTCCTCTGGGCCTTTCCTTCCACTCTTCCCTCTGCCTGGTGTAGCCTGGCTGTGTGGGGGAGGGAGGAGGAGAGGCCAAGGAAAACAGTCTGCATTCTAGCAGGGCCTTGCAGGTGGCAATTATTTAGTCGGGGAAGACTCTAGATGCACCTGGTCTGAGGAGAGGATGAAGGGCTCTCACTGGACTGTTAAGTTTGAGGTGCCATGGTGTGAGGTCTGGGGCTCAGTGCAGAGACGATGCAATGTGGTGAGTCCATGCAACATGTGCCAGGATGCAGACCTTGGGGTGAACTCAGCTTCCACCCCTTACTGGTTCTTGTGGGGTCTTGGGAAGCCACTTGCTTCTATGAGCCTCACCTTCCTCATCTGTAAAATGGGCACATAATCCTGTCCCTGTCCTCACAGGTTGCTGTGAGACTCCAAGGAGGTGAAGGATATGCAAATGCTTTTGGAACTGACAAATTGGGGGGCTTCTGAGCTGTTGCCATGGTGACGATCGGAGCTGGTGGGCAGGGTGTAGAGATAGGGTGTGTGTGGGGGACATCTTCTGGCAAGGGTGTCAGCAGTGGAGGTGAGGGGCCTGGCTGGTTGTGTGTGCTGGCCTGGCCTGGGCCACCTGCGGCCAGGGAGAGGACGGGCTCCTGTGTAGCAAGAGCCTGTTTCTTTCCAACCAGGCCAGACCTCTTCAGTGGAGTCCTGGAGCCCCGGCACTTCACATCAGTGCCTCAGGGACCTCCCAGAGCAGGCTAATATCAGAGACTGAGAGGGACACTGGCAGAGGGTCACAGAGACCCCAGTCCCAGCAGAAAAGCGAGAAGATCTTGCCCCCCAGGTTAGCTTCCTAGCACTGCTGTGACTAAATACCACACCCTCAGCTGGAACAAGATGATTCTCTGCAGTCCTGGGGGGAAAAGCCTGCATCAACTGCGGTGGGCCCACGTTCTCCCTGGGGGCTCCAGGCGAGAAGCTTCTCTTGTCTCTTCTATATCCCAACGGCGGCAGCACTCCCATCTCAGCGTCTGTCTTCACACAGCCTTCTCGGGGCCTCTCTCCTCTTCACTGTCTCTTAAGGACACTTGTTGGATTTTGGGTCCACTGGATGATACAGGCTGATCTCATGTGGAGAACCTTAACCACAGCTGCAAGGGCCCTTTTTCCAAATCAGGTCACAGCCACAGGTTGAGGGGGTTCAGATGCGAGCATATCTCTTTGGCAGCCACCATTCCCTTCACTCCCTTGGGCCAGAAGCAGACACGGGGTCCTTTCCTCCCCCTAGGATGCCTATGGATTACCCCCTCCCCACTTCCGCTGAGTGGCTGTGGGAAGTGGCAGGAATGGCAGGCAGGGGTGTGGAACCCCTTCCAGAGTCACATCAAGGTTTTGGCTGGAGGAAGCCCTCCTGGAGCTGCTGGGCTGGCATGGGGCAGGCTGGCTGGGTGGAGCAGCAACCTCTTCACTCACGGGGAGGCCACAAGCATGGGCGCTGGAGCTGGCTGCTGCCCTCCGACCCAGACCCTGCATTTTTAACTGTGTGACCTTGCATATGTCACTCACCCTCTCTGAGCCTCAGGTTCCTCTGCAAAAGGGAGGTAATGATAACCCTCACCCTGGGGGGCTGTTTAGAGGGTTAAATGAGTTATTGCTGTAGCACGCAATTATCTATCAGGTATTGAGTGAGGTGCTGTGATTTTAGCCCTGGTTTTTTTTTTCTTACCATTCAACAATAATGTCTTGAGCACCCACTGTGCACTTACCATATTAGGTGCTGGGGATACAAAGGTGAATGTGGGGGATGTGGTCTCTGTCCCCAACAGTGTATCCAGAAGATCAATCCATTCCTTAAACAAATACTACTTGGCACAAATGAGTTCTGGTTGGGCTGAGAGCTCTAAAGGAGGGCAGGCAGCTGTGAGCGTGCGTAACTGGCAGAGGGGTCAGGAGAGGCTGCCTGGAGGAAGTGCTGTTCCAGCCAAGACCTGCGGGGGCATTATTAACCAGGCAAAGGGGACGGTCCCAGCAGAGGAATGAACAAAGACAGAAGCTGTGCAGAAGGAACTGAGGCAGGTGAGACCAGCAGGGCCTGGGTGGCCTCCAGGGCAGATGTGAAAGGAAGAACTCGGCCACAGTCTGAGCTTCTTAGGCATGGCAGGGCTGCCTGGTGAGAGGGGATGAGCTCCCTGCTCTGGAGGTATGCAAGCAGGATGGAATCCCACCTGCCAGAGGCCACAGAGCTTTCTGTAGCAAGCCAGAGGCTGGAAGAGGCCACTCCAAGGCCTCTTTTCCCCTGAGAATGATGGCTCTTCTTGAGGCCACCTTGTCACGCTGTCACAGGGAACAGTAGCAGCCCCTGCCTCACACGGTGAGGGGGGGCGGGTGGTTGGAGGATGGAGGGGGGCCTAGGAAATGGCCCAGGGGCCCTGTGTCCCATCCAAACTGGGCCCCTTTCCAGCCTCTCACTGGAAGGAAGCCCAGGGAGATTCCTGAAGGGGTCTTGGCTTGCACTTTTGCTCCAGATGTGGAGGCCATGGGGGGGTCGTGGGCCATGGGTGGGCATTCCAGGCTTACAGCTTCTCTCCTGGCAGTGTCTTACCAAGTGCTGCCCCTTCGCCAGGCCCACCTGCCCTCTGCTGGCCATGCTGGCAGCCTCCTGACCCTGTCCCAGCAGGACAGCGGGCTGGTGTGGGCGGGCAGGAACTGCCTGCATTTAGAAGGGTGGGGCTGCCTCCCCGAGCTTCCACCTGCTGCTGGGGTCACACCCCAGGCCCAGGGATATGACTTCACTGTGGTCACATCATCTTGCAGCGGACCCCAGGTACAGCTCCTGGAGCAGATGGCGGTCCCAAGCACAGGTGGGCCCAGAAAGAACTCTCACCTGGGCTAATGCAGCTGCAGCTTCAGCTCACTCCTCACCCATGACGAGGGGAATGGACTGGAAGCCTGCCCAGTGGGCCTTCTGCTCGATGTGCATTCTGTGGCTTCTGTCCAGGGAGGGAAGTGGCCCCAGGGCTGTCTTCTAGATGAGCCTGTGTCCTGCAGGCTGTCTGCCAATGTATCCACTTGTCCCGTTAGACTGGAAGCTCTGAGGGAGAACCTTGGGCTGCTTCCTGAGCACCTGTGTCCCCTGCAGCCAGCACGGGGCCTCTGACAGGAGCACACTGGCCATGGCTTATGGGCCTCTGCCCATCTTGTCATGTGTCTGCTCCTTCGACATTCCACAGCCCAGCTCAATATCTAGTGGTTCCTCTAGGAGGATCAGCACCCTTTGGTCTCTGATGTCTTTGGGTGGGAGCTCACAGCACTCTCAGCCACCCCTTCCCAGCATAGTACCAGGCCCTGGTAGATGCCCATTGATGAGTGAAAACGTCTAACACACTCAGAGAGCAAGGCCTCTGCCTTATCCTGTGGCCTGGGAGGAGAGGTAGACTGCTGAGAACCTGCTCAGCATGCTATAGAAGTCACCAAAGTGCTCACGGGCACTGACCAGTGGAGCTTCCTGCCGAGATTGGAGGCTGTAGGGCAGGGTGGATGGTGTGTGTGCAGGCTGGGAACTGACTGCCTTGCTCAGCCCTAATGGCATAGTGAGTGGACGGGAGGACGCAGGACTAGGGGCTGACCTTGCCTGAAATTAGTGTGGGATCTCAGAGCAGCCACTGAATTGCTCTGTAGTGGGCTAAGTAGTGGCCCCCACAGATCCACACACCCAGACAGAACCTGTGAACCTGGCCTTATTTGGAGAAAAGGTCTTTGTAGATGTAAGTGAGCATCTCAAGATGGCGTCATCTGGATTCTGCAGCTGGCTGGAAGCCCAATGATGTGTCTTTATGAGAGAAAGGTGGAAGGAGATTTGAGACACACAGGAGGGGCCACGTGGAGACAGAGGCGGAGATTGGAGAAATGTGGCCACAAGCCAGGGAGCACCAGCAGCCACCAGAAGCGGGAAGAGGTGACGCAGGGTTCTCCCCTGGAGGCTTTGCAGCTGAGTGTGGGAATTTGTTACCGAAGCCGTAAGAAGCGAGTACAGGCCCTGAGCCTCCCGCACTTGCTTGCCTGTCCTGAGATGAGAATCTCCACTCTGCAGCATATTTGGAGGATCACTGCGGGGGCCATGGAGGTGCCGTTCAGATGGCACTTCCGAAGAATCAGGAGGATGCTGGGGCAGGAGCGAGTTGACTGACAGCCCACAGGGTTGCCCTCTGGTTCCATCTGAGGCTCTGCTTCTCCTGGCTGCAGGGGTTCCAGGGCCAGGCCATTTCTGCTGGCGCAGGACTCTGCGCGCAGCAACCTGCCTCAAGTCTTCCTTTGGCCTGGCTGAGAGTTTCTGAGAACTGCGCTGAAGCGGAGGTGCTTCCTTCCTTGCTTCCCTTCCTCCTGCCTCCTGTCTCGATCCAGCGGGCTGGACCCGCCTTGCATCTGTGAGCTCTTGTTACGTCCTCCCACACCCCAACCTTTGTCCTGTGCAGGCGACTCCCCTGTGGGTCTCTTGTAGCTTTTATCCCAGTGCCTGCTTCTTGGAGAATTCAAATGGATCCAATTAGGGGTGATGAAGTGTAGTGTAGGCTCTCGGTGACTGTTTTCTCTGAGGCTGTGACTCGTGCGAGGCGGAAGCAGCTCCTGTGAGCCCTCCCGGTGCCTGGTGGAGTGGAGAGCACTTGGACCTGGAGCCAGGAGGCCCACACTCACACATCCTGTCTGAGCGCAGCTTCCTCTCTCTAAAATGAGCCGGCCAGCTCAGGTGCCCAGACATCACTGTTGTTCTCCTTTTAGTCTTTAAATTTTGTCTTTCTCTCAGGCTCAGTGAGTTGCGAAAGGCTACAATAGGCGCTTGGTTTATTTAACACTATAATATTTTTTGAAACTTCATATTATTGCTGCATATTGACATTAATGTGAAGGAGCAGGATGACTTGGGTCCTTCCTGGCAGTGTCATTGCCAGCTGGTGGCCTTGGACAGTACCTGCTCTCTCTAGGCCTCCCTTTCCTTGTCTATGAAATATAGAATAGGATGTAGCATGTGAGGATTTTCTTGGAGGTTAAATGAGTGAATATATTTACCGTGCGTTAACTGTAAGGTTGACTTCACGCTCACTCCCTCCTCTCCCTTAAATGTCACCTTGGAAAGATGGAGGCAGCCTGGTAGAGGTGTATCTCCTAGACACCAGCATACAGAGCGGCCACCGGGAAATCGAGGGCAGGGTCATGGTCACTGACTTTGGGAGTGTGCCCGAGGAGGACGGGACCCGCTTCCACAGACAGGTAAGCACGGCCCTTCTACATGAGGGCTGCCTCTGCCCTCATCCCCATCCTGGAGGTGGGTGGGGACTGCTCCCCAAGAGTGTTGCAGCTGTACTGCTGGACTCCCCATCCTCAGCTGTCACTCTCCCCTCCCTGCCATCAGTTGTGGGAAGGGTGTCCATCTAGCCACCTGCTGATCTGTTATGGGATGGCGGGGGGTCTTCCTCATGTTGGTTGAACAGGCCAGCAAGTGTGATAGCCACGGCACCCACTTGGCAGGGGTGGTCAGCGGCAGGGACGCTGGTGTGGCCAAGGGCGCCAGCCTACGCAGCCTGCGCGTGCTCAACTGCCAAGGGAAGGGCACAGTCAGCAGCACCCTCATAGGTGAGTGATGGCCCCAGACAGTGCTGTTCTCTCTCCATTGTGGATCTGGCCTGGGAGGTGGCTTGGGTTGGGCCCAGGGAGAGCTAATGTCTCGTAACCAAGAATGCTGTGGCTGCCTCTGCCGCAGAGCCAGAGAACCAGAGTGTCAGGGCTGGCAGGGTCCCCAGAGGCTATAAGTGTAGATGAAGAAACCCAGGCCCCGAGAGGGTCATGCAGGTAACCAGGGAGTTCAGTCTTGACCCTGGGTCAGTGACCTTTCCACAATTCCACACTGCTCCCCTTTTCAAATGCGGTGACGTCTTTATGTCTTTTGTGATGTTATCTTCCATGTAGAGGGACTTGAGGTGATTTAAGCAAACTTTTTCTATCTTCTGCTTACATACCTCTGAGACCAGGGGACTCACTCACTTGCCCAGTGGCCCTGCAGGTCACCCTGGCCAGGCAGACCTGGTGGAGGAACGGCAGAGGACTTTTTCTAGCCTTTTGCAGGTGACTACATTTTGTCCACCCGGCAGGCCCCGTGTGAAGTCCAGCTGAGAGCCAGGACTCCAGGGGCCTGTGGACAGAGAAGAGGGAGGGTGCTGTCCCTTTCTGACTTCTTGCTGCGGCCAGACATTGAGCAAAGGCCTTTGTACAGCATGCTTTGGGGCTGGCCTTGCCATAGCTGCTAAACAGTTGATAAAACCAGTCCAGAGAGGGGAGGGGACAGCCCAGGGTCAAGCAGCTTAAGCTGGTGACCTCACTGGGGAAGATGCTGGCTCTGGGCAGCAGCTTGACTTCCACTGCAAGCCCCAGGCCCCAGGGTCAAACACTGGCTCTGGAGCTGGCAGAGGCAGCCCACGGGATTGTTTGAAAGGCTGAGAAAGCCCAGGAGTCTGCCTTGTCCTCCACCAGTTCTGTCCTGAGATTTTCCTACAGAGTACAGGTTTTGACATTCAGTTTTAAAGGTAAGAATCAGTAACCTTCTGTCTCATCAGGTGACCCCTCATACCTGTCCCACCCCTTTATTGACTGACCTTGGCTTAGGCAGGCCAGTTCCTGAAGGTCAGTGTGTGGAGGGGAGGCCGCTCTTTCACAGAAGGGCTGACCTAGGCCTGGTGCTCTGGTCTCTGGAGGACTTCCTGGAGAAGTCCCTTCTTTGGGGTCCCAGTTAGTGCATGGGAAGCCCCTGTTGCATTACCTGGCAGGGGACAGGGACCCAGCAGTCACTATTGCATTCATTGCCACCGCCATTTCCTCCTCTGTAAGCAGGTGATTGTGTATTGAGCCTGAGCAAAGAGATAAGCACACAGTAGGAGCTTAATAACTAGCAGCTGCAGGCTGGGTGCGGTGGCTCATGACTGTAATCCCAGCACTTTGGGAGGCCAAGGTGGGCAGATTACCTGAGGTCAGGAGTTCGGGACCAGCCTGGCCAACATAATGAAACCCCGTCTCTACTAAAAGTACAAAAATTGGCTGGGCAGGGTGGTGGGCACCTGTAATCCCAGTTACTTGAGAGGTTGAGGCAGGAGAATTGCTTGAAGGTGGAGGATGCGGTGAGCCGAGATCGTGCCACTGCAATCCAGCCTGGGCAACAGATGAAAACTCCGTCTCATAAATAAATAAATAACTAGTAGCTGTAAATGTGGCTATTGTTCTTCATCTCCACACTGAGTGCCACTCTGCTCCCTCCCTCTGTGGTGTGAGGGGCCTCACTAGCTGTCTCCTAGGAGGAGCATGCTGTGGGATTCCAACTCCCACCTCTCCAGGAGCCACAGCTCCGAGAGATGTCTCAGAGGCCAGGATGCAGAAGGCTCCCACACCCCATTTGACGGGGGAGAAGCTGTCAGCTCCAGGTCCCCTTGCATGTCAGCTGATTTAGGCCCCCAGTCTCCAGGCCACTGGGCCAGAGCTCACAGGCTGGCAAAGGGTTAGAACTGTCATTGGTGACAGTAGCATAAGGTACACCATGGTCTGCACCAAAATGGGGCAGTGGAGTGCCACCGAGACCAGAGAACCACACCCTCAAGGGTGGGGAGTTATGGCCCTGGGCATGGAGGCTTTTAATTCTTCAGACAATCCTGGGAGCAGCTGTCACTGTTTCACAGAGGGTGGGGCCACACAGCTGGGGAGTGGCCAAGCAAGACTGAGTTTGTGTGGATCCAACACTTGCGGCCACGGTGGAGGGGCATCTGAGCGGGGTCTCAGAGACTGTCAGGGGGAAGTTGGGCAGGGCCCAGCTCACTCCTTCTCATTCCTCTGAGGTTCATCCTCTGTTTCCTGGAAAGGGATAATAAGGTTATTGTGAGGATCCTGTAAGTTCATATATTTAGACACTTAGAACAGAGCCAGGCACACAGAAGGGCCCGGGGTTGGCTAGTTTGATTGCTGGTGTAATTGCCAATATCTTCCAGTTTGTATTGGCCAGGGTTCTGCAGAGAAACAGAACAGGTAGGATGTATATATTAAGAATTTCAAGGAATTGGCTCACGTGACTGTGGGGGCTGGCAAGTCTGAAATCCACAGGGCGGGCCTGCGCAGAATTTGATGTTGCTGTATTGAGTCCTAAGGTAGTCCTGGGCAGAATTCCGTCTTCCCTGGGAGACTTCAGTCTGTTCTCTGAAGGCCTTCAGTTGATTAGATAAGGCCCACTCACCTTATGGAGAGTAACCTGCCTTATTCAGTCTTCTGATTCAAATGTTAGTCACATCTAAAAAATATTTTCGCAGTAGCATTTCCACTGACTTTTGACCCAATATCAGGCCACCAAGTTGATCCCCAAAATTAACCACCACTCTGTGCCTGTAAGGGAGGGGCTGGGGAAGGGGAGCAGGTCTTCCTAGGGGTTGACCTTGGCTTTGTCTTCCCAGGCCTGGAGTTCATTCGGAAAAGCCAGCTGGTTCAGCCCGTGGGGCCGCTAGTGGTGCTGCTGCCCCTGGCGGGTGGGTACAGCCGGGTCCTCAATGCCGCCTGCCAGCGCCTGGCGAGGGCTGGGGTTGTGCTGGTCGCCGCTGCCGGCAACTTCCGGGACGATGCTTGCCTCTACTCCCCAGCCTCGGCCCCCGAGGTAGGTGCTGAGGCTGCAGCCACAAGGCAGGAGGGCCCCGTGGGCTTCTTGTAACCGAATCCTTCTGGCTTTGGAAGGAGTCGTCAGCGACCCCGCCATGCGGGAGGCTGGGGACATCATCCCAGAGTCTGAACAGCAGCGGCCCAGCCACGCCCCCACGTAGCGGTGCCCAGGTAGCCATGCCCCCACACCCCTCCTGGGCATTCTCGGTCCTGAAGGTCTCCTGGTACCCGCCCCTTCCCCATCTCCATCCCTAGGCCCCGCGTCCTCTGCCCAATACTTTAGGGCCTCCGCATTGTCCAGCTCCCTCCGTGGCTCCATCACTGACCACTTGAGCAAGGCTAATGAGAATGGGAGCAGTTGAGGGCTCAGACCTCTTACCTGAGGAACATCCAGAGCGTGTGCCGCATGCCCGGTGCAGTGTGGCTGCGGGGACACAGACGCGGAGCCTCTGCCCTGAGGAGCTGGGGGGTAGTGACCGTTCCTCTTCTGACCACCACTTCCTGGGCACCTACTGTGTGTCCGGTTGTCAGGACATCCAGGGGAAGGATTCTTGTTCCACTTCAAGTCTGGAACTTCAGATCTGTGTGTGCTCACTCATGTGTGTGCGCGCGTTTGCGTTGAGGGCGGGGATTGCGGAGCAGATGCGTATCTGACAGTGTAGACTAGGCCCTCACTGGCCTATGAGAGGCTTCCCATATGGCCGAATTTAAAGGCATCAAGCAATCAAAGCCCATGACATCTTCTCTGCCTTGCCCTCTTAATTTCCCCCCAGTGGCACTTAGGACCACCTGATAAACTGAATAGTTTCCTGTCTCTCCCCCGGTAGAACGTAAACTCCACAGGGGCATTGGAAATGGTGCCTGGCTATGGTAGAAACGGGGGGGCACCAGGGCGGACAGCGGTGCCAGAATTCTGCCTGGGGAGTCAGATTTTCTTTAGGAGGGAACATTTGAATGGGACCCAAACAGGTGTACAGCAGGTGGCCAGCCCAGCTGGCAAGGTCTCAGTCTGCCCTGCAACCCCTCTCTTGGGCTCCTGTCTCTGCCACCTACCTCCTCACCTTTCCAGGTCATCACAGTTGGGGCCACCAATGCCCAGGACCAGCCAGTGACCCTGGGGACTTTGGGGACCAACTTTGGCCGCTGTGTGGACCTCTTTGCCCCAGGGGAGGACATCATTGGTGCCTCCAGCGACTGTAGTACCTGCTTTGTGTCTCGGAGTGGGACATCACAGGCTGCTGCCCATGTGGCTGGTGAGTCGCCCCACTACCGCCTCGGCCACTGTGATGCTAACAGCCCCTTTGGCAGTCAGGGTCTGTGCTGGGAACTCCTGTGCCAGGCTCTGTGCAGGGGGACCAGAGATGAGGCAGGACTCATGGGGCCTCAGTCTGATGAGGGAGGTGAGTGCACTAAGGGAACACGAGGTCAGGCCTGTATTAGAGGGAGCCCAGAGGAGGCACCTGCCCAGCCCGAGGGTCAGAGAAGACTTCTTGGAGGAGGGACATTTGATCTGGAGCTTGATGGATGAATAGGAGTTCACCTGCCCAATAAGACAGCAACTACCAAGGCTTAGAGGTGTGAGAGGAGGCTGTCTTACCTTACTGAGTAAGGGACTGTAGGCGGCTTATCTTTGGGAAGAGAGCTTGGTGTGTGTGTATGTGCACATGTGTTTGTGTGTGTGTGTGCACACGGGCAGGAGGGCCAGGCCACCTTGGGCAAGTAGACAGTCTACCTTCGGGAAGAGAGCTTGGTGTCTGTGTGCTCTCACACTTGGTACGTGTGTTTGTGTATATGTGTATGTGTGCATACATGGGCAGGAGTCCCCTGCTGGGGCAGGTAGACAGTCTACCTTCATCTTTCACCGTTCACCCCTTTACCAGGCATTGCAGCTATGATGCTGTCTGCCAAGCCGGAGCTCACCCTGGCCGAGTTGAGGCAGAGACTGATCCACTTCTCTGCCAAAGATGTCATCAATGAGGCCTGGTTCCCTGAGGACCAGCGGGTACTGACCCCCAACCTGGTGGCCGCCCTGCCCCCCAGCACCCATGGGGCAGGTAAGCAGGATGGCAGGGTGGGCAAGTCCAGGCTGGGGCTTGGGAGGTGTGTGTGAACTTGACAGTCTCTCCCCTTTCCCTTGTCTGTATAAGGAGGAGGATGCCACCTTAAATAGGATTAAATGAGAATGGGGCTCTGAAAGAGCTTTGCAATATTTTCGTAACATGTTTTGATAGAGACAGTTGAGTATGTTCTTTAAGCTCTCATTTCGCATGAACTAAAAATTTTTCTAGAGTCCGTGGTGGAGCTCCCCTCACTCCCAGCACCCCCTCCTCACCCTGGGCCCTTTTTTCAGGTTGGCAGCTGTTTTGCAGGACTGTGTGGTCAGCGCACTCGGGGCCTACGCGGATGGCCACAGCCATGGCCCGGTGTGCCCCAGATGAGGAGCTGCTGAGCTGCTCCAGTTTCTCCAGGAGTGGGAGGCGGCGGGGCGAGCGCATCGAGGTGACTGCACCCCTCCTTTGTGTGTGTGTGTGTGTGTGTGTATGTGTGCGCACACACACATGTGTCAGCACTGGGCCCTCAGAGACCCCCAGCAAGCCCCTCCATCCTCCAGACTCCAGCCCTTCTGTAAGCTTACAGGACTGACTAGAGCCGGGGGTGGGACACTCCTCACCTCACACAGTTGGGGGCTGCTGGAGAGAGCCACAGCAGGAAGGGTTTCCTGGAGGCTGCAGGACAGTGCTGGATGGATTCTCAGCGCCCATCTGGGTGTGAGCATAGGGCAGGGCAGCGTGAGGGTCAAGGACCTGCTACTCTGGACTCAGCCATCTCACTCAGATGCTCCATGGTTCCAGAGGAGCTGAGAAATCTCAAACCAGCAAAAAAGGGAAATTGATGTTGATGCTACGGGATAGTACACAGATGCCATCTGGCCATAGAATTTTGGTGGAAGGGCAGTGCCCAGCCAGGAGAGTGAGGAGAGGCAGGCATTTCTGTCTGGGAAATGGTGTCCCAGTGCTCATGTGAGAGGCAGAGGGGTGGGGTGGAGCCGGCTGGGTCCTTGCTTTGGCCTCTTGGATTTCCCTGTATATCTCCGTTTTGAAATCACCCCACGTTTGGAAGAAATTTCGTGTTTTCAGAGCTGCCCCTTGGCAGAACAGTCTACCCTGGGCAGGAACGAGCTCCTTGTCCCCAGAAGGCTAGAAGCAGGGTCTGGCTGGCAGGAACACTGATGAGGGTGCTTGAGTTGATCCTGTCTAGTCTCTTCCTGTGTTTTCAAAGCCCATTCTAAAGCTGATTCTCATTTCTGTCTTTGACTCACAGGCCCAAGGGGGCAGGCGAGTCTGCCTGGCCCACAATGCTTTTGGGGGGGAGGGTGTCTACGCCATTGCCCGGTGCTGCCTGCTACCCCAGGCCAACTGCAGCGTCCACACAGCTCCACCAGCTGGGGCCGGCATGGGGACCCGTGCCCACTGCCACCAGCAGGGCCACATCCTCACAGGTAGGAGGCTGGGCCTGCCCGGGGGTGAGGAGGGTTCCCTGTCTCCTTATGCTTCCACTGCCCTCGAGTCTTGGTCCTCACAAGTGTGATCGGTGAGACTCGAGCCTGACTTTCCATGGCATACTCTGGTCCTGCCACTTCCATGCCCTTTGACCCTGGGCAGGTGACCTTACTTCTCCTCGTCTCAGCTTCCTCCTCCATAAGAGGGAAAAAGGTATTAGCTGCCTCATTGGGTTTCGAGGAGATGGGCAGCATCTAGGGCAGTGGCCGGGAGCATGGCAGGTGCTTTCCCTAAGGTGATACAGCGCAGCAGAGGCGGCTCGGAGAGAGGCCCCAGGCTGGGCTGAAAGGAGGGCAGACCTGGGTTTAATTTCACTGACACTCAATGGCTGTGTGACCTGGGCAAGTTACTTAACATCTCTGTGCCTCATTTTCCTCATCAGAGGAAATGATGGGTGCTAAGCACTTAGCTCAGTACTGGGACAATATAAATTCTGCTATCGTTACTATTGTTGTCATCACCCATTGCTTTAAAATTTAGTCTCTGGTATAGGCAACTATTGCCTGAGGAGGGGCTGGGGGGAGTTTGAGCATCAGAGGCCATAGATCCCCTGCCTCATTGCCTCCATCTCTGGGTGGAGAGGAGATGATGTTTTCCCTGAGAAACTAAGGCTTTCCCTCATTCAACTAAGGTTGAATGGCTCTCCCAAGGTCACACAGCTGGGCAGCAGTGGAGTTGAGAACATAGGAGTCTTGGTGCTCAGGCCAGCATCTCTTTTCTTCTTTGAGTTGTTTCTGGGTTTCGTAGCTCTTGCCTCAGACCTTAAAGAGAGACGGTCTGATGGGGATGGGCACTGGGGAAGAAGTGTCCCAGCATTTCGGTATCTGAGCTGGCCCTCCTCTGCCCCGGCCCTCCTCTGCCCCAGGCTGCAGCTCCCACTGGGAGGTGGAGGACCTTGGCACCCACAAGCCGCCTGTGCTGAGGCCAGGAGGTCAGCACGACCAGTGCATGGGCCACAGGGGGGCCAGCACCCACGCTTCCTGCTGCCATGCCCCAGGTCTGGAATGCAAAGTCAAGGAGCATGGGCTCCCGGCCCCTCAGGAGCAGGTGAAGAGGCGCGTGGGGCCTTGTGGGTGGGGTGCTGCGGGGTGGTGTGTGTCTGTCCTGTGCAGCTTCTCTATGTCAGTTTGTGCCACCACCATGACATGGTCATGCATCAGGGTGGCGGTTTGTGGGTAGATGCTGTGGGCAGCTTCAGCCATTGTGTGGACAGCACGTGTATGTGTTTGTGTGTGGCTGGGTCTGTTTTCGCTTTTGTCCAGATCAGTAAGGTTTGCTACCTGGGTACCCCACTCCACTTTGGGCAGAGATGGGGTCTTGCTATGTTGCCCAGGCTGTTCTCAAATTCCTGGGCTCAATTGATCTTCTGGCCTCAGCCTCCCCAAGTGTTGGGATTACAGGCATGAACTATTGCACCTGGCCTCACAGATCTATTTAACAAACCTAGGAGGTTCTCAGGGTCAGGAGCAGCACTGGGCTCTGAGGACACAGAGCTCTCAGTCATGACCCCAAGGGGGTGCCTGAGCTGCAGGCTGAAGGTTATTAGCATGACTAGCAAGGCAAGAGAGGGCCCTGCTGAGATTAGCGAGGCACGTGCCAAGCCCTGGAATGTGAGAGCTGGGTCTTCTAGAAACCTGGGTGTGGACATGGCCGACAGTTGCTCTGTAACACTCCTTTTTAAAAGCCAGTGGGAGCGTCTTTAAAGGCAGCCCTAAGGAGTCCACTCTTAAGTGAACTCAGACTCCGTTTTAAAATGTAAGCCTGTGTTCATTTAGGTCTGGATGGTGCATTCCTCAAGAGCAAAAGACAGTCTTGGTCTTGGATCCACTTGCCCTGTGTGCCCTGAGGGCTGCTAGGTTCCAGGCGCCAGGGAGGGATACAGGCTGGACAGACATGTTGTTCTTCCTCCGGGAGCATCTATTTTAGTGGGCGAGGACAGAAAACAAACCAGCCAATGATAGAATACTGAAAAGATGCTATGGAGGACGGCAATGGGGTGGGGGTGAGGTCAGCAGAGGTCTTGCTGAGAAAGTGGAGGAAACAGGCATGAGGACAGGGCAGAGAACACGTTCCAGGCAGAGCAAAGGCCCTGGGAGGGGGATGTGCCTGGGGGTACCAGGAGGCCAGATAGGTAGGAGTAGTTATGAGGTTGGGGGTGCCTCAGAGGGGACAGGGCCAAGTCAGGTGAGACTTGAAGGCCACGAAGGGGTCTGACCTAGGAGGAGTGTGATCTGGCCTGGATCTGAACATGTCACTGCGGCCCAGCTGCTGAGCTGAGAAGAGATGACCAGGGCCTTGTGCAGATGCAGGGAGACTGGAGGGTACAGGTGTGGGGGCGGGGCTCAGGCTGGGGCCGGAGATGTGGTGGATACTGGAGTCTGAAGGGAGCCTGCAGGCATGGTGGGTGTATGTGGGTGGGAGAAGGGATGGACGGCACCAAGGCTCAGGACCCTGGACAGATGGAGTTGCTATTAAGTGGGATGGGGCAGGCTGTGGGGTCGTCAGTTTCAGAGGGAAGATGACTTTGGCATTGGCATGGTAGGCATCTGTCTCCATGCCCCCTCAAACCAGGCATGAAGCAGGAGCTCACGTGTTGTGGCACAAGGCATGAGGTGTGGGCTGGAGATAAGTGGTTGTGTCCCAAATGGGCCCTGAGCTGGCGAGGGCCATCTGCACTTTGGCCCCACAGCGGGACGTCAGGGTGGGAGAGAAATGAAGTCTGGGTAGGGGTCCCGGCCGTGATGGACATGTGCTTTTTTCTTCTCCTTGGGCTCTGGCAGGTCACTGTGACTTGCGAGGAGGGCTGGACCCTGACCGGCTGCAGTGCCCTCCCTGGGACCTCCCACATCCTGGGGGCCTATGCTGTAGACGACACATGTGTGGTCAGGAGCCGGGACGTCAGCACCACAAGCAGCACCAGTGAAGAGACTGTGGCCACCGTTGCCATCTGCTGCCGGAGCCAGCACCTGGTGCAGGCCTCCCAGGAGCTCCAGTGACAGCCCCACCTCAGAACGAGTGCCCGGGGAGTGTCAGGGGCTGAGCTTTCAAATGGTTCTGACTTGCCCCTACCTCAGCCTTCCATGGCCTGGCCTGAGGGGACGGGGAGGCTTACACCTTCCTGGAGCTGCTGGCCTGGCCCTTGCATGGGGTGGGCTCCTTGCCTGGAACTCACTCATTCTGGATGCCCCACCCTCTGATGGAGGTGCCAGGAAGCTCCCTCCCTCGCTGTGGAGCATTTCACCATTGAAACGGTGGAGCTGTGCTCAGGTTCTGCCAGCTGCTCCCAACATGCCGAAGCCTGTGGGCAGAATGACTTTTATTGAACTTTTGTTCCATGCTAGGTATTCAATCCTCAGGTGTCCACCAAGAAGGCAGGCTTCTTCCCATGGGTAGGGGAGGAGGTGGTAGGGGCTGCAGGGACAAGCATTGTTGTGGGGGTCAGTGCTTACTGTGGGGAAGCCCCTTAGGGCTCCCTGATTAATAGAAGCTCAGTTTTCTGGATGGCATCTAACCGGAGGCTGGAGACTGACGTGTCCCTGGTAGTCATGGGCTGTGCCTTGGTTTCCTGAGCCACCCTTACTCTGTTCTATGCCAGCTTGTGCTAATACCCAAGGGGTGGCCTGCAGGGAGCCATCACCTCGACTGACTCTGCAGTGTGCAGTGGTGCACGCACTGTCTCAGCCAACCCGCTCCACTACCCAGCAGAGTACACATTTGCACCCCCACTTTACAGAGGAAGAAACCTTGAACCAGAGGGGGCATGCCTGCCAAGCTCACACAGCCAGGAAGTGAGCCAGAAACCCAGACTGTGCTGGCTCTGAAGCCAAGCCTCTTCTTACTTTACCTGGCTGGGCACCTCATTTTTACAGGTAACAGTGAGGCTGGGAAGGGGAATACAGACCAGGAAGCTCGGTGAGTGATGGCAGAACCATGCCTGCAGGCACGGCACTTTTTCCGTATCACCTCTGCCTGATTCACTGTGGCCTGGTGGAGATGCTTCTAAGGGATGGGGTGGGGGGAGAGGGACAACTGTCCCTCCTTGAGCACCAGCCCCACCCAAGCAAGCAGACATTTATCTTTTGGGCCTGTCCTCTCTGTTGCCTTTTTACAGCCAGCTTTTCTACACCTGTTCTGCTTTTGTAACTTGAAGATATTTATTCTGGGGTTTGTAGCATTTTTATTACTATGGTGACTTTTTAAAATAAAAAACCAACTTTGTCCTGATTCTTGCTTAGACTTGACTGCCTAGGGTGATGCCTTGCTTATACTAGGACCTGGGGGAAGTTTGTTAATAAGTTGAGTAAGCCAAGTATTTGAAGAGTACGTGTATCTTGAGTACAAGTATTTGACAAGTACTGGTGATGTGAGTTTATTCTTATGCCTGTCCTGGGAGTGAAATGAATGTCTTCTTGCAGCTCCCCTGACACCCTGGCAGTCGAAGTGCCTCCTCCTTGCTGATGGGTGCCCTACACCACGCTACATGCTCTGTTGTCCTGATCTCCCAATGCCGTTTTCATTCTTTTCTCCCCAGTACCTGGCACAAAGCCTAACCCAGAGTATTTATGGAGTAAGTTAGTGCCAGATGCTTCTGTAATGAGCCAGTGTTATGTCCATGGCCATTTTTCATGATTTACAATTCAGAACCGTCTCAGGCCGAGTGCAGTGGCTCACACCTGTAAATCCTGGTACTTTGGGAGGCTGAGGCAGGAGGATTGCTTGGGTTTAGGAGTTCAAGACTCTGGGCAACATAGTGAGACCCCAGCTCTATAAAAAATTAACTGGGTGTGGTAACACATGCCTGTGGTCCCAGCTACTCAGGAGGCTGTGGGAAGCTTGCTTGAGCTGGGAGGTTGAGAGTGCAATCAGCCATAATTGCATCACTGCACTGTAGCCTGGGTTACAGAGTGCATAATGATCCCATTCAATGTGGGACCTCCCAGCCCTCCACTCTAAGGCTAGTGAGCACAGCTATCTAAAGCAAGTTCTATCTCTACACAGCCCACGTCATCAGGAATCTCAGGCAAAAATCCTCCCAGATTACATTTTCGGACAATTCGGTATCATATATGGAAAGCATTCAAGAGTTGACAGATGACAATGGCTCGAACACCCTAACTGTGTATCTCTGCCCATTGGAACCTATTCCTGTTGTGCAGCCCTGGACTCTCACTCTCCTTCCCCTCCCCAGGATCAAGTGTTAGCTGGTTAGATATCCACACCAACAGCCCCGTGATGTTGTAACAACTTGGTTCTTGCAGAGGGTTGGCAGATGGTCACCAGGAATGGGGGAGGAAGAGGCATGACTTGCAGGAAGAGGAAGATCTGGACTAGCAAATAGGGAAGGGAACCTATGTGAGCAACGCTGGACACTAGGACTGAGACAGAGACCTGTGCAATAGCAAGAAGCCCAGCGTGACCAGTGACACAAACTTATGCTGGGGACCACTTGGGAGAGTGGAAAGCTTTGGTGGAGATGAATGTAGACCATCAACCTAAGTTCAGCATCCTCCTCTAAGCTTTGCAGATGAATCCTAAACAGTCAGCCTCTCCAGATGGAAAAAACAGCAAAAGGCTGAGAGAACCCACAGTCTCCTTTATCAGTATAAAGAGGAATCATAATACCATTTAGCCCCAGGCACAGGCCCAAGCTGTTCCCCCGCCCACTATGGCTGTATTCTGCTATATGAAAAATCGTGAGACTCCAACTCTTACGTTTTTGAAAAATTTATTTTATACTCTTAGAAGCTAAGAACTTTGCCACACATGAACCAAATTCTGAATTGAGGTTCTTCCCTAGTGTATCTACTTCCTTTTGAAATTTTATAAACAAGATTTTATACACAAGAGGTAGCAGAGGAAAATTCCAGTCTGCTTGTTCCAAGCTCAAAAGGTAAACTGCACACACCTCAATGTTAGCAGGGAAGGTGGGGCAGGACAGGGTAAGTTTGATGATACAGCGCTCTAGTTCCTAAAACTGATTGTAGTTGTCAGTGACCGTGTGAGGACTGCAGAAGTCGTGGTGAGATGCCCGCTGGGACACTTGTTTTCTTTCCCAGGATGCCTTCAACGGGCAGAATCGGCCATCCTAAGATCGGCCTCACTAAGGGAGCTTCTTGAGAACACACAGCGTTGAGTTAATTGTGCAATTCCTGCTCTGTTTGCAGACCATTTTGAAAGGTTTATAAAAACATCTTCATCCAAAAAATTGGCAGTAAAAATGACAACTCTTCCAAGGTAAGCCTGTCATAATTGTCACTGTTGTACTACATTTAAAAAAGTCATCAGCAGGTTCACTGACTGTAGCTGTCAGAAATCAAGTGGTTACCAGCAAAGTGAAAACGATGGTCACTGCAGCAACGATGTGAGCAACATGAACCGAAGCATACAATATACACTGTGGGCGATCCTGATGAAGCTTTACAGTGAGGACAGCAGGTGCTGGGGTGTGGAAGGCGTTGTTTCCATAGGAAATAAGGGGACTAGAAGTGGCGATTTCACTCCTGATTTTGGGCTCCTGAGAGTGCAGTGGCCAGCGATGACATCCCAGCACGGATCATCGCCAGCATTTCAAGGTCATGTCCCACACAATCTCTTGGTGAGGATGGGGGTGGAGAGAAGGTGAGGAGAGGGCAGGGGAAACAGTAGGACATGAAGCATTCACGTACTCAAAACCAATGCTGGAACATCACATTTCAAACTGCAAGAACATTGGAACTGTCTGAAGTTTGCCACTCGCCTCTGTCTGTTTCTCTAAGGGTACAGTTCTGCTCTTAAGTGCTGGCCCTTCCATCTTCTTAGCGTGTTTGACAAAGGCCATCACGAGCCTCCAGCAAGTCACAGAATAACAAACTGAAGTCTGAAGGCACAGAAACCCTCACTGTCAGACGATGAAGTGACTGGGCCATGGCGAGAGCACAGCAATGAGACGCCATCTGCCTGGTCACGTGCCCACACAATGCTATAGCAGCCAGATGGGCACTTGGGGGCTGACTGAGCCTCTGTGACTTGGCAAATCTCACTGACAGTGGAAACCTGGCACTTCCTAAAGCTCCCTAGTTCTGTGTACGGTGAGATGAAAATAAGGCAGAACCTGTAACTAAAAGGCAAAACAGGGCTGAAAATGTGAGCAATTCAAAATACAAAATGTACAGAATATTTATGAAATATGTGGGTGTAATTTTTCTCCCCCACCAAAAAGGGAGCTGGTATAAATGAATGAATGGTGCTATACTTTGGAAACACAACTAAATAGATGGTTATTCAATTGCTTTATATTTATTTCTGGGAAAATAAATCTTAAACCTTGACTGTCTTTTCAGTGTTAATTAGTCATGGTGAGGAGAAACAATTCTCAAATTCCTTCTCTGCATTAAAATTACTATGAAACTCACAAGCAGTATGTACCAACTCAAACGGTTAACTTCATATACAACCAATACCAAGGGTTTCAGTAATTCTGTTTAAGCAAAAACAAAGGATTGCAGATCACGTGATTTAAGACTACAGTTTATTCAATATGTCTCCAGGCATTAAAAAGAGAATTTTGTGATGTCAAACTCAGTGAAATTATATCTTAAAGTGCTTTTATTTTGCTGTTTTAAAAATCTGTTTGGGGAGCAACTCATAACTTAAGTGATTGATGTCAGAGAATCCACCCTGTACTTCTGGAGAACACAGCATTTAAAAAATTGCTCTTTTCAATCTCAATTGTATCAGAAAAATACCTTCAAGAGCTTAATATTTCCCAGTTTTTCATCCTGATCCTAGCAACCTTTCATCAAGATTCAAGCTTATGCATAGGGTTCTCATCTAGACCCATCTGAAATTCTATACAAATAGGGAGACATATTAAATACAAAGGTCTGTGTAAATTGACTTCTTTAACTACTATTTTACAATGAAAAGGAATTTTATCACGTTTACATCCTTTTAAATTGGATATTCCTGTTTAATGTTACTGCAAGATTAAAAATTTGCCCCCACATATCTAAAAGCAGCTTGCTTTTTTTCTTAAAATATAAAAACCAAAGGAATTTCTTTTGTAGCATTGTAGAGAAAGCAACAGCTTTATGCTCACTCTTCTATGTTCGTGTAACAAAAAAGTCTGCCACTGGCTTTATTTCTGAAAATCTCCACAGAAATGTGAATCCACATATAGACCGTGCTCCCAGGACAGCTGATCCGCATGCCGGAATCCTCCCACTGCCAAACAGCTCCCAAACCTCCTAGCGCCTAAAAACGCTTTCCTTGAGAAATATGCGATCTGCTGAAGTCACAGCAGCTTTCCCAGTCCAATCTGCAGGCTCTTCCAAAGGGTTCAAGGATGAAATTCTGACTCCAAGAAGGTGCTGAGCATCCAGTATCGTGACTTGACTCTTCTCAGACTGGACATGTGCCTCTAGGGATCAACGTCCTCAAGGTCACTTCTCAACTCGCCTATCATCATGGGCGATTCTGAACCCTGCAGCAAAGAAGAGGAAGAGAAAGTTCAGATGGTTAGAGAAAAGGTTTTCTAAGGCAGCTGAATTGTGTTCTAAAACTTAAACATGTCTTTGGCAATTTACTGCAGTGTTTATCAGAGGGTAAGAAAACATGGTAACTATTACATCTAATATTTGACAACTCATGATTATGTAAAACATACACACTTCTATGCTCTCATTTAGTCAGTGAAACAACCCAGTGACTTGTCTAAAGTCACAACGCTACTCCACACCCATGTGAGAAGACAGAGCAGTGATAAAGCCGGGAGAGGCATTGGTGACTCCTTGCCCTGCACCTGTTAAGAGATGGGCTCTGGGCCACTCCTGGGTCTGAAGGCTGCGTCTGTTACCATCTGTGCGGCCTTTGGCTTACACATGTGGTGATCATTCTGAATACTCACCGTGTGCTGTGGGACTCATCAAGCAGGGGTGGGAAGGAGCAAGGACAGTCTGGAAGTGACGACCTAAACTGAGTGAGAGTTTGGGGTGAGTAGGAGGGGCCTGAGGTGGAAGGAAGAGAGTACATTTGATAAATGAAATTCAGAAAATGGGGTGAGGAGGTGTGCAGGGGCCAGTAGGACTGGGTTGAGGATTCTGGCTTTTCTCCTCATAGCAAAGGAAAGCCTTTGAAAGGTTTTAACGTGTGACCTAGAGAGAAGTAGTAGTGGAGGTGAGGGGATCCTTACAGAGATCAGGAGATGAGGGGCTTAGACAGGTGGAAGAAAGGGATGAGCACTCTTTAAAAGAGAGCTGTCTGGGATGACATGGGGGTGCTGTGTGTGACATAAGGAACACTGACCGAGGACCAGCTTCAGAGGGGGCAGGGAGGAGGGGCTGGGCACGTCGAGTCTGAGGTCTTTAAGATATGCCAAGTAGAGCATGTCAGGAACAAGAGAGATAGCTGTTCACGTCCAGAAATCCAAGGTGGGTGCGGAGAGAGTACTGAGTGTGGGCAGGAGGACACAGGTCGGAGACTCCACGAACCTTTACTGGTGGCCTCGAAGAGGCTGTACTAGGAAGGAGATGGAGAAGGAACAGCTAGAAGGGTTGGAGGAAAACTATGAGAGAGAAGTGTCAGGAAAGCCCCGGAAGAGAGTGTTTCAAACAGGAAGAGCACCAGAGGATGCCAGGGAGTCAGCTAAGATCAGGCCTGAAAGCTGCAGGCCACCTGTCACCCCAACTGCTGAGGTGGAGAGAAGAGGGAGGGAGTCGGAGGAAGAGGCTGAAGAGGGAGTGAGAGATGAGAAAATGGGGAAAGTGAAGTTTAGAGAATTATTCGAAGTTTGGCTGCAAAGAAGAGGAAGGAAGGCAGGGGCAACAGGGAGAGGCTTTGGCAGAATAGAAGAGAAAGCAGTGTGCTGAGACACTGCTGGGAAGGGTCTGGTAGGGAGGGAGCATTCCGGATACTGAAGAGTTACACGCATGCACACAGGCACACTAGACTGCAAAGCTCTGCCAAGACAGGTGGGGATGAGCTTTGGGTGGACAGAGGCAAACTTCCCACTGTCACAGGAGAGGAGATGAGAACAGAGCAGATGCTTGGGAATTAGTGGCCACAGGAGCTCTCCTGTGACCCCTTTTATTTTGTCTGCAAATGAAGCAGGTGATGAGGTAACGTGCGGAGTGACCTTGGGCTAAGTCACATCACTGTGCTGGGCCAGTTACCTTTCTGTAAAATCAGGGTGACAGTTCCTCCACATAGTTATGAGGATCTGAAAGATAACACTTAAAAAAAAGACACCCACTACATCAGCAACATTCATTTAATGGGGCCTATTCTGTACCAAGTACTGTGAAGGGACCACAGAGGAGACTGCTGTTAAGGAAGGTTACAGGCTACTGGAAAGATCTAATAATTACACTGTTCAGTGTTTGCACACAGTGAGTGTTCAATACCTATTTATATTCTTTTTCTACTATCATGATTGGTATTATAACTTTTTTTTTTTTTAATAAACATCTAAATTTTCTTGGACTCCCCTGGCAAATAGGTGTATTTCAAGAGCATGGGAGCTTTTCTTTCATGTGTCCATGTTTCCAGGAAGGCTGGTGAGAGCAAAAGAGGGACTTTCAGTAACCTGGCAAAAGAAAGTGAACAAGCTGGAACAAATCCACCTGTGGCCTCCCTTCATCAGGATTACCTGCAGGTTGATTAGGGTGGCCAGCTACAGACACCTCTATGAAGGCCTTGCATTCACTTCCTACTGCAGCACTGCTCAGCCCTATAAACACACGGTTAGTGTGTGCTGAGCTGAGATCACTAGAGGGCAGAGCTGGTGTCTCTTTGGACTCACATTCCAGAGGAGGCATCTTGTTTTCCTGGACGGTGGAAATTCTTTTTGGAAAGCTTAAGAGCAAGGCTGCCCTTTGCACACAAGGACATGCTGACAGTTATACCTGCTGCAGATGCCTGTCTCCGTTCTCATTGGCAGGACTGCTCTCTGACCCATTACTGCTTCCTGATTGCTCTTTTTCATTCAACAAAGCTGTGGCATACGCTAATGTGTCCTGCAGAAGATTCAAACACAAGACGACAAAGTTAAGGGCCATTCAGTGGCAGCAGCAACCACCAGGGAAGACCAACTTTCATTTGGCCTTCTGTGGTACCAGAGGCCTGAGAGTGAGCCTTCATCACAGCCACTAGAACCCCTCAACCTCTGTTCACTTTTGTGACCAGACTGCCCAACCTGTATGACTTTCCTTCTAGGCAAATAATCTGCACATATTTGCATCAGTGTACACCAATCTATTGTCTTTTCATAGAAATTCAACTGTTTCTTCTGCTTATTCTCATTTTCAACTCATACCTCTCTTCTCAGAGGTTGCAGTTTCTGAGAAACACAATGAGAATCCTCCATAAGGGATTTAGATCACACGAATACAAGGGACAACTCTCACCTGAGCTGAAATGGTTCGCTGAAAGGTTTTTCCAGTTGATGTTTCATTAGAGACATTACTCTGTGGTGTCCAATAATGTTCTGACATCTGCGATGAAAGGTCAAGAATGCCATCAGAGGTGACAAGCCCCTGTGAGTTCACAGCTTCTACCATTAGATATTGAGTCTTAAAAGCATCCAAAATAGGGTACAAGTCTACTCAGACCTTCCATCACATAAGGTGATTCAAGACCTCAGTCAAATATTGCTTCTTACGTCATCATCCCTACCTTTTCCCCTATGAAGTTAAGACACATGTATTAAGACAAAGTTAATGCATACAAGATATAAACGGTACCAAATAAACGTTTGAAATCTGAAAACACTTTAAGGTTAGTCTCCATACTCAGTTTCAGAGACTTTTCCTGACAAGATGTGCTGTTATTGATTCCCGTGTTGCAGCTAGAAAGATTCGATGTTCAATTACCTTCTTCTGTAGCCACTGCACAGCCCAGCTCCAGTGGTGGGAATTCTCCTTGAAGTACTCCTTAGCTGCAGGACACCTGGTGACCGAGGAAATTTTTGTTAGCTAAATTCTTTCTTTGCAAATATACTTGTTCCTAGTACTTCTCTATTTTGAAATGTAAATGCTAATTTCATTAAAATTCAGTTGTCTTTATATTTATGATTCTACTTAAATGGGGTTCCGAGAGTAGTCAAATTCATGGAGACAGAAATTAGAATTGCTTCCCCAGTGGCTGGGGGAAGGGAGGAATAGGGAGTTATTCTTCGATATGTACTGAATTTCAGTTTCAAAAGATGAAAAGAGTTCTGGAGCTAGATGATGGTGACAGTTGCACAACAATGTGAATGCACTTAAACTCACTGAACCATACCCTTAAAAATGGTTAAAATCGTAAATTTTATGTTACATACATTTCATCACAATTAAGAAAAAAGAACCTTCATTTTGCAATCAGCCTGTGTTCAAGTTTTCACTCTATGATCCTAGGCATGCCACTTAAACCACCCATGATACATGACTCATACCTGTACTAACTGCATAGGGTTGTTATAAAGATGAACTAACTAAGATAATACAGGCAAGGTTCTTGGCACAGTGCCTGGGTTCACAAACACTCAGGAGCTACAGGTGTGAGAGGCTACTTTGAGGTTAGGGACCTACAGCCTGAAGAGCTGGTAGCTGGGTTACATTACTGAGAGACCTTGAGTTGAAGCTCATGAACTCTTGCTCTTAAGGCTTCCTTCTGACATAGGGTCTGGTGGGTGAGTTTTTCTGGGATTCTTTAAGATCTGCTACTCTTTTAATACTTCCCCTCATATTTTTTTGAGATCATTCTAATAGGTTTCCGTACCTTCCAAGCAGCATGCCCTGACTGAGTCAGATTCTCCAAGTATCAAAACCGGGCACATGTTTTTCTTCTGGTCATACTTGACTTGTAATTAAAACACCATTTCCTCCCTGCATTTAAAGTTGACACTTACTTTTGAGCAAGAGTGACGAGAAATTTAACACACTGGTAGCAGCGACTGCTGTCCACATGATTACTGTGGTGCATCAAAGCTGGAGGAAGAGAAGAGGACACTGTAACAATAAAGCACTCAGCTGAAAGTGGCTCCAAGTAACAAGCTCTCTTGTTCTAAGAACTGACAAACGATTTTAATAAACTGATAAGGAACAACTTAACTAAAAGCATGGCAGTGCTGACTTAACCGAATCTCCAAACTCTAATGGGTAGAAACACTACTTTAAGTATGTTAAGGAAAAACATACATGGTGCCACAAGTTTGACTTTTAGGAGAACTGAACAGGAACAAAACTTTTTACTGCCTGATTATTCACCTAGAGACTTTTCCATTTACCATATTACTGACAGTAGTTATAACACTTTTAGTTTGATAAATGAAATTTTATGATACTAGGGTCAGTGCAGCAATTATCACCTGGTCTGTGTTTTAGGGATTTAACCATAAATATGCCAGGCATGGTGGCTCATGCCTGTAATCCCTGCACTTTGGGAGGCCAAGGCGGGTGGATCACTTGAAGTCACGAGTTCAAGATCAGCCTGAGCAACATGGCAAAACCCTATTAAAAAAATACAAAACTTAGCTGGGCTAGTGGCATATGCCCATAATCCCACCAACTTGGGAGGATGAGGTGAGAGGATCACTTGAGCTCAGGAGGCAGAGCTTGCAGTGATCTGAGATCATGTCACTGCATTCTAGCCTGGATAACAAAGTAAGATCCTGGCTCAAAATTAAAAAAAATAATACTTGGTCCTGCTCTTGAGGAGTTTATAGCTTTTAAGTTCCAGAGAGCCTGTGTACAGCTCTGACTAGAGTACACCATTCCAAAGGGTGGCCTGAAAAGGTGAAGCTACAAAACGTTTTAGCTTAAATCTCCTTTCTACAACAAAAGGAGGCCCTAAGTCTCTTAATACATAGCAAAATCTAAAATAGACTCAGATTAAGTGGAAATACAGATAAATGGTGGGAGTTGCCTAAATTATTCTTAACTAAACCTTTTCTAATAAATAGCTCAGGAAAGTCAACTGAGCCTTCTGAAAAAGAAAGCCCTGCCAAAAAAACTTGAGAGTAGACAGTGAAAATATGATTAAGCTCGCACCATAGGTAAAAAGACATTCACATTCCATGAGCCTGACAACATCCTGAGTCTCAGGTTTCAGTTTTTCTTTCCCCAGTGGCTACAGAGTACATCAGGGAGTGGGTGTTAGCTTGTTGAATAAAGTTCACAGCACTTCTGAATCCTACCTGATCTGGTAAAAGAACCCCTAGCTACACCTTAGTGACTAAAAAAAGGAGAATGTGTAGGGTGAGAAGATCCCTGGGTGTTAATTCTTCTGATCAGAATGAGGGAGCCCAGTGGCCCTGACCAGATTTGTACTGTATGAGTCACTGTAGATCCATGCAGGCGGCAGAACTGGCCAGAACAATAGATTATCCACATATTTACTGTAGACATTTGTGCATAAGGCATACTTGCCTAGTAATCCATTTTCTGTCTCAAACACAAATTTGACTCGCTCTACTTGTATGGGATCTTCAATAACCTGTGAAAGGAAGAAACAAAAGTTAGTAAACGAAAGAAGGAGCCTGTATCATAGCCATGGGTGCTTTTTAAAATAATTCTATTCAAGAGATTAGTTTAGTGTTTATCTACAACAACAACAAAACCAATACAGGACAGGCACAGTGGCTCATAACTGTGATCTCGGCATTTTGCAAGGCCAAGGCAGGAGGATCACTTGAGGTCAAGAGTTCTGAACTAGCCTGGGCAACAAGTGAGACCCCATCTCTACAAAAAAAAAAAAGTTGGGCACAGTGACATGTGCCTATAGTCCCAGCTATTTGGGAGGCTGAGGCAGAAGGATAACTTGTGCCCAGGAGTTTAAGGCTACAGTGAGCTATGACTGTGGCTCTAGCCTGGGTGCCACTGCACTCCAGCCTGGGCAACAGAGGGAGACTCTGTCTCAAAAAAAAAAAAAAGGAAAGAAAACAAAAATAAACCCAATACAAACAAATATTACATCACTGCCATATATCTCAAATATATCTTAAAACTATGATCAAAAACTATTAAGTAATACTTAAAGATCCATTCATTTCCTACATATGTGTTGCTATCAACTAGATCTACAGTTCTCTGTGGGTTATGAGGACATATACTCTACGATCCTAAGGATAAAAGGTTTAGGCTTTAACTTGCTTACAAAAATGTGAAGTTCTGCTATCAGAGCTGTATTTCTAGTTCTCAGTACTGAACTGTGCATGGTATATAAACTACCAATATATACATTGTTCATCTATCAACAAAAGGTTTGATAGATATTTGTTTGTTGTTGATGGATTAAGAATACACAGTCCTCGGTGGCTCAAGCCTGTAATCCCAGCACTTTGGGAGGCTGAGGCGGGTGGATCACGAGGTCAAGAGATCAAGACCATCCTGGTCAACATGGTGAAACCCCGTCTCTACTAAAAATACGAAAAATTAGCTGGGCATGGTGGCGCGTGCCTGTAATCCCAGCTACTCAGGAGGCTGAGACAGGAGAATTGCCTGAACCCAGGAGGTGGAGGTTGCAGTGAGCCGAGATCGCGCCATTGCACTCCAGCCTGGGTAACAAGAGCGAAACTCTGTCTCAAAAACAAAACAAAACAAAACAAAAAACAAACAATACACAGTCCTACCCCTAAGGAGCAATAATCTACCAAAGTTTGTAAAAGCATTAGAACCAAGAGGAGGTAAAGAACTTGAAAAGTAAGCTTTTAATAAATGGCACCCATGATGTCTTTTCTTACTCAAAACTCTTTATTAAATGCCCAGTCTGTGCCAAGCCCTCTATGAAGTATAAGGAATCCAAAGGAAACTCAGGCGCTCACTCTCTATGGAACCTCTGGATCAGGCTCACGTAACTCATAACCAGTCACCAAATCCCACTGATTCTCTTTCCATAATACCTCTTGACCTGTCTGTCCCTTGCCCCACCACAGGCCTTGTTATTTCACACTTAGAATATTCCCAGACTCCTGAATGGTCTTCCAATTCCCAATCTTGTATCCTTCTTTAGTCCATCCTTCAATGTAACTGCCAGAGGATTTTTTTCCCCTGCTCTTCATACTTCTGAAACTGGAAAGCATCCTACAAATGGTTACATTTCAGTTTCATAGCCCTTAAAAATATTTTCAGTAGTACATATATACAATCAATAGTGTCTGAGATTTGATGATAAACTGTAAAGCCAGAAATTCACCTCTGAGGATGACTGTAAGGTTTAACCCTAATAACCTTTGCGCTAACACAATGCCTTCTCCACTGGGAGGCCCTGGCAAGGGTTAACCATCACCTAGCACTCCCCTTCACTCTGCACTACAGCTGCCTGTGCACTTACCTCACTCCCTCACTCAACTGTGAGCTCTGAGGAGGTAGTTTTACCACTGCTCACCTCTAAACCAAATGCATTAAACACGTGACTGACGTGAAGAAGACTCAATAAATGCAGACCAAATGAATGGAAAAACAATAAAAAGACATAATTTTTTATTTATAAACACGTGTTGATTAATACATTCCTAAATAAAAGTGAATCAGAACAGTTATGACTTACCAATATTTCATGAAGTAGTTGGAACGTATTCTTTAACTCATGGGGTGGAGCCGTTTCTAGTTGGTTCTGAAATATTTTTTAAAAGCATAAAAATTTCAGTGGAAAAGGCAATAAATGATGTTGGATCCAAACCCTAGTTCTATCACCATCTGGCTGACCTTGAGCAAGTCAACTCCCCTTTCCGGGCCTCAGTTTCTCAAATGCTAAAGCTGGAATTGAAATGAACAACCTCTAAGGTCCTTCCAGCTGCAACACTCTGATACTTCACTATGAAATTAGGAAGGAGGAAAGAGAAGAGATTTCAAGTCACTAAACAGATCTGATTTTACATATGTCCATGTCCTAGCGTGTTTTCCAGAATATGCTGGTAGAGCTACAAAAATACAAATGAGAAGCTGGGTGCAGTGGCTCACGCTTGTAATCCCAGCACTTTGGGAGGCTGAGGCGGGCAGATCACCTGAGGTCGGGAGTTCGAGACCAGCCTGACCAACATGGAGAAACCTCATCTCTACTGAAAATACAAAAATAGCTGGGTATGGTGGAGCATGCCTGTAATCCAAGCTACTCAGGAGGCTGAGGCAGGAGAATCGCTTGAACCTGGGAGGCAGAGGTTTTGGTGAGTGGAGATTGTGCCACTGCACTCCAGCCTGAAACTTGGTCCAAAAAGGAAAAAAAAAAAAAAACAGATGAGAATACTCTGAGTTAAGGATGCTATGAACAAAGTACATAAAAAGTCAGCTTATTAAATAGAAAAATGTGCCAAGATATACTAAGTGAAAAAGGTAAAATTCATAAAACACACTCCCCTTCAGCCACTTTAGTAACATTTATTATGTATAAAAGGTGGGAAAGACCATTGTGTTAAAATACCACACTTCCAAGAGGCCAGGTACAGTACTAAGTAAGCACTCCGCCTATTATACCACCTCAGCAAATCCTCACAACCTGTGAAATCAGTCACAGAGGAGGAAACTGCCCAAGGGCATATAATTAGTAACTAGCAAAGAGAGGAAATTAATAACTTCTGACATAGGCCTGTACAGAAAAGGCTGAGGGCAAAACATATTGTAGTAAGAGTCTAAAGACATAATCCACTAATCGCCTGCTTCTTGTTAACACTACATGTATCACCACTATAAATAGTGGTGCAGAAAAGAAGGCATGCAGAAATTCTGTGGGCAGAAACTAATATATACACAGTGTAAATGCATACAAAGAGGCCTGGAGGAAAACAGCAATGTAACGGTGTTGGTCCCTGGGGTAGAGTGGGCAAGGATGACTGGTGGTGACCAGAGTAGACTTTGGTCTCATTTCCCTTTTATTTATTTATTTATTCTTTTCCCAGCCTATATTTTTTCTTTTGGCCTCATTTCTATGCTTAAATTCTCCCCAAAGAGAGTGTAGTAATTTATCTATGTAATTAAAAATTAAAGATTAAAAATGAATCAAAATGAGCCTATGCTATTATGATTAGGAGAAACAATTTCCGAGAACAAGCACACTGCCTTGGGGCAAACAGATGCTCTCCTAGAGTCTCACATAAAGGCTACCTGGCTATAACTAGGTTAACTGAGGTCCTACCTTAATGAAATGCAGCATTGTGAAGGAAAAATGCTCATTACAGAAACAGCAGTACACCACCATCTCAATGAGCGCCAAGAGCGAACCCGTCAGCTCCCGCAAAGCAAACATGACCTGGTGGGAGGACATAACAGAGTCAGCTCTTCATGTCACAGCTAACAGTCCATCTGTTGTTGCTGCCTTTAACTCAAATCTACCCAGATTTTAAGATAATTAACACTGCCTCAAAACAGGGTTTCTTAACTGTGAGAAGTCTATAGATAGATTCCAGGGTGTCTAAGCCTGACTGAAATTTTAAACAACTTTGTGAAAATGTGCACTTTTTTCCAGGAGTTGTTTCCATCAGCTTTTCAAAGCAAAAGCTCCCATAATTAAAATAATCAGCAATTTACCCAAAAAATATTAAGCCAAAAAAAGATGTATTAAATAGCACGACACTGTTGATTTACTTAAAAACAAAACAGAATTATATTGTTCATAGATTCACATATGTGTAAATCAGTTAGGAAAGAAGGACTGGAAGATGGTGTCCATAGCTGGGGCGGCTCTGTTGGAAGGGGAGGGTCGGATTGAGGATTGAGCCACACAAGCGCCACGATGGAGAGCTGAGAGCAGCCCACCCCATACTCCTGAGGTTTAACAACATGTGTGGTTCACAGTTGTACTATTCCAGGACCATGGACACACAAGAGAGATTGGGGTCAAAACCTCTACAATGAATGCAATGATTTTGATGGGTGAAGTGCCATTTACCTCCCTCTGGGGCCCTAATTGGTAGGTGGCTGGGCTGAACTTGGAGGTCTGGACCTTGGCTGAAGGGAGGACTAATAATATTCTCTTCCACCAATTATTCTTTTTGACATATAAGAAAACTTAATTTGAAAGAATAATTTCTTCTCTTAACAATACTCTTCATGTCAAATGCAACTAATAACAAAAAGCAATTTTCCTCAAATAGGAGAAAAAATGGCTTTAGAATAACAAGTACATACCTCTAACAGGTAAGGTTTCCCTTCAGACATGAACAACAAGGCTTCTACCTCCTCATGGAGGGGCAGCAGAGGGCTTGAGGGAGCAATGCTAATGGGTGGTCGTTGCTTAAATACGCCAGGAGCTTTAGGAGACCAAAGAAACAAAACAGAACCTGTCTCACCTGGTGTTACTCCACAGAATACACACCCATAAGGAAATGTGCCTGCTTCAAGACTTGCACACACACGGAGTACGCACACAAGCAGATCCCTCACAGTCTAGAGGATACCTAGTGATTCCACTCGATAATATCTCAAAGAGGTAAAAATATAAATAGTCCATGAAATAGTGCCGAAAGCTGCCACTGAAGAGGTGGAGAAGACACTTTTGTTCCTCAAACAACTGTTCCCGAATAATGGCCAACACCAACTATGCTAAGCAGAATCAACCATATGGAAAGAGTTATCTCATTCGCCAGAAAAATCAGAATGCATACTTTAATTTTCTTTTTCTTTCTTTTTTTTTTTGAGACGGAGTTTCACTCTTGTTACCCAGGCTCGAGTGCAATGGCGCGATCTCAGCTCACTGCAACGTCCGCCTCCTGGGTTCAGGCAATTCTCCTGCCTCAACCTCCTGAGTAGCTGGCATTACAGGCACGCGCCACCATGCCCAGCTAATTTTTTGTATTTTTAGTAGAGACGGGGTTTCACCATGTTGACCAGGATGGTCTTGATCTCTTGACCTCGTGATCCACCCGCCTCGGCCTCCCAAAGTGCTGGGATCACAGGCTTGAGCCACTGTCTGGACTCATGAAATTAGGTAGCTTTGTCTTTTTAGATGAGTCAGAGTTTAGTAAGCAAACTCTACCTCATAACCATCCAAGTGTTCCTCTAATGTCCCTTTAGACAATAAACATTTCTCTGTCAGAATGATGCTCTCTGTTTTTTAGTTTCCTGCCATTAGATCTTCCTAGCAGCTTCTGGGGCTGAGCTTGCATTTATGCCTTGGCTTCTATGCTACTAACTAGCTATACGACGTTGTGGAGGTTACTCAACCTTTCTGTATCTTAGTCTTTGCATCCATAGACTGGGACGAACACTCCTCATAGGTTTGGTATGGGGATAAAACACACTGTTGTGCTTTAAACAGAATAAATTTAAAGCACAGCACATAGAAAACACTGAAAAGCTGTTTGGTTGTATTATTACTACAGTTGTTGTTACTATCATGACAAGGCCTGGGAAGAGTATAAAAACAGTACACACATAGGTTAGAACACTGGATAATCATATAGGACAATTGTGTTTTTGGTGGATTAAATGTTGACTGTGCTACTAGTTCTGGGAGACAAAATGGAAAATGCTACCAACTATATCTTACATACAAATGTATTTTGATGATGTGACTTATTTCTGTATCCCCTTTGTTTTTACAAAGTACTTTATCTCCTTATCTTATAATACCTGGGGAATTATGTTTTTAGTCTTTTGCACTGAAGATCAGAACAATTAGGTGGCTTGGTCAGGTTCACATAGCTAGAAGACTCGAGCCTATACCATGGCTATTTCCCCACAGTATCAGCTCAAATTAAGGTGACAAATGAGCCTTTAATCCTAGAGAGTTATTAAAAAAAAATACTTACATACCCTTTCACCTCCCCCAAATAAATGACTCATTTTCTCTTAGGACAAACTAGTAAAATATTACAAAGTTTAACATAAATTCAAACAAAAATTTTAAGTGAACCTCAACTAGCAAGTAGTCAAATGAGAAACAAGGGAAATTCACTTAATTGCTAATATTATTACTCCCCAAGCTAGACAAATTCAATACCTCTTTATTTTAAGATATGTTAAGCTTACCAACATTCCTTTGGGATGAGACATCTGAATGCAAAACAAGTAGTGCCACTGTATTGTGAAGATTCCCAAATTCTCGTGCTTGTGCTGAACTCCATCGACGTATCTGTCATCGGAGAAGATAAAGTGGCTATCAGTGTTTTCGTTAGAAACAATATGAAGAGGAAGGGAGAGGGTTTGCTGGCTCATAATATTCTGGGCTTGAATTATTTCTCAATGCTTGTAGAAGAGGTCAAAGTACAAAAAACCCACAGGTTTAAAGCCAGCTCAAAGGGTTCTATTAACCCATGTTCTAAAACCAGTCCCTTCAGGTATTCACTTTAGGTACTGAGTGCTTACAATGTGCCAGGTAATCTTCCTGGGCCTCAGTATAACGCAAAAAACCCTGAGGCTGGAGATCTGCAGGTCTGGCCCTGCCTCTACCACCCACTGTGCTGTATAATGTGGGTGAATTCTTCACCACAACAATATCTGAGTTCTTCATGTACTGGCAGAGATAAGGCTACCTCCTTTTTCTGCCTACTTTGTGATTTTGAGGACCAAATGAAATACTAAAAGTGAAAATGTTTTCAAAAGTAAAAATGTGCTCTATAAATGCAAAACAGTATTAATTACATGTGTAGCTGAATTATAGTGAATTTAAATCAATTGCTAGTGTCAATATGGAAGAGCTTGAAGTGGAAAAGGGATACTGTAAGTCTCAACATAAGATCAACACACAGAGCACATGACGGTGTCAGCACTTGTTTTTTAACACTGAAGAGGAAGCTGGGAGGAAGCCTAGGCTGAAAATCTGTCTTTTGTAGCCTGTGCAATGTGTTACATACAGTGGAAAAGGCTCCGGCTTTGACACCAGCAGAGCTGGGTCTGAATCCCTGCTCCACCAATGCATTAGCTTTGTGACCTTGGACAAGTTACTTAACATCTCTGAGCTTTAATCCTTGCCTGAAAATGAGAATGAAGCTGCTTAATTTTACAGAATTGTGAGTAACAAAGTATACCACCATAAAGTGATCAGTTGTATCGAGTACATAACAAGTGCTCCATAAATAATAGTACTTCTCACCACCGCATGTTAGCATTTCATGTATTTTCAGTCTATCAAACAAAATATAATGGATGGGAGAAACACAGCATTAAAGGAATTTCCAACAGGAGAGTTGGTTTTGGATACATTCAACCCTATTATGACAAAATAACCTCAGTAAGCTGAGGCAGGCAGATGGCTTGAGCCCAGCAGTTCGAGACCAGCTTGGGCAACTTGGTGAAACCCTGTCTCTACACGAAATACAAAAATTAGCCAGGTGTGGTGGCATGTACCTATAGTCCCAGCTACTACGGGGCAGAGGAGGGAGGATCGCTTGAGCCTGGAAGGTCTAGGCTGCAGTGATCCTTGATCACACCACTGCCTCCAACCTGGGTGACAGCAGCCTAGTGACAGAGTGAAACCTTGTCTCAAACAAACAACCACCAGAAAAACCCCAAACAACTACCTTTTCATCTGAATAAGAGTATTTATTTTATCTGCAATATCATTCAGTTTATAACAGCACAACTTCGCATTCGAATTCTGACTGTGTTTTCAGCATCTGACTTAAAAGGACCAGTACCCAAATAGTCTTATTCATAGCCCCAGAGAGGAAGTAGAAGACCCCAATGCCACCTATTCCTTAAAGGTTTTTGAAACCCCCTCCCCAGTCAGAATCCATCTTTCCCTCTTATGACACTCACACTTCACATTTTGATTGACATTCTAGTTAGTAATTTCCATGGGTTATTAGACTAAATCCTATGGAGAAGTTGTAAAAATAACTCCAGAGAATTTTAAAGTCTCTATTGTATTAGTGCTTAGAATTTTATGAAATTAAAAAAATTCACCTACGAAAAGAAACAGTGGCTATGAAAACCATAGCCATTCCACTAGAAACATAAAAGCAGTCCTTACCTGATTGTTTTGCCGACTGGCCCCTAGGAGAAAGCTGACCATGTGCCTCAGAGCTGAATGCCTCAGAAGAAGATCTCCAGCCCTGATACCTTGCTGTCACAAGATATTGGGAATAACAAATTATATTTCTATAAAGACAGAAATTTGTTTTAACAACACAGCTAAATAATAAGTTTTAGGGAGTCAATGTATTTTTAAAAAATAGTATTTCTGTGTAGAAAGTACTTGTTAAAATCTAATTAAAAAAACTCCTGAGCCTCACATTAGTTCACAATAACTACTGAACAATTAACTCCTAGTTTTAATGCAGAGTTTTACTGCTATCAATGAGCAACTATACTCACCTTATCAGAATTCTTACATGTAATATAATTCACAAGCTTTTTAAGAAGAAACATAATAAAAAACATATAAAACTTTACTAACCAGTCTGAAAACTTTTTAGAGTATAAATCCTCTGTATTAGGAAAATATATTAGGAAAGAAATTATTTACCTTTTGTACAAAAGTGTTGAACAGGAAAAAGTACTGAGCACAGTTTTTACAATTTTCCGGAACGTCTTTATCCAGCAGAGCAAGTAGTACCTCCAGCAACTGATGAAGGCTTTTTAACTGGTTAGAGGAAAGATAAAATTACATGAAGAAAAAGAACATAAGACAGACATTTATAACAGGATTCATTTGAGGTAAATCATCATAAGAAAAAAAGGAAAGTCTGATTGATACAATCCAGTCTCAGATTCAGATGGACTTATGCTTTGAAGAGCAAAAACAGAATTAACCATTTTACCTTCCAGAGAAAGATTGGTACCATAGCAATACTTAAAAGAAAAGCTTAGTTTCAGTTCCTAGATTTCAGAGTCAAGGGCATGATGCTACCGCCGAGTCACATTTTCTCCAGAGCCAGTATCTCTCTGTCTCTTAAAAAAAGGTGGGGTGTTTAGGGAAGACATTTCTGAATCCCTCCCTCCACTATGTTGCTTCTTCACATAATCACAGATGCAAAGAATAAAAAACACAGACACAGGCATAGGGGCTGGAAACCAAGCCGATGGAGCAAATGGAGAGCAACAGCCTGACAGAATGACAACGGTGATATCGACTCAGCTGTGAACTTACTTGAGAGCCCGCTGACGCCTCATGGAAAGCTTTGAAAAACATTTTATTTGTTTAGAAACCATTTTGGTTATGACATTGCTTCTTCTTTCCCTCCCACCCCAGCTGCTTTTGGACAAGTCCCTAGAAGTTCATCTTTGATCTAGAATTAAGACCAGGCTTACTACTCTCGTTAGTTCGTTTCCTCTGAAGATGGTATTCATACTCTGCAATATTCCCATCCATCCTGTCACACCCATTATGAATACAGTAAAATTTAGCATTTACACAGCACTTCAGTTTCAAAGTACTTTACAATATAAAGTGGGTGGCAAGAGGCACCATTTCCATTTATAGGGGGGAAATAGACATGAAAATCCATCAGCTGGGCATCAGACAGAACTCACTGAGCAAATGGCTTCCAAGTGTATGGCTGCCATTCCCTTCTCTTTCTGCCACCTGCTGTCCTGTCTTTGGAGGCTCATGGGTAATATGCTACAGCCTGACCCCATCTGTAGGGAGGCTGCACTAACTCTGCCTTTATCCTTTGTTTGGGTTGGTACATGGGAGGAAGGAGGAGAGTGATGTGGTCCTTAAGTTAAGAATTCTTGATGCATCTTAGAAACTTCCACAGGGGATGGAGCAGTGGCATTTGAACTGTCCTCAGCAGCTCCTATGGCTTGATTCTACATTCTGCATCCAGGTAGGGTTTTGTTTAAAAAATATTTCTGCTATTTAAGCTGATCAAAACCACTGCCTTACAGTAAACCTCAACTTCCTAATGATTCCCGGAATTGAGACACAGTCTTTTAGGACCTTCCTAACAGGCATATTTGACCGCCTTGTTCATGGAACTAAGTGCTTGGGTGGCAGGTACTATATCTGCATCAACATCCTCCTTACAGGACTTACTCAAAGTTGCACAGCAAAGCCAACATCTGCATTTGAAGCAGTAACTTCTAGAATCTGTTAGTTCATTGAGGAACAATGCCTCCAGCTAACATTTATAAGGAGCCAATTTGTTGTGAAAATAACATTTTTCAAAGTTTTCCATGTAGTGTCAGCTGTTTGAAACAGCAAACTTGGGAAGTGACTGCTGTATCTGTAAGGACGTAACGCCCCTGGATGAATGGCACTATTTGGTTTGGTTGCCAGCTGCAGGTTTAGATCAGGAAAATAGCTTATGAGCAAAGAGACAAGGCCAGAGGTGGCTTGAAATGTCTGCTGGTCTAGATGAGTCTCTAGACACAGAATAGTCTCAGTTCAGAGAGATCTAATACAAATTCTTGAGAGAGGACTCTGAAAAGGGAATGTTTCTAGAGATAAAATCCCAAAGCAGACCGAAGGAGGCCTGAATTACTGGCCTACCCTGGTGTTTGGTATGTGAGGAGGAAGGGACAGAATGCCTTCTCCCTGGCATGTACCAAAAAGTCAGTTCACAAAAGGTGTATTTATGTGGCAAAATTACCAGACTCCAATCCTAGGCTCTTTCTTATTACCTGCAATTTAAAACATTTGGTAAAAACAAAATGTGTAAATAACGTTTTAAAAATGAGACCGACCTTATCCTGATAAAACAAGGCACTGTCTAGGGTTTTCTCCAGAATGGTGGCCACAGCAACTCGTACTTCTCTCACACTGCACTCCAGTAAGAAAATCCTGAAAGAAAGAGAGGGGGTATGAGAAAGCAAGATACACTGCCATGACCTCAACCTTCCCAACATGGGTCCCACCTAACAGCCAAGAAACAAAGGCACAGTCTCCTGACCGTGTTAGCACTTATAGGCCAAGTCACTTCACTTCTGCTTATTCCTGGTAACTGTAATGCTATAAATTAGCCGACAGGGCTCTGGTCAAAGTTCACTAAGATTCTGAGGGATAACTCTAAGAAAGTTTACAAGATAACAAATACTCCCATAATGTTTAGCTTTAGAGGTCCAATCAGACTCAGGCACAATTCTCTTGGAAGGAATACCTAGAGGATGCAAACAGATCCAGAATATGGGGAGGTCTACAGAACAAACAGTCTTCTCCCCACACAAATGGCACAGCATACAAGGGGAAGGCGGGGGGGAGGGGGCAAAGGAACAACTGATGGTCGAAAGAGCCTTAAGAGACATAGAAAGCAAAGACCATGTGTGGACTTCACTGGTTCCTGATCTGTGCAAACTCAATGGTAAAATGACACTTCTGAGACTTTTGGAGGAAATCTGAACATGGACTGGGTATAAGGTAATATGAAGGAATTGGTAATTTTGTTGGTGCAATAATGGAACTTAACATTTTTTTTAAAACTTTTCTATTAGAGATAAACTTTACCTTCAGGTACTTGCTGAAATTTATCATGAAATGATATAATGTCTCAAATTTAAAATCCTTCAGAGTGAAAAAAAAAGGCCTGCATGTAGGTTGTGTGTGAGAGCTGAGATAGCTAAGATAAGACAGGCAAATGTCAACAACTTGCCTGGAGCCTGGGTACAGGAGAGGGCTCATTCTGCCTACTTCCATGTGTGTTTAAACATTTCCACAATAAAACGCTCTTAAAGATGTAAAGCATCCTCCATATTAGTAGTTTGAATTCTTTAGATCAATCTGTAAGCAACATTTACTATGAATTATGTTTTTTACGATTAGAATTACATTTAAAGAATTGCCTTAAAAGAAGACTACACTGAGGGGCTGATCTAAAAGAGAACACTTTATATTTAAAGTTACTAAAATATTAGTACAGTATATATACTTATTTTTTAGTTGTAAAAATGACAACCTATCTTCAAAATTATACAGAAATAAGTAATCAGAAAAGAAGATTATTAAATCTTCAAGCATGGAATCACAGCAATTGATAGTGATGAGTAACTGGTCTTTATAAAGAAAGAAACAAACTACAATTTCTCTGGAGATATTTAAAAGCAGGCCTGCTTGGATATAAGGGAATGAATAAAATATTTGCTATGTTCCTGCCTAATGGATGATGTTTCTGTAACATTCTAATGCTTGCCTAATGCTCAGGAGTCCTGTTGGAAAGATATTTTGGAATCAAACTAGAAAAATGGTTATCTCTAATGTAAACTCTAAAGGGACAGGCATACAGCACACAGCACTTCAAATAAATGTTTACTGACTTTTTATGAATTATATGGATATATGCATGCATGCATGAATAACATTTGAGTGCTCGCTGTTTGCTAGCCTCTTTTTGTCTAGTAGCGAATGAACTGAACCTGGCCCTCGAGAAGCTCAAGTTTTAGTGGAGGAAATGGGCAGAAGAACAGGGAGAGGACTAGCAGGCAAACATCTGTTAGACGGGGTGACTGGAGAAGGCCTCTCAGAGCAAGTGCTATGCAGGCTGATGTCTGAAGGAGAAGCCACTTACTATACAAGGAGGGGAGGACAGTGTTCCATATAAGGAATAACAGGTGAAAAGACCTTTATGCAGGAAAATAAGCTCAGCAGGTCCAAGGAACCAATAAGCCAGTAAGGCTAAAGCCTGATAAGCAAGGAGTGAGTCAAGGAAAGCCTGGAAGGATAAAAACCAGATCAAGCAAGACCTTGCGGGTTACTGGGAATATTTTGGATTTTATTATGAGTGCAATAGGATTCCGCTAAAGAATTTTTCACCAGAGAGGTAATGTGATCTAATTTGTTTGAAAAAGAAAAGCTTTGTTGCTGAATGAGATAGATTAGAGGGAAAAGTGGAGATATCAAGTAGGCAAATAAATGTTTGGAGCTCAGACCTAGAGATGAAGGGGGTGTGGGATCAACAGTTCTGAGAAGATCTCTAACTTACCACCAGACTATGATCACTGTGTGGAAGAGACGTGCGTTTCTGATTTCCCTGTTGTGTGTTTGTTTTGAGAGAAAACAGCATATTTGTATGCTGACAGAAGTGATCTGATAGAAAATTCTAGAGAGTAAAGATGCAGGAATAAGAGTGAGATAATTAAAGGGTCAACTTTCTTGAGAAGGTCTGTACTGCATATGTAGAGAGATTCATTTTGAGAGAAGAGAGGATACTTCCTCTACAATAGAGAGAGGAAAGGGCAAGCTGGAACAGACTCTGGCAGGTGTGTGGCATCTGTGGTTGGAGCAGGGAATGCTCATTTGCTAATCTGTACTTTCTCAGTGAAGTTGAGCAGTTAGGAGCAGGCAGAGCTGAGGCAGAGTGAAGGAGGAGCCCACTGGGAATAGAGATGGGATACCAGCGACCACAGCAGTGCCTGCTGGAACCCCACACACGTAGAACTTCCAAGAACAGGAGAAGCTGACCTGCTGAGGATGATTGAAAGTAAAGTATAAACATTCATAGCATTTTGAATTTCTGCCAGAAAAGCAAATGTTTCTTTTCTTAATTTTTTTAATTTCAGGTACACAGGTAGATGTACTATCATAGGTAATATACTACCAGTAGATTTTTGAAAAATAATTTTTTAGTCAGAATCCAAACACAGTTAGACAATACTGTGAACTGTGTGGTAACGTGGGATTGTTTATCTCTTTCCACCAGACTCTGAGTCCCTGAGGGAAGAGACTTGCATCTCTGACCCCCTTGAGCCACAGCAGGGATTTAGGAACCATGTGCCTCTGAGCATCTAGCAGGCAATGTGCCTCACAGGCTCTTCTTGTGGTCACTGAATACTTGCCTAAGATGATTTTGGAGTGACCTGAATAATTAGCTCACTGTTTCAGTGAAGAGAGTTTAAAATTGACTTTAATAAAAAAATAACTTCAAGTTGAAATAAAAAATGTTGTAAGAAACTTCAATCTAAATCATTGCAAGAGACACACATTTCTTTTAACTAAAAAGACTCAAACACTTACTTTATCAATTCTCGTCCTTCAGAACTAATAAAATATTCAACTAACCACTGACAAGCATCAAAACTTTTTGAAAGCAATGCTTCAATGGTAGCAATCCATTCTTCAGTATCAACCCTTAAAAAAAAAGCAGAGACAGAAATGTTAGGAGCATGACTCCAGCCAAATGACCCCATGCAGTGCCACTCTTACTGGTTCTTATCATTTCTATGTCTGTCTGTCTGTCTATTGTGGGTAGGGTGGAGGGATAAGAGATACTCAATGATGACTCACTACCACGGCTCAGTGTACCTGGCAAGCCAATGCTTTGCATTCCTTGGCTCCTTGTGGTATGGCTCATCTTTCCCCACAAACAAAAATGTGTCAAGAAGCTTAGACTTTACCTCCTTCCTTCTGCATCTTCATCAAACAACTCTAATTGGAAAAAAGGTCTGAACTACAGCATTTTGTTTTGTTCAATTTTTTGCTCACAAAATGTCCACTTTCAGAATAGCTTACATTGACATTTTTATACTTTATTGCTAAAATCATTAATATTCTATCTTATGGAATAAAAAATATATTCAGGCAGAAAAATATGTATAATGACTATTCTCGCCCTCGTAACGCTTCCCTTATGTCCTCCAATGTCCCAAAATGATCATTGTGTGTAATGACCATATAAGCAAAATGGAAATAGTGTGCAATGTGTAAACAGCATGAGCGAATTTCACAAACAAAAGTGACCAAGGGTCCTTAGTTAATCCTATGCCAGACACTAAAAGAAAATAATATATTATTTTTCTTTATCAAATAATAAAGATTGAGATCACTTAATATATCTGTGATTACTACACATAAAAATGAAGTTGTCACTCTATTTTTTTCTTTTCTCAAGAGTTTCTTGATTACAAAATCTGTCCAAAACCCTTTCCATACTTTGAGAAGCTCACTTCGCTAGTGTGAGGGAACAGACTGGGAACTTCAGTGTTTTTTAAACTCTAACTGGTCTCCTCACCCTGGATCTCCCCTTACTCTAGGTATAGTCTACAAATCACTGCTCAGTACTCTTAATTCTTCACTTATTTATTCATAGAACAACTACTTATCCAGAACCTAAAATGTATAAAACCAATGATGTGATAAACCAATAATGTGATAAAAACCAATAATGAGGCCAGGTGCAGTGGCTCACGCCTGTAATCCCTGTACTTTCGGAGGCTGAGGCAGGCAGATCACCTGAGGCTGGGTTTGCGAGTAGCTTGTCCAACATGGTGAAACCCCATCTCTACTAAAAACACAAAAATTAGCCAGGTGTGTGGTGCACGCCTGTAATCCCAGCTACTTGGGAGGCTGAGGTAGAAAAATCACTTGATCCCGGGACACAGAGGCTGCAGTGAGCCGAGACTGCACCACTGCACTCCAGCCTGGAGTACATCTCAAAAACCAAAAAACCCGAAAAAACAATGTTGAATAAGAAACAGTCAATATCTGTAAAGTTTCTAAGGCAGAGGTCCCCAACCCCTGGGCCATGGACCAGTACTGGTCTGGGATCTGTTAGGAACAGGGCCGCACAGCGGGAGGTAAGCAGTGCGCGAGTGAGCATCACAGCCTGAGCTCCACTTCCTGTCAGATCGCAGGCAGCACTAGATTCTCACAGGAGCATAAACCCTATCGTGAACTGCACATGTGAGGGATCTAGGCTGTGCGTTCCCTATGAGAATCTATCTGTCTCTACAACCCTTCCTTTTGTGGAAAAATTGCCTTCCACGAAACCAGTCCCTGTTGCTAAAAATACTGGAGACTGTTGTTCTAAGGCATTACTCTGAATATACTTCCCTGTTCAAAAACCATCCATGATCTCCCACTGAACAAAGCCCAAACTCCTTGCTTTCGTACTACAGGCACTCAGTGAGTTCCAAACCCAACATTCACCCTGAGCTCCAGGAGTCTCTCACACCTCCTAGTAAAACACAATTAGTCACTCATCATTCCCTAGGCAACTCTTGTCTGTTACTCAGGCTTTTCCCTTCTGCCTAAAATGAAACTTCTGTGTTTCTGTTTTGCCTTTCGTAACCCTCTGAGAACATCAGTGTCTTAAGCCTACTCTAATCTCCTTATCTGGATATGATTTTGCCCAATCCCGAGATGTACAGAATTTATGTCTTGGTATAAATTCTCTTGTTAAGTATGTTTCTTTTGTTGATCTATTCTTTCCGTTAGACTAGAAGTTTCCTAAAGCTAGAGACTATGTCTTAGTCATCTGAATAAAATTAGGTAGCTGCTTTCACAATATTTTAAAATTATAAATTCAACTTCAGTTGAATTAATCAGTGCCCTCTGTCACAACAAATTATCAAAACACATCACTTCTCACCTGAGTTTCTTCTTTGTCCGTAAATAAGTTTGAAAAAGGAATTGAATAGCAAGCTGTAAGCTCACCTTCGCCATGCAAGGATAATATGGATGCTTTAATTTAGTCTAAGAGAGGGAAACAAGAAAGGGTATTTTTCACAAAGTTTTATAGATTACACAATGTTACGAACTGAATATGATACACACACATGAAATATGAATATGAATATGATATACACATGATAAAACTAAACACTAATAAGAATCTAGCCAGTTCAGTATCAAAAATGCTCCATTTAAATTTTTAAAAAGGTTAAGAAAAGGCATCTTCTTTATTTCTTTTATGCAATTCTCTCAAAACAGTTGTTAGACCACAGGATGTTAAGTGATCAAGAGACTAAGAACATTTTTTTCCCTTATTGGCAAATTATAATCATGGTTCTCAAGGAAAATAAGTAGTTGAAAGTTAATCTTGAGTCTTATAATATTTGATCACAAATTAGGAATCTCCAGAGCCCAGTATCCATTGACATGAGCTCATGGCTATAGCTATTCTAAGATACTTTAATAAAATCTAAACAAGGGCACTTTAGAAAGCCAGTATGTGAAAAACTCACACCTCCCCGCCATCTATATTATACATTCAAAATGCTGCCTGCAATTTTAATATTACCCATTAAGGGCTATATTTACGGAAAAATCTTTTTGCACCTAATCTGAATGCTAATTACTGAGAGTGAGGATGAATCACTGAATGCTTTAGCTAAAAGATATTTAATTGTAATCCTTTCTTATTTCTAACAATCCAACTAGCTACTTACAGCATTCAACGAAGCTAAAGACAAAACAAAACTGAAATAATCACTGCTGTACACATCTCTATTCTTCATAAACTTGAGGTTCTCATCTCTCACCATCTACAAAAGAAGATTAATAATTATTTTTATGAAATATTCAATATGTGAAGGACATTTCTAACGATATGTAAAAATGAGGTAAAAAGTGAATTATAATTTGTAATTCCCCTTTCTCAAGTTTTGAACTTTTAAAAGAGGAGAGAGAAAACCTTCCTTTGAAATATAAGATGTTATGAGAACTATTATTCATTAAACCATACCCTTTCGGGAAATTCAGATAAACTGCCAGGTGAAGGACAAGTGAATTCTAACTTGGTGTTTTGGGTAGAAGGGGACAAACAGAGCATTCCCAAACACAACCAACTGCATGCTTCCTTTGTGCTAGATGGCTTAATTTTCTTTCTTAATGAAAGACTCCACATTTTTCTCAAATTCTCTTGTTCTAGGTACTGAGCTTTTGATTAGTGTATAAAGACAGTTCTGAATTTAGATCCTTGCCCTGAGACACTGGCATATCACTTTTCCCTTTCAGAACTTGTTTTTCCATCCAAAAAATGAGAATAAAACCAGATACTACACAATAATTTTTTTACAAATTAGAGATCTGCTTAAAGCATGTGGCACACAGTAGGTGTTCAATAAATAATGGCCAATCATTGTCTTATTAGTCCTACTCAAAGGTTATGAACCTTAACTAGTTTTTCTCTCTGGATAAAATAAGGTGATTTCAGCAATGTGGTTTCTTTACTGCCCACTCTCCACGCATCTCACACTCACACAGCGGGTCAGTGCCTGCCTGCCAGTCCTGAGTGTGTATTCATACTTGTGTTCTTAGCATTCCATGGCTCTAGCGCTATAGTCCCCACTCTGGTGTGGCATAAAAGGTTCATGAAACAAGTGTGTAAGACGATGTAGCACCAGTGGCATGACTAATCCAGCAGGAGTACTTTTGGCCTACTGGACACATTTTGATGTCCACGTGAATATTCCTCCTTAGAATATTTTATATGGTTCTTACCTGGTATATTCGTGCAGGCATTTTCTCCACAAACAGTCCTTTCTTCTCGCCTTTTTTAACCAGCTTGGTAAGAATAGACAGCCGGTCATTGTTAGGCCTATGAAGCCGAGGAGATGACTGAGGTGAAATTTCTGGTGAAGATGGAGCTGACCTAAGAGACAGAATCAGAAAACTTTGTCTAGTATGACCTAAGAGACAGAATCAGAAAACTTTGTCTAGCATGACCTAAGAGACAGAATCAGAAAACTTTGTCTAGTATAACGTGACTATTGTTTTAACAGTTACTAAGTTATTAAATTTGAAAACTTGGTTCAACACTTTGTTCTTACAAGATTTTGAGTGTAAATTTATTTCACTGCTTTTTAATGGTTGCGAAAGATACCTCACAATAATTCACATAAACAGGGTATTAAACGATTTGATTATTATACATACATTGAAACATAAAACTGCACAATATTTAATATCACAGTATCACATGAATATATACGATTATAATGTGTCAATTAAGAAATTAAAAAATGTAATACCTTCCAATTAGTTGGGAGAACTGATTGACATTATAGAAGATAAAATATTACAGAAAATTAAAAAATATTTTTTTTTTTTTGAGACAGTTTTGCCCTGTTGCCAGCCTGGAGTGCAGTGGTGTGATATCGGCTCACTGCAACCTCTGCCTCCCGGGTACAAGTGATTCTCCTACCTCAGCCTCCCAAGTAGCTAGCTGGGATTACAGGCAGGCACCACCATGCCCAGCTAACTTTTAGTATTTTTAGTAGAAATGGGGTTTTACCATGTTAGCCAGGATGGTGTTGATCTCCTGACCTTGTGATCCACCTGCCTCAGCCTCCCAAAGTGCTGGGATTACAGGCGTGAGCCACCACGCCCGGCCCTGCAGGACAAATTTTAACACAAATTTTTTATTTAATTGTCATATGAGATTTAACATTTAATAAGCACAAAAATGAATTCTTCCTACATATTATTGTGAGGTATCTTTCGCAACCATTAAAAAGCAGTGAAATAAATTTACACTCAAAATCTTGTAAGAACAAAGTGTTGAACCAAGTTTTCAAATTTAATAAAATACATATAGTCATATTTCTCACATGAAAAAGTAAACACTTTCCTGATCCAATATATTAAAAGGCAAATTCACTGACGGTGGCACCTTTAAAAAAACAACATTCTAACGGTGTTGGCACAGTACTATGCTTTGGACAGAAAGTGTATTCAACAAATGCTGCTAATATAAAAAAAAAAAAAAAAAAAGACCAGGTGTGTTGACTTATACCTATAACCCCAGCACTTTGTGAGGCCTAGGTGGGAGGATTGCTTGGGCCCAGGAATTCCAGACCAGCCTGGGCAATATTGGAAGACCTCGTACAAAAAACAAACAAACCAAAATATTTGGGTCTGATGCCCCTTGCCTGTGGTCCCAGCTATTTGGAAGACTGAGGTGGAAGGATCACTTCAGCCTTGGAGGTCGAGGCTGCAGTGAGCTATGATCATGCCACTGCACTCCAGCCTGGTTGACAGAGTGAGACCACTCTGTCTCAAAGAAACAAAAAACAAAACACTTTATTCTAGAATGAAATAACTTACGTGCATGTTTTTAAATACATAACAACTTCTTACCAATAAAATAACCAAGGAGCAATAAGAAAAGGAATTTGCTTTCTTTTTGGAATTCTTTTTAGAATTTCTCTCCAGCTTAGCTAATTATCTTTAAAATCCCAAAGAGTATATTCTCATAGACCACATCATCACCATAGAAATCACAAAGCAAATTACATGGAAGAGACACTTACAGAGAGAGATCCTCAGCTTCCTGCCGTACAACGCTGACTCGACTTTTCTTTGGTAATACTGGGGAGTTCTGATCAGACACCCTTTGGTAGAAAAGCATATAGGCATTCCAGTATCTTCGGCGTACATCAGTGTATGGGTTTGCTTTATAACAAGACATTAAGAAAGACGTCTGTAAATGAAAGTTTTTCTTGTCTTGATAATATAAAATAAAGGGCCCATTATTCCAGCAAGTAACTACTCACTAAATTTGTAAAATGCAAAGTGAAATGTGGGTCTCTTTAGAGTACTGCTTAGATGGAAGTCAGGGTACTTCAGTTCTGGGCCTAAAATTGAGCTCTCATTTGGAAGTGATATAGGTCAGGGCAAGAATAAGGGAGCAGTGGCCGGGCGCGGTGGCTCAAGCCTGTAACCCCAGCACTTTGGGAGGCCGAGGTGGGTGGATCACGAGGTCAAGAGATCGAGACCATCCTGGTCAACATGGTGAAACCCTGTCTCTACTAAAAATACAAAAAATTAGCTGGGCCTGGTGGTGCGTGCCTGTAATCCCGGCTATTCGGGAGGCTGAGGCAGGAGAATTGCCTGAACCCAGGAGGCAGAGGTTGCAGTGAGCCGAGATCGCGCCATTGCACTCCAGCCTGGGTAACAAGAGTGAAACTCCGTCTCAAAAAAAAAAAAAGAATAAGGGAGCAGTATGGTAATGGAGTAAGAGAAAGAAGGGAAGTATCCTAGGGAGTACTAAACATGAGCAAATAGCAAGTGACATTTTAAAATATGTTCTGTGGCATAGGATGGGATAACTGGCCTCACTTAACCATTTCTGCGAAGACTGGCCAAATTTAGGTAAATTCTGACAATATTATATCCAACCTTTAGAGGTTACTACCATAAGATGCATGGCTATAATGGCATGCTATCAAAATCTAATACAGTGACTCCAAAGAGGTAAAAATTTAGAAGCACCCCTAGAAGATTTCAAAATCAGGTTGTGGAAATGCTAAGGTCTCAGCCAAATAGCTTTTTATCAAATAGCAAGTTCTGATTGGGTTTTGCTATGTACTTCTCCTTAGATTCTTTTTTTTCTGGAGTGGGGGCTGTGGAGGGAAAGACTGCTTTGCCATACTGCATATAAACATGGTTTTAGAAACACAGGTGCTAGAAATGTCTTCTCTAATCATAACTCTATGTAAGTGAAAAGGAAATTTGAAAATTTTGGTGGATAACTACTTCCAAAACTATTTTTAAGGTTCAATTTCTGTATTCATTAGTTTCTCTCTGATGTTCACTTCATCCTTTTAACCTACTCCCAGATCCCCTACCTATCCCTCAAGGTTGTTGTAAGAAGTTGTTTTTAAAAATTTTATAAGCAGCTTGAACATTTTCACTCTAGCTATTAAAGAGCTTGTTTACGGTTCTATAGCTTGAATAGCAGTATTATTAAAAATAAAAAATCTGTTCTGTTTTTATATAAAGAATACTATTACTTTTCATAGAAAACTATGCATTAAAAAATAAAACTAATCGGAAAAATCCATTTGTAAATACTTACTTTGATCATAAACTTTTGGTCTATATTCTCCTCCAAAGCATTCATACTCCAGGGTCTCATCATTTAGGTCAAATTCTTCTATAACTGTGTCATTAAATTTATACCACTTTCCTTTTCCACACCCTCTAGAGCCCAAGATCAGACAAACATTAGAAGGTTAAAAAAATCAACATCCTCATCCTTAGCATTTATCTCTATGCACTGCCTACAAATAAAACAGGTGATTACCATTTGAAAATATCTAAGAAATATGTAGCAACAATTAATCCAATTTCTAAAACAACTTTTCAAATTGAAGGGGTAAACCCAGTTGCACTAAGCTTTAAAACTTCAAAATGAAACACGGTCAAGAACAATGCCCAAGTGTCTCTGCATCACAGCAGTGAGTATGGATGATCACAGAGAGCAGGGGAGGGCAGAAAGTGAGTCAGTGCTGCCTCAGGAAACCCTTACCGCCTGTCCTTAATGAAGGAATAGTAGTGGCCTGCATGTGCCTGCCCACTGTGTACAATGACGCCGACAAGTTCGTAGTTTTCTGTGAGGGCAACCTTTTTTCGTGGGGATCCTCCACCTCCCTGATCCATACTTCGCCCATTTTCCCCGACTTCAGAAGAGGAATCCTGGCGAGCCATTCCTGAAACTGTGTAAGGCTCCATGTTTAGCATCCAGGGAAACTGTGTAAAAGCAAAAAGACCATATTAATGTTGATTAGTCACATATACAGCAGTAGCCAATTAAGTCAGATCCAAACAAGAGGATGTGTTTTCCTAGTTTAAGCTAGGAACAACTACTTCTCCAATTCAAGTATAAAATCTCAGAACGATAAGTCTGGGAAAGTCTAAAGCGGCCTCTGGTTTGAGCACTAAGGACGGCATTTTCCTTCACAGTAATCACTAGGATGCCTTCTAGAAATGATGGCTACTGTTTCCAGATCTGACTATTTCAGCAGTGGCCCAAGACAAGGGGCTCTTCATCATGCTGAGACAACAGCCTTACACATGGTAGACGGAATATGAAAACAGAAAAAGGAAAAAAAGAAGGAGTGAGTGAGAAAATGAATGGTTGTGAAACATTTCAGGAGGAAAGAAGTTACCCTTATTTGTTCATCATATTTAATGGAGCGTCCACTTTCCCAGTCAAATCCAAATCTCATTAGGTGAATTACCAAGACGCTAGGTAAAGATTTAATGCAGGTTCTTTTCACTGTTATTCTCTAAAAAAAAAAAGCAAAAGAGCAAAAAGAAATGATTTCCATGGAGAAAATAAAACAGCATAGTAATTAACGCAAAGGCCTTTCGGACCCATGTGAAAACAAGTAATGACACAATGTAATGGAAATAACAATAGAAGCTTAATACTGATTTTACATAAAACAAAGATACACTACATGAATAACAAATTAATTTTGATTTTTGAAAAGGGCAAACATAATACCTTTTCTTTACACTTTTCACAGTAGTACGCATTACTTCCCTCTAGAACTTCTCCTCTGACAAATTGGTCCAAAGAAATTTCCAAACTCTGACAAGAAGTCACTCCTAGATTGAGAGCCATGAAAGCTTCTTCACGCTCATACCTGATTAAATCAGGAAATAACAGAAAACCCACAATCAACAATGGGATTTAAAACTCTTCAATTATCATAATACCTAAGCTGGAACACAGAACTATATTTTTAATCTGTGTGTCCCTCAATATTTTAAAAGTCCATTTCTAAGTTAAAATGCCACTTTGTGACAATTCAGAATTGCTTAAAATTATGAATTTCAATGAATATTTTCTTAAGGTCACAAAGAAATTTTGGAAGTAGAAACCAAAGAAATTTAAGTCATTAAATACTTATAGATCTATTGAGAAAGAGAGTGAGTTCTAAGACTCTTAACAAATGCAACATTTACAACACACTAGACAAATCACTTCAAAAGGATAATCATTTTTCCTTTGTCAGTGATATATTCACTCACCTGTGAGGACAGTCTTTACAGATCTTCTGATCAGAGTAGATGCCCTGAAATGTATTCTTAAAAATTTGGTCTCTTCCCATTTTCTGTTGGAATGAAAAGTTATAATTTAAAGTGATGCCTCCAGAACTTATGAGCAGATAACATTTTATTAACACATTGCAATTTAAGCACCAAAATAAAATGAGTTATTATGGTAGTGTCAGCTTGGCCCCATTGTCAGAGTGATGCAGATGATGAAGGGAGGGGGAGGCGGTGGGATGGGTCAGGCAGAGCTGACAACAAGAGAGTGTTCTCCAGGGTGATTCTGAATCCTTCTCCCTGTGCCACAAGGACCAAGTTAGGGGCAACTCTCAGCACTCTTTTCTTTTTTCTTGTGGATAGAATGCCATCAGTTTGCAAGTTACTTTAAAAAAAGAAAGGAAGAACTGTGCCTACTGATGAGAGGCCAATGCTGGCAGTGACTGCGGGATCTGAGAAGGCAATATGGTTTAGCAAGTCCGCCACATGGCTTACAGGTAGAGGTAGAGAACTTTGGGTTCCAATAGTACCACAAGTAACTTTTTAATCTGGCTCCTTTGCCCCTTTGTGCCTTTGCCACTCTCTGCTCTGCACAAGACCATCAGCTCACAGGTGACTGCAGCATTCTTCTGAGGCCAGATTATTTCAGTGGACATACAGTAAGAATACATAGAGGTAGGAATGGTTATTATTATGTAGTAGAGATTAAGAGTCATATATTTTATTGAGTGTTAGATGAATTAAGAAAATATACAATTCTAGGCCAGGCATGGTAGCTCATGCCTGTAATCCCAGCACTTTGGGAAGCCGAGGCTGGTGAATCACTGGAGGCAAAACATGGCAAAATCCAATTGCTACCAAAAAATACAAAAATTAGTTGGGCATGGTGGTGCACACGTGTGATCCCAGCTACTCGAGAGGCTGAGGTGCAAAAATCTCTTGTACCCAGGAGGTAGAGGTTGTAGTGAGCTGAGATTGTGCCACTAGACTCCACTCTGAGTAACAAAGCAAGACTGTCTCCAAAAAAAGGAGAAAATATACAATTCTATTAATCTGTGTTATATTTTCATGTTTAAATACAGAATATATTATAGTTCTTTTTTATTTTTATTTTTTTTCTTAATTTTTATTTTATATATTTTTAAAAAATAGTAAGATGGGGTTTCACCATGTTGGTCAGGCTGGTCTTGAACTCCCAACCTCAGGTGATCCACCCACCTTGGCCTCCAAAGTGCTTGGATTACAGGCGTGAGCCACCACACCTGGCCTGTAGTTCTTATATTAAAGATAATTTCTGATTTGTCAGTTTTGTAGTAACCCCAAATTCTAAGACACTATTCTCATATTATAATTAGAGTTTGAGGAAAAGCAAAACTTTTATTACCTTGAGATATTCATCCATCTGATCAATGAGACTAGTAAAGAATTCATATGCATCCTGCTGTTCTCTCACATAAAGTTCTTTATTCCACATCTTGAATATCTATATAACAAAAATTAAATGTTTTTAAAGGAAAAGTAGCAATTTCTAAATGTGGTAGAAAGGGAACATGAAAGAGCACTTAAATGCTTCTAAAAATTAGGTTCACTATTAGGATTTGGACACTTCTAGTGAAGTGAGCCTAGCTTGTATTCAGCCATCCACTCTTTTCCCTAGTCCCCTTACAATCATGACAAGTCTCTGAAATCAGAAGTGGGTACTGGGTAAGATCTAGGCCATGGAACAGAGAGTTTCTCTCTTAGAAACTAATCAACCTGGGGAAAAACACAAGGTGATCTTCCAATATGTGAAACACAGTAAAGCAATGTTTAAAAATAGTATTCTTTATTTGAAGACATTAGTAAACTTGGCACAGGGTCAGGGGAATGATTTGAACAAATATTTCAAAGAGCTAAAATAGGAATCATGAAAAATATTCAAAATAGTTAAGATATAGTTAATTGTTAATTGTGCAAATCCGTAGGAATTATGAATGACAACTATTCTCAACATTTTAATCATTTGAAACTAAGTACCAATTTCAACAACGGTATACCAAATCCTTTTACAGTTTTTTGGCAAGGGGATTACTAAAATTAATAAAATCAAGAAGCCATTATCATTAGAGAAAGAATGTAGACCAACTCTAAATATTTAACATCTTTAAATCTAAAGAGTTACTGGGTGAAATACCTTCCAAAAATTCTCAGGTACATAATACTGCAGCTTGCTTTCCATTAAATGCCCAAAGAGAGACTGCACTTGATAAAACACGCTGTCATCTGGATTGTCTGTGTCATCATCTACCGAAAGTAATGACTGCAAAGAAAAGAAACCCATCAAGCTAGAAATATTTAAACTGCTTCACAGGAAACTGACATATGTACATGTTAGCATCCACATTACTTTTTTAGAATGTTATGTATGTTTGGACATGGCTATAATGCTGCAGATATTTAGCTTCAATAATTCCTAGCTGGTGTAAATGAACAAATCATGTCCCTAAGCTCTGATTACCAAAAAAAAAAAAAAAAAAAAAAAAAAAAGGTCTAATAATACCAGGATCTCTACAGGAAATAAGTGTAGTCCAGCACACATGGAATACTCTCAAAACCACTGACTGCCATATCATAAGCTACTACCATATTATTATTGTAAAGTGCTCATGACAGACCCTATATATTTCTAATATACTAAAACTGTCAGTAACTTTATGGAATAGAATTTAAAAACAACTCTGGAGTTCAAAAATCACATTAGGTCATGTCCATCTGTAATACAGGCAGCTTATTACAACAGCAGAATTATAAGAATGTGTAATTACATACAACATGTCTCTAAACATTTCAGAAGCTACTGAAGAATCTCAAGTTATGTCTAGTTTTTGCAAACCCCAAAAACAATAAAACAACTATGAAACAATTTTCAAGTAATGCACATATTATCTATCATACCAGAAAGAATAGATAAAGGAAATCACCTCAGGGAGCCCAGGTTGCATATACAGCTGCTGGAAGACTGCATTCATGTAACAAGTTGCACCACCATTCCTCAGCCCCACAAACCCTGAACTGGACCTGCTATCCACCGGGGGAAGGTACTGGGTAAGAGAGGAATAGAAACAATGGAGGAGAATGAACATCTCTGCCAGACATATTTACGCTATAGCTATGTGGAAGATGCATTCACAGATTTACCCATCCAGTATGCTATAAAAGCTATGCTAGCAAAACCCATGTTCATGAAGTACTTCTGCAGATGCTGATACAATTATCAAATACTGCTATCTCAATGTTGCTTTTTCATTCATAAAATATTTATTAAGTACCTACTATATGCCAGGCACTGTGCATGGGATATGAGAGAGAACAAAAATGTGCATGGCCCCTGATCTCAAGGTGCTTACAGTCTATTAGGGTTAAGAGGCATAATCAAACAAATGTACTAATATACATTCACAAATTGAGGAAGTACTCTGTAAAAAAGGGCTGTGAGGCTTAGAAGTGATTACCCTGAAGGATCCTGACCAATCTGGATGGTAAAAGAAGGCTCATATTGTAACTCCTTTTAGAGAAGGTAACATTCTTCTATTAAACTTCTTTCAGTAAACATATAATTAAACTGGTGACTATCCTACCATTTTACTTACAGGTGTTTTGAAATAATGTAGCCCCCAGTACAGAGCTTTTCTGGTTAGAAATGATCCAGAAAAAGCATAGTGGAAAAAGTTCAAGGAATTTCTCCAAGTGGAAAAGGATATTGTAATTTTATACTTTGAAATGCGATTCCAGCAAGATCTTGGTTCTCAAGTATCTGCAACCATGTAATAACCAATTAGCAGACAAAAATGAATAGGTCTCCTAGACCTCAAGGAATTGCTAAATATTACTTACTCTTCATTAACATCAGATGTATACTTAGAGCAGGATTATTTCTAAGACCTAATTAACACTGAAATTTATTTGTAGTCCATAGCACAGATTAAAAAAAAACCTGGTTTATAACAGTGCTAAAAATATAAACTTTTATCTAACACAGATACTGCCTTCACTCTGCTGATATAATCCCTGATGTAAGAAAAAACACAAAACATTCATTTAAATCTGATTAAATAAATGCATATAAAGTAACACATAACATAAAATAAGCATTATAAACCATTTTGACCAATCAAAAGCATTTCCAACTTTTGAGGGCCCACATTTCTAAGTCTTCGCAAGTGCTATTCCCTCTATTTAGGACACCTGTCCACACTTTCCGACCTAACCTCTATGTTCTGTAATACTTAACTCAGGCATCCAAAGGCTAAGTCTGACTTTCTGTGACATGAGAGAACATAAAAGTCAGCTTTGAAAGCATCCTCCCACTTCTGGTCTGGTATTCCAGAGGACCTGCAATGTACTTCCCTCTCACAGATCCCAACATACTAAGCTGTTTCATGGCTCCACGGCTTTGTTCATACTCTTCTCATTCCTGGGATGAATTGACCTTCCCACCTTGCTTCACCTGACTCACTAGTTTTTATGGCCCTATCTTAAGTTTCATCTCCTCTAAGAAGCCCTCTGAGATAACACCAGCTGGTGGTGAGTAGAGCATGCAGGATATACCTTATCTTATATTGTAACACATTATATTGAAATTATCTGCTTGCGAGCCTGTCTCTTCCACTATACACTGACCTTCTTGAGGGCTAGGATCATATTTTCATTTCTGAGCTCCCAAAGCCTAATATGCCCTTAGCACATACTAAACTCAATAAACCTTGGTTGAATTTAACTGAACATAGGCTGTACTGTGATAGAGTCAATGTTTACTTGACTTGTATCTCTAGGGTCTGGCCTATGCCAAGCATAAAGTTACTCAAAAAAATACATCAGAATGCTACTTTTTGCTATCTACCAACCAACTTGAAAATGCCTCTCCGTCTTTAATTAAAAGGATACCATTTCATAATATACTTAGTATGTTAGAGTAATACTATAGCTTATACTTGATTTGACTATGTGAACACAGTAAGCAAAATAATAATATTGACTTTCTTTGTGGTCAGCAGAATGCAGATACAGTCTTAAAATTGTATGTTTAAGAGATCATTCTTAAAAAACTAATTTCATTAAGGTCTAGAAAACCTACATCAAACTCCTTGGTAAGAGCAGGGTCAGGTTGGTGATGCATAGAAAGCAGTTCTTTTATAATAATTTGAAGATTTGAAGGTGAACTATCAGCCAACATTACAAGAACTTCGTAGGCTGCCAATCGGCTATTCGCTGTACTACACCTAGAAACAAAAGATACAGTCATTGTCAACAATGAATAATCTACTTAAATTACTCATTAAACTAAATCAACAGTTGAAAGTAGAAGAGCTCCAATTCCTCAAACATACTTAAGACAGGTCTAACCTCACCCATCTAGTAATCTACAGGTCATGAATACAGGAGGAATTAATAACTATTTTCTTGGCCTGATGATAAAGTAGCAAAATTCTTTCACTTATTACCAGAGTAGTCTTATCTAAAGACTGGATCAGCAAGAATGGAGGAGAAAGAGTCAGGAGAACTCTGTAATACAGATGACATGGGAATAACTGTCTTTCAATTAAAATAGGTAAACAGAAAGATTTTTATTGCCTAAAATCTGAATATATAACTGGCAGAAAAAGAAAGCTATAAAAACCAGGATAGCCATAAACATTTTATGCCTGAACTGTCTATGAAAAAATGGAGACAGAAATACTGTTTGCTAAATCAATTCGTTTACAGTGACACAAAAGATAACTAGCAAACACTCTGCATGAAATCAAAGGCTTTCTACACTGCCTGCCTTGTAGCAGAAATCACTTTGGGGATGGACAATACCTCACTGTAACCAATACTAACCTTGCATTACTGAGGGATCACTGGTTAGGAAGGATACACAGAAAAGAGGATAGCTAACCTCTGAATGAAATACTTAATGGAGAGTAGGAGGCGTTTAAGGGGGGTTGTGAGGCTTTTGGATCAGCACGACACCAGGCACTGAGGACAATGGACACGAAGCTGGCACTGTCCTTTGCTTCTTGTCTGGACTTGAGGGTTGCAAAGGACAGTAAGAAAAGAATAGGGAGGTGCCATTTACACAGGCGAAACATTAAAAGTTGTTTTGTTACTGTGATACAAAATAGCATTACTTCTGAAAACAGTTTCTGTGTACTTTAAATCTCTTTCTTCCTTGCAGGTTTTGGTGGGAAAAGACTGGGAGGTACTGTGATAAATCAACACCATTCAGTACAATGGGGAGGGATGAAACAACTATTTCCTTTTCTAGTGAAGGCACTGTATATATGCTTTTTCAAAAAAACATTCCTTCCTCCTTCATTTACGGAGGAACTACATTTATTAATAATAAAACTGCTAAAGATATATATCTTTTGTGTTGACTGAAAATTAAAACATTCACTTGTTTCTGCTGCTTTAATAAGACTTCCATGGACCTCACATCAACTCTTCCAAAACAAGGCGGAGTTAGCAATGAGGCTGGGAGGCACAGCCTGAGGAACACCCCAAGAGTTCTAATGAAGGGTTTTGCTTTTTTTCTTACCTTAAACAGATTTTGCTAATGAGGCAACTCTAGGTAGAGAAATATTTATATATAAAACACCTCTCAGGATTCCTCAAAATACTGCTTATTATGCCTTGCCCATTTCAATAACCATGGAAATTATACAGGAATCCTTTTCAGTATAAATAGCAAATCCTCAGTTTCTTCAGGATTACTCAATTAGCTCTGATTTTCACGAGAAAGGAACAAAGTTAGTTAGATTTAGAGCAAACGAAATAGCAGCTTGTGGCTCTGCCTCTTCTTCCTATCTCCAAGAGTATAAATACCCCTCAAGTGGATCAACATTACAAAGAGATCTTTCAAATTTGTACCCATAAAACACAAAATTTGATTCCAAAATTACTACTGTAATAAACCACGAGCAGTTGCAGTTAACAGAACACAGCACTCAGTAAACAACAAGGCTATGCACTAGAGCACCTATCATTTTCTCCTGAGAAACCCTCAAGATTTTACTTGGAGCCTATTTACTTTTACTTTGGACATAATTCTTATAACTAGCCACGTTTTAATTTGTTCTTCCATTCTGATGATAATAATGGTACCAGCATACTTGCTCTGTGCTTACTATATGCCAGGCAGGCTTTATGCTAAGCCCGTTCACATGCATTTCTTCATTTAGTGGATAACATAGGCTACACAGACTCACAGACGAAAGACCAACTCCAAGTTAACAGAATCTTTTTGGACTAAAGTTTCGAATTAGAATTTTTACCAAAACTGAACACAACGTGCATTTTCCATACTTTGGATGAAAGTCCTGTTGACTGATGGCGGCACTGCCAGCTGGAGAATGACTATTTAAAATAATTCTAGAAGCTCGGAAAAGGAAGTCATCTAACAAGGGTTTAATGAGTGATGAACCTGGAACAGAGCATAATATTCATGTTTAAGATGAACACGTATTTTAATTCAAAGATCCTATCTTACACTTTCTTATCAGAGCAGTAAAGGCATCGAAGGGCACCCAACAGCAGGGCATTTAGTTTAATATTTATTTTTGAGCACTTACTACATGGCAAAGCTTGTGGGGTAGAGAATTAGGGATGGGTGGAAGGAACGGGGGACAGAATACAAAGATAGGCAGGTAAGGGTGTGTTCCTTTATGAGTTTACAATACAGTAAAAGGAGTCAGGCTTTCACTTTAGAAACAGAAGAACACCAAAGGCAGAATGATTTGAGTGAACAGTTCTTACTCTGGGCATATGGGGGTCCATATAAGGGTTTCCGAAACTTTTAAAATCTTGCCTCTTTAGTTTAAAATTATATACCTTTCTCTCTGTGGTTAAGAATCACTCTTTTCTATGTATCCCCAGTAGCCAAGAATATTTTGTAGAACTTGGTTTGCGTTATGAAAGAGATGGGTAATTATTCATTTGTCTTCTGAATACAATTTGTATTATAACAATCTTTTGCAAATTACAGGTTTAACCCAGGAGAACCTCATATGTACCCTATGCTGGAGGGCAGGGGTGCTTAGGGGCTACCTCCCCAGATGAGAATCACCCTTAAAAGAAGACACACAGTAAATTATATATTATAAAGTACATAAAAGCAAAAAGAGAAAAATGTACTTGAATTATAATTCTTACTTGGTATTAAGAAGTTATGTGATCTAGCTGTTTTAAACACTATCTAATTCTCTATGTGGTTTAATGACAGATGTAAAGCACACCTTGTTTGTTAGCCACTAAAATTACAATTTCCCACTGTGGGAAGGGTCAATTTTCCAAGAAACACTTGGCATCTATCTTATTTTCCCAATTACACACAACACTGGCAAAAACCAAGCACTGAAGAATCTGCCATGTGATAAGATGAAGCAATAATTACCAAGCATTTCCTTTTCTGCCCCACAGAGTGAAAGAAGAGTCTTGATGAGGCGTAAGTGCCCTGCCAGTAAGATGTTGTCCGCCTCACTGGTCTCACATTCAGCTGTGCGATTAGGTTCAAAGTTATCCAGCCAAGTAATCTCATCTTCAAGCATGGTAGCGGGGCTGATCCTTAACTGCTCCATTTCCGAAGCTAAGGAGGAAAAAAAATCCATTACAAAGAAAGAAGGATTTCCCTTTATGGAGTTCAAGTCCTGAATTAAACAAAGCAAAGTCAAGCCCCAATCTTTCACTTCACAGATCTTAAAAAAACTGTCATTAAGACTGGATGTGGTGGTTCACAACTGTAATCCGAGGCTGAGGGAGGCTGAGGCGGGCAGATCACGACGTCAGGAGTTCAAGATCAGCCTGGCCAGAATGGTGAAATCCTGTCTCTACTAAAAATACTTAAATTAGCCAGGCATAGTGGCATATGCCTGTAGTCCCAGCTATTTGGGAAGCTGAGGCAGGAGAATCACTTGAACCTGGGAGGCGGAGGCTGCACTGAGCCGAGACTGTGCCACTGCACTTCATCCTTGGTGACAGAGCAAGACTCTGTCTCAAAAAAAAAAAAAAATCAAACAAACAAAACACACACACACACACACACAAAACTGTCATTAACAAATAGTAGGCTACAGTTGCTGCCCACAGGGAATGAAGGTGCCCTCACGCATACACCACTTATTGGTTGCCTTCTCTGTGCACGTCACTGTGCTATATGCCGAGGCTCTAAGATGAGGAAGAGAAATTCTTGCTCCTGATTTGGTGGGAGTTAGCAGGAAGCCCTAGGAACACTAGAGAAAGAAGGGGTAGAAGACTTTGAGGAGAATCAACGGTCCTGCAGTGTGACCTAAGCCAAGGGAGGGCTGAGTTCTGCAAAGGAAAATGAGGTCAGAAGTACAGCTGCCAGAGTCCAGGTTTCTAAACAATGAGCCAAACTCCCGTGAACTACTCTGTTCTTTTGTATTGTGTTTCACTTGCCCTTAAAACAAGGACTTAAAGCATAATTTCATATTGGAAGTTGAGACTGGGGAGGAGACGAAGGGTAATTATGCTCTACTTCCACTGCAGTGTAGTGAGATGCAAGCAGGGTCTCCGTAAGGGGAAGTGAAGAAGGACCCTTTAGGGTCAGTCGGAGCTGGACTGGCACCAGATACAAACCCTATTTCTACCATTTACTGTGTGACCTTGTTTCCTTATTTATGCAATGGGGCCAGCACTCACACTGCAGAGTGCTGTGTATGAAGTGCTAGTGTAGGCACTGACTTATGAAAACACTCAGGAATTGGCAAATATTGTTTGTTTCAAGACATGTTACCCAAGAATTAATTCCCCTCACCTCCCAAGATCCTAACAAGAGATCATGAGTCCCTCATTTATCACTCAACAATACAAGGAAGGAAGGTCTATATTAACAACTCATTCATTCATTTGAAAGTTGCAGCCAACTCATGATTCCTTTCCTTGCTGCAGAGCAGAAAGCAAAGCCTGGATGGCTGCTGGTCAGCTGTCCCTGGGAGCCTGGGTGGAAACCAGTGTTATGTTAGACTGTTAGATGGATATACAGTCCACCCACTTCACTAGATCCAACAGATCTTCTCTCTGAATCGAGACATACACTCAGACTATATTAACTGCCTCTCCACAAAACCAGTTCCATTGCATTGCTCAGAGCACTACATCCTGTTTTTATATTTGGAGACTCCATCTTAGTCTGTCGCCCAGGCTGGAGTGCAGTGGTGCAGTCTCAGCTCACTGCAACCTTCACCTCCTGGGTTCAAGCGATTCTCCTGCTTCAGCCTCCCAAGCAGCTAGGATTACAGGGACATGGCACCACACCCAACTAATTTTTGTATTTTTAGTTGACACAGGGTCTCACCACGTCAGCCAGGCTGGTCTCGAACTCCTGAACTCAAGTGATCTGCCCACCTCGGCCTCCCAAAGTGCTGACATTACAGGCATGAGCCACTGCACCTGGCCACCTCCTGTTTTTGACAGACACTTATGAAACTGATGAAGGCATCTGCCACCACAGAAATGTTGTTGAGGATTATCCATCACTATTTTTATGTGTCCATTACATGATGGCCTTTGTATAAAATTTCTTTTAGGCTTAGGTGCTGGGAAAGAGATTTGCTTCTTTTGAGAAACTATTCTATTTCTTCTTACAGGGTATTGAGAAGAACTAACCATATGCTGTTTCCTTTTTACCTCTGGCCTTCAGAAACCTCACAAATTAATTCTGAGGTATTTTTTTTCCTCCTGGCCTTGACATTCTTTACCAATTGCTGTTTTTGTTGATCCTGATTTTTATTTTATTAATTTCCTGTAAGCTGAAGCAAATTCTTTGTGAAGAGTAAAGAATAAACAAACTCTTGATCTACACTAAAATTTACAAAGAGCATTCCAACATACATTTGCATTATTTAAAGGTAAGTACAGATGATTAAAATCTCAGCACACTAACAAGAGAATTTCTAACAATGATATTTTACAACTAACACTATTGAACTGACTTCTAACACCATCAACATACCGCAATAGAGATTCCCTCTTTCCTTCAACAATCAACCTTCAAAATTATAACAGACTACACTAGTGAGAAAGACCCTTCATAATTATCAGTGTAATTAAAATATGAGCCTTTGACAATTTTAAAAATCAACAAATCTCAATTCACTAATGACTGGTTATATAACAGAAGACACTGGTACATAGGTTTATATGTTATTCTCAAGAAAAAAAAGTTCAACTTCAAACAATAATTGTAATTTTATTTACACTTGAGACATGTAAATCATATTAAAAATGTCCGTGTGACTTTTTTTTCTATTCCTCCCCAGCCCCTCTCCCTTACATATTAGTCATTTACTTACTTGTCAGATCATCTAATAATTGGCATCTCAAATCAAAATACTCCATGCACTGAGATAACAGTCTAAAAAACAGAAAGGTTTCAGTTAATAAGAGGCTGATTTGAAAATAAAAAGTATTTTCCTTATAAGAACAGGTTAATAGAACAACTAAGATTATTTTCCTCAGCATAACTATTTTAATATTAATTTAAATTCTATATTTTAGCAAGAAGCATACTGATTTTACTAATGAAGACATGACAATAGAAATAACAGTGTAAAGAGAGGAAAACACTAAATTTATCACATCTTAAAATAATATATGCACTGATTGCATACATAATACACTTATTACATTCATTCATTTAAATTTCAACCAGTCTCTACCAAGCACCTACAAATGACTGAAACTGTTTTGGGAGATCAGTGAACTTAAAAAGGTAAACAAACAACAAATTAGAAATACACACATCTGTCAAGTGGTAATAAGCACTGAGAAGAAAAATAGAGCAGAGTAAGAAGAGACAGGAAAACTATTTTACAGAAGATGATCAAATAAGCTTTTTCTGCAATTACAGTAGTCAGCAGCAAAGGTTTTATAATCAGACAGACACCGGTTTTAATCCTGGCTCCCCTACTTATAGCAGCTGGGTGTCCCATGGACAACTATTTCACCTTTAACTTTCAGTTTTCTAACTTCTAAAATGCTCATGATAGTATTGGAAATAAAAAACACATGCATATACACCAATATACAGAAAAGGCTCAAGCACAAACTAATGATGAGCATATATAATGAACCAAGAATTATGGTTATAAAAAATGAAGACAATAAAACTGCTGAACTCATTAGGCCAGTCTGAGGATTAAAAGAAAAACATACATGAACAGCTTAGTATGTTATGTAGCATATAGTTGGCCTATGGTAATTGCTACTAACATCACCAGACTATTTTTTTCCTGGTATTTAGCATGAACTATCATCATCATACTATTGAGGGAAAATATATATCAAACTTGGGCATTAAAAAAAGCTGCGAGACATAATTTTTAAAATTATGCAAACATATAGTTAAAGATTCAATTTGATGTGAAATTAAATAGCTTTACTTTCAGCATATTTTAAAGAGTATATGTTAAAAATCTCATCTAATGCTTTCAGCCTCTTTCTCAAAATTTATAGTACCTTAATATTAAATCAAAAATTAAATCTTAACATGTAGTTATATTAAGTAAACTGACTTACAAGTATTAGCACAATAGCTTTAACTTCTTAAAAGCTTATACATTTATACTGAAGAATCACTGATTCACCTGTTTAGAAAAATTTTAACTAGGAAAAGTTGGAATTCTAAAGTAAAATGTCTACAAGGACAAGAGAAGAAATTTTGACAGTTTTAAATTCAGATGTCTACTGGGGGAAGCCATTCTCTGAAATGTGATGTTAATATCACTAAAGAATTATTTTTTATTACAGAAACATACAGCTAATGTCTAACTAAGCTTAAATCTTGATGGTAAACATAATTTTTAAGTTTTGGGTAAATTTTTAACATTTCTAAGTTATTCACAATGACCTTATCTCTGAAACCAAAGTCTTGACTTCTTTCTTAGACATTTGGAGTGTTAAAACAGAAGGTTAAATGTTTCAAAGTAACATTTATGTAGAAGCCTGGATACGGGGGCCAGAAATCTTTGTATATTGGAAAGTGCATGATAATATAAGAAGTGTTAATACACATCTAATCCTGTAATAAAGACTTGCAGGCAACAGATAAAATTATAATTGTATTTTAGAAATTCTGTAGATTATACATATTATATCTGGAGAACAGAGGTATTAAAAAAGTCAAGAATGGATGAAAGAAACCAGAAGGGAAATTAGAAAATATAATAAGACAAATGAAAACAAAAATATAACTTGCCAAAAATTATGGGAAATATCAAAAAAGTGTTATGAAATGGAAACTTATAGCTATAAATGCTTACATTTATTTTGTTAATCTTTTCAAAAACCCAGCTCCTGCATTCGTAGATTTTTTGAAGGGATTTTCATGTCTCTGTCTCTTTCAGTTCTGCTCTGATCTTAGTTATTTCTTGACTTCTGCTAGCTTTTGAATTTGTTTGCTCTTGCTTCGCTAGTTCTTTTAACTGTAATGTTAAGATACCAATTTTAGATTTTTCCTGCTTTCTCCTGTGGGCATTCAGTGCTATAAATTTCCCTCTAAACACTGCTTTAGTGTGTCCCAGAGATTCTGGTATGTTGTATCTTTGTTCTCACTGGTTTCAAATAACTTATTTATTTCTGTGTTAATTTAGTCATTTACTCAGTAGTCATTCAGAAGCAGGTTGTTCAGTTTCCATGTAGTTGTATAGTTTTGAGTGAGTTTCTTAATCATGAGCTCTAATTTGACTGGACTGTTGTCTGAGAGGCTGTTTGCTATGATTTCCATTCTTATGCATTTGCTGAGGAGTGTTTCACTTCTGATTATGCAGTCAATTTTAGAATAACTGTGATGTGGTGCTAAGAAAAATGTATATTCTGTTGATTTGGGGTGGAGAGTTCTGTAGATGGCTATTAGGTCCATTTGGTCCAGAGATGAGTTCAAGTCCTGAATATCCTTGTTAATTTTCTGTCTCACTGATCTGACCGTCTAACATCAACAGTGGGGTGTCAAAGTCTCCCACAATTATTGTGTGGGAGTGCAAGTTTCTTTGTAGGTCTCTAAGAACTTGCGTTATGAATCTGGGTGCTCCTGTATTGGGTGCATATATATTTAGGATAGTTAGTTCTTTTTGTTGCACTGATCTCTTTACCATTATGTAATGCCCTTGTCTTTTTTTGATCTTTGTTGGTTTAAAATCCTTTTTATCAGAGACTAGGATTACAACCCCTGCTTCTCTTTGCTTTCCATTTGTTTGGTAAATATTCCGAGACCACTAGCCAGACTAATAACAAAAAAAAGAGAGAAGAATCAAATAGACACAATAAAAAATGATAAAGGGGTTATTACCACTGGTCCTACAGAAATACAAACTACCAGCAGAGAATACTATAGACGCCTCTACATGAATAAACTAGAAAATCTAGAAGAAATGGACAAATTCCTGAATGCATACACCCTCCCAAGGATAAACCAGTAAGAAGTTGAATCTCTGAATAGATAACAAGTTCTGAAATCAAGACAGTAATTAATAGCCTACCAACCAATAAAAGCCCAGGACCAGACGTATTCACAGCTGAATTCTACCAGACGTACAAAGAGGAGCTGGTACTATTCCTTCTGAAACTATTCCAAAAAACAGAAAAAGAGGGACTCCTCCCTAATTCGTTTTATGAGTCCAGCATCATCCTGATACCAAAACTAGGCAGAGACACAACTAAAAAGGAAAATTTCAGGCTAATATCCCTGATGAACACTGATGTGAAAATCCTTAATAAAATACTGGCAAATCCAGCAGCATAACAAAAAGCTTATCCACCATGATCAAGTCGGCTTCATCCCTGGGATGCAAGGCTGGTTCAACATACACAAATCAATAAATGTAATCCATCACATAAAACAGAACCAATGACAAAAACCACATGATTATTGCAACAGAAGCAGAAAAGGCCTTCAGTAAAATTCAACACCCCTTCATGCTAAAAACTCAACAAACTAGATATTGATGGAATGTATCTTAAAATAATAAGAGCTATTTATGACAAACCCACAGCCAATATCATACTGAATGGGCGAAAGTTGGAATCATTCCCTTTGAAAACTGTTACAAGACAAGGATGCCCTCTCTCACCACTCCTATTCAACATTGTACTGGAAGTTATTGCAGCACTATTTACAATAGCAAAGACTTGGAACCAACCCAAATGGCCATCAATGATAGACTGGATAAAGAAAATGTGGCACATAAACATCATGGAATACTATGCGGCCATAAAAGAGGCTGAGTTCATGTCCTTTGCAGGGACCTGGACAAAGCTGGAAATCATTCTCAGCCAACTAACAAAGGAACAGAAAACCAAACACCACGTGTTCTCACTCATAAGTAGGAGTTGAACAGTAAGAACACGTGGACACAGGGAGGGAAACATACACTCTGAGGCCTGTCAGGGGGCAGGGGATCAGGGGAGAGATAGCATTGGGAGAAATACCTAATGTAGATGACGAGTTGGTGGCTGCAGTAAAGAAAAATACCCAATTGACAACCTAACTTTACACCTAAGGAACGAGAAAAAGGAGAACAAACCAAACTTAAAGCTAGCAGAAGGAAAGAAATGACAAAGATTAGAGTGGAAACAAATAAAATAGAGAACAGCAAAACAATACCAAAAAGAAAAAATAATTCAATGAAACCAAAGTTGGCTCTTTGAAAAGATCAACAAAACCGACAAACCTTTAGCTGAACTAAGACAAAAAAAAGGGAGAAGGATGAAATTACTAAACTCAGAAATGAAAGTGGGTATGTAACTACCAATTTTACAGAAATAAAAAGGATATAAGAGACTACCAAAAGCAACTGTATGCCAACAAATTAACTAACTTATGTGAAGTGGACAAATTTCTAGAAACACAAAACCTACCAAGACTGAATCAGGAAGAAACAGAAAAGGCAAATAAACCCACTACGCAAGGAGATTCAGCAAGGAGACTGAATAGATAATGAAAAACCTCCCAACATAGGAAAGCCCTGGACCAGATGGCTTCACTGGTGAATTCTCCCAAACATTTAAAGAATTAACACCAATTCTTCTCAAGCTCTTTCAAAAAAACTGAAGTGGAGGTAACACTTCCTAATTCATTCTATGACACCATTATTACCCTGATACAAAAGCCAGAAAAAGATACCACAAGAAAACTACAGACCAGTATCTCTTATGAATGCTAATGAAAAATCCTCAACAAAATACTATCAAACCAAAGCAGTGCATTTAAAGGGTTACACCCCATAAACAAGTGGGATTGACTCCTGGAATTCAAGTATGGTCCAATGTATGAAAATCAATGTAACACCACATTAAGGGAAAGAAGGAAAAAAGACCCACATGATCATCTCAATCAAAGCAGAAAAAGCATTTGATAAAATTTAACCCACTTTCATGATGAAAACACTTAAACTACAAACAGAAGAAAACTACTGCAACATAATAAAGCCAGATGTGAAAACCCACAACTAACATACTCAATGCTGAATGACTGAAAGCTTTTATCCTAAGAGCAGGAACAAAGATGCCCACTTTTGCCACTTCCATCCAACATAGTATTGAAGGTTTCAGCCAGAACAAGTAGGCGAGGAAAAGAAATAAAAGGCATCCAAACTGAAAAGAGAGAAGTAAAATGATCTGTTAGCAATTGACATGTTATTATGTACGGAAAGTCCTGAAGTTTCTGTAAAAGAAACTGTTAGAAGTAATAAGTAAATTCGGCAAGGTTGCAGGCTACAAAATCAACACAAAAATCAGTTGCATTTCTTAACACCAACAATGAACAAACTGAAAAAGAAATCAACAATTCCACTTAAAATAGCATCAAAAAGAAAACTTAGGAACCAACTTAGTCAAGGAAATGAAACACTTGTACAGTGAAAACTGCAGACATGGCTGAAAAAAATTAAAGATGACATAATGAAAAGACATCTCGTGTTCAAGGAGTGAAAGACAAAATCTTGTTAAGTTGTGATTACTATTCAAAGTCATCTACAGGTTCAATGAAATCTCTATCAAAATCCCAAAGACATTTGCAAAAATAGAAAAACCCATTCTAAAATTCACATGGACTCTCAAGGGATCCCTCCAAGTAGCCAAATCAATCTTGAAAAAGAGGAACAAGGTTGAAAGACTCATACTTGCTGATATCAAACTTAGTACAATACTACAGTAATCAAAACAGTGTTATGCAGTTATGAAGACAGACATATAGACCAATGGAAGAGAAACACAGAACTTAAAAATATGGTCCTGATTTTCATCTAGGACACCAAAACTATTCAGTAGGGAAAGGGTAATATTTTTAAAAAGTGGCACTGGGAAAACTGGATATTTACATGGAAAAGAATGAAGGCAGATCCTTACCTTATACCACATGCAAAACTAAACTCAAAATGCATCAAACACCTAAGTGTAAGAACTAAAACTATACAACCCTTAGAAGAAAACAGGGGGGGAAACTTACGTGATATAGGATCTGGCCATAATTTCCTGGCTATGACAGCAAAAACACAGGCAACTTATACAGGACACCATCAAGAGAGCCAAAAGACAACCCACAGATTGAGAGAAAATATCTGCACATCATATTATCTTATAAGAGATCAATATCCAGAAGATATTAAAAATTTAACAATAAATAATCCAATTTAAAAATGGGCAAAGGTCTTAAAATAGATGTTTCTCCAAAGAAGATATATGAATGGCCAACAAGCACATAAGACGATCAACATTAATCAAGGAAATGCAAACTGAAACCAAAGATGCCAATTCACATACATTAGTATAGCTACTATCAAAAACAAACAAACAAAAACCTAGAAAACAACAAGCACTGGCCAAGATGTGGAGAAACCAGAATCCTTATACATTGCTAGTGGGAAAGAAAAATGGTACAGCCACTGTGAAAAACAGTTTGGTGGTTCTACAAAGAAATCAAACACAGAATTACTAAATGATCCAGCAATCCACTTCTGGGTTAACACCCAAAACAACTAAAAGCAGAGATTCACATAGATATTTGCACACCTATGTTTGTAGCTCCATTCACAATAGTCATGTTCATCTATGGATGAATGAATATACAAATATGGTTTATATGTGCAATAATATATTATTCAACCTTAAAAAGGAAGGAAATTCCGATTCATGCTACAATATGAATAAACCTTAGGACATTACACTAAGTAGACACAAGAGGACAAATACTGTATGATTCCACTTATATGAGTTACCTAGAGTAGTCAAATCTTTAGAGACAGAGAGTAGAATGGTGGCTGCCACAGGATGGGGGAGAGGGGAATAGGGAGTTACTGTTCAATGGGTACAGAGTTTCAGTTTAGGATGACAAATGAGTTTTGCAAATAGACAGCTGTGATGGTTACAACACAATGCTGCGGAATTGTACACCTTAAAATGGTAAATTTTATGTGTATTTTATCACAATAAAAAAAATTCAGCAATTCAAAAAAAAATCTACAATTTGTCTTTGAATAGTCTGTTTACATTCTTTGTCCCTTTTTTAACTTGGCTGTTGGTCTTTTGTTTAATAATTTATAATAATTTTATCTCTCTCTCTCTCTCAAATTAGCTTATGGTCTGTCACGTAGATTATTTTGCATGTTGTTTTGCAGATTTATTTTCCCAGTTTGGTGATTGGCTTTTGACTTTGAGGCATTTTTTTCCTATATAGAAAACTTTAATTTTTATGGAGTCAAATTTAACAGTCTTTTATTTAATCACTTCTTCATGGGCATAGTGTTTCAGTTTCAGATGATGGAAAAGTTCTGGAGATGGATAGAGGAGACGGTTGTACAACATTGTGAATGTATACTTAATGCCACTGAACTGTACACTTAAAAGTGGTAAATTTTACATTATGTATATTTTACCACATTAAGCAGAAAGTTGAGGCTTAGGTATCTCAGGGGTTTGGCATGGTTCTAGCACCTCTTTCCTTCTAGGGACCTAATTTATAAAGCACATAAACAAGGAAAGTAGACATTGACTTCACAAATCTCCATGACACCTTACATGCCCCACAGCAGGGGCTGTGTGGTATGGATGAGTTAGAAAAAGTGGTATGAACTTGAAGTCAGTGTAAGACCTACTATCTCCTATCCTGGGACTAGACAGAGAAACACATGCATAGAGGCTCACCTGCAGAGGTAAGATGGGGCAGGCAGAACAGTCATCTCATAAGCCTGGACTATAGGTCTCTTATATAGTCAAGTATGTATAAAACCAAGAAAGCAAGCTAGGAGGATACCCCAGCTACCTCTAGACATGGAACTATGAAATACTTGCACTGAAAAAGTGATATATACAAGAGGAAAGGATCAATATAGCCTTTGCACAGTGACCAGGCTCAAATAATTCCAGGCTCTCACCAATCAGGTGAGCTCCTTTTTCTCTCTGGGATAGATGTATCACATGGGGTGAAGTGAAAACCAGGGATATGGAGAAGAAGGCATTTCTGGTAGTATTTCTTTTAACTCTTCTTATCCTACATGTGGAGAAAAGCAAATGCCATCTTTCGGGACCCAAATGTCAGAAGAAAGGAGGAGAAATTCTAGTAATCTCAATAATGCACTGTGGTCTTCAGGGGAGCAGTACACAAATTATCATTTATCTTTTCTCTGTATAAGGTAAGCGTTTCCATTTTTATTACATACCTCTGATTGACTCCTCTCATAATACTAGTTGGAGACCAGAGAGGCAGCTGAGCAGTGAGGATGACACCTAGAAGAAACTGATTTGGCTTCTGCACATCTGGATGCGCTGATGTGTCTGTCTGACTAAGAGTGTACAGCTGATCACAGGCAACCCGGCGAATCTGAAATTATGTGACCAGCAGCAAAGGACAGACATGAATCGACTGCTTAAAAAGTGATTTTCTTACAAACTCCACACTATTTATTCATTCAAGTTCTTGAAGGACATTAGAAAGGTGTAAGTGTTTGAGTGTTTAACGGTAAGGTTTCGAATAAACTAGGGCTAATTAAAACTCAATGTGGTTTGGGAACTGATTCCCCAAATTATTCTACTCTAATCAATAGGTTTATAACTTAATGTAAATGAACGTAAGAAAAAAGAAAGTTTAAAAGTTAATCCTCAAGGTCATGTAAGAAAGTCAGAACTATAAAATCTAATGATAGTTTATGACTTGAGGTTGACCTTTCCTGATTCTAATATGTGGATGCTTAATGCCAGCTGCCCTTGTGAGCCATGGACAGACACTGGTTGTAACAAAAATAACTTAATAACATTAGTCTCCTAACTTTTGGTAGAATATGGAGGAGGTAACAGGAGGAAAGGCAGTTTTTCTTTCATGGTCTGCAGCCCCTTTGTACACTCCCTAACAGGACTAAATGCTACTCCTGTATTCCCCACAACGTCACAGGGAGCTGAGAGAGCTCACAAAACAACAGGACCAAAGGAGTTTTGTAAGTAACATAAAAAATCCTTACCTCAGAACTTGGTGATCCGAGCAGAATATCAATGATGAAATCAGCAACACAGGGCAAGTTATAGAAAGATGCTAATAAGAAGAAATGGGGGATGTGGGTGTATGAAACAAGTTAGGTAATGCATTTTCAAATTTGATCAGTTTCTTAAGCTCAACTTAAGCAGAAGTTCATCTCTTTTACATAGGATGGGAATTCAGGACCTTTTACAACTGCTTTCATGCCTGTCCCTTTACGCCATACAATTCTAAGGTGCTTAGGAGAAGGAACATGTTTTAGTTATTGTTCTGTCCCGTATTTTAGCAAAATGCCTTGCACAAACTAGTTACAGGATAAATGTTTTGCCTTGATACACTATCAATAGTTGCAAACTATAAAATATACCCTAAAATAAACTTAAAAATGATAACAGATAAAAGCTTGGAGGGCAGTTACAATTTTTTCATCTTGATTCGAAAATATCTCTAAGTTAAACAATTCTAGGCAAATTAAACTAAATCCAACAGCTAAGAGTAGGACTAGTACACTTTTTAAAAGCGGAGTTGCTAAGACTTCATTTCTGAATATTTATTTATTGAGAATCTACTACACATCAGAGAGTGTTTGGGAATTGGAGGTTCATTAGGGAACAAAATGAATAAAAGTGTCTGTCCTCATGGAGCTTATAATCTAGTTGGGGAGGGGATAATGACAATAAACACAATAAATAAGTGGATTATTTTGCATGTTATAAAATGATCAATGATATAGAAAAAAATAAGGTAAGGGGTCTGGGTAGTGCTGGGGCAAGGAGAGCATTGTAAGTTTTTTTAAAGGTGGTCAAGGAATGTCTCACTTAAGCATACTGGAAAGAGGAAACAAATAGCCAGTGCAAGGGTCCTGGGGAAAGAATATATGCTGGCTGTTGGGGAAACAGCAAGGAGTCCAGGATGGCCGCAACACAGCGAGTAAAGGGGAGAGTAGAAGCAAAGGCACAGAAGCATCAAGGGGGTACACTGTGTCCACCCCCTTGTAAAGATATGGCTTTTACCCGGTGAACTGAGAACCACCAGAGGCTTTGAAAGAGGAGTGACACACTCGATGTAAAATTTAGAAGGTCTACCCTCGTTGTTGAATAGAGAATGAACTGCAAGGCAGAAGCAGGGAGATGAGTTAGGGCACTCCTGCTATAATCCAAGCAGGAAGCAGTGGCAGCTCAGAGGGCACCAAGTGAAGAGGGTGCTAAGAGGTAGAATCTAGATAGGGCTTGAAGGAGGATATGCTGACAGATTAGAAGTAGAGGGTGGAAAAAAAAAGATATCAAAGATGAAGCCAAGGTTTTTGGCCAGAGCAACTGAAGAATAGAACTGCCTTTAATAAAACTCTAGGGTGACATGAGCAGGATTAGGGAAATTTAGTTCTGGAAATGAGAAGTTTAGGATGTCTATTTGATATCTAATTGGAGATATCAGCACAGTGGTATAGGCCATAGACCCAAATTTTGGTGTTATTAACATACAGATGGAATTTAAGACTGTGAAGCTGCATGAGATCACCAAGGGAATGAATGGAGATAGAGAACAGATGATGAGGAGCTGAGTCCTGGGGTGCTCTCATGTTAGAAAATGATTAGTAATGGCCCCTACTCACAAAGCCAAAAAGAAAGACAAAAGAGCAAATCTTAAGTTACACAATTTTTAACACTGGAGTCATTATCAGGAATGGATATACAATTCTAATTCTGTAATTTATGAACTAGTAAATTTGGGTTGTTTGACTTCTTCAACTAGACAGCAAGCTCGTGGCGTGCAGACATACTGCCCTGGTGACAGCGGCTGTGGAACCTCGTATACAGAAGGTGCTCAGTAATATTTCTTCAGAATGAACTAGTTTAGCATTATTCTTAGCTACTCCACATGCCAACTTCTTGCCCTTTTTCATTTTGACTAACAACCTTATCTATGAAGAAATGTAAATAATTGCCAACAGAAACCTGGCCTTTCGCTGAAAGAGATTATCATAAACAAGCCTCCTGCATACCCAGTTGCTGGCTCCGAAGCTGTAGGCACGTAACAAGAAGAGACAAAGCCTCTCCGGCAATCAGTGAGTCTTTGGTGGATACAGACTGTTGTCGAACACAGATTCCTGCATGCAGGGCTACTGGTTCTCCTTCACTTCCAGAGCTGCAATTGCTTCCTGAAAACAGGCAAGCAGAAATTTACTGTGGATCCTACAGGAACTGTCCAATACTTTAATCTTTTTACTATTATGTTCCAGAATCCTCATGTGACAATAAATACTTTAAGAAAGCACTTAGGTCTAAGACACCAGAGAGATTTAATCACTGTATCTGAAACACTCTTAACTACCTTGTCTTCAAAACACATTTGCAGGCAATCAAAATGTGTTCACAAGGCAAAACTAATTTCAGGTGATAGAAGAATAGCACGATTTTGTGGCTATGAGGGAGCCCTGAGCCCTCCTGAGGACATCAGAAATGTTTCCTATCTTGTAACTTGATGTAGATGGGTTATATGCATATAAAAATCCTAAAAATTCCCATATACTTTACTGTATATATGTCAAAAATTTTAAAACTTCCTTTATTATTGAGGTATTTCTAAAATATAAATTGTGCAAGAAGAACAAACAAAGCTGGGAAATAAAGCTGTATTTTAAAAAGGCCTAATGAAAAATAACCTGGCAATCCAAGGAAAGAACTGTTTTCCAGGACAGAATTCTACATGAATTTGTATTATAGTCACAATTATTGGTTTCACGACACTTTTATACTCAGCTAAGCTAAAAACTGTTGGTTTCTCTACTTACTCTATGTGTTTATAAATATTTTTCTTCTTCCTTTTTTTTTTGAGACACACTCCCAGGCTGGAATGCAGTGGAGTAATCTTGGCTCACTGCAACCTCTGCCTCTTGGGCTCAAGTGATTCACCTCCCTCAGCCTCCAAAGTAGCTGGAACTATAGGTGCCCACCACCATGCCTGGCTAATTTTTGTGTTTTTAGTAGAGATGTGGTTTTACCATATTGGTCAGAATGGTCTCAAACTCCTGACCTGGTGATCCGCCCAGCCTCCCAAAGTGGTGGGATTACAAGCCTGAGCCACTGTGCCTGGCCATAAATATTTTTCTTCTTAAGTATCACATATATGTAGGAACATGCATAAATACTAAGTGTATACAGAGCTCGATGGATTTATACTCAGGCTCACAAGCAAGAGACTCTGGAAAACCTACACATAGATAATTCTTACGGTTATTTTTTGCACAGTGTTCTCATTACTGTCTCTTTTTAATCAGTACCTGAACTGCTGAGTCTGTTTCGAATTCCAGCAGGACACAGAGAATTACTTTCTTTAATTGGCTGGCTACTCCCAACAAGATCAAGCCGTCCAGCAGCTGCAGCCCATGACAATCTCATGAAACAAGCCACAGTAGAAGTGAAATCGCTTACTTCCATCGTCTAAAGAATGGAACAAGAATTATGAGAAAAGGCAATACCTGAACATATGCCCTGACATCTACGACCTTCTTACCGGTCTCAGTTTCACAAGCTTCCTTTCCCTCTAAGGTCAGGGATGGCCTCTCTCAAGCTGCCATTCTGCTCAAGGACTTTTAGTCTCTCTTTTATCTGTAAAATAGACTGATCTTCATGCTGTGGCTTAAAATTACGCTTTACCAATTTTTTCACTTTCCCCCTTTCCCACATACTGTGACCTCGTGACCTCCCATAAGCTCTGGTGTTTCTACTTTGCATATGTGCTCCCTTTTGCTTGAACAAATCTCCTTTCTCCTAACTTTCTAAGTACTTATCTCAGTATATCTAATCCTCATCTGTTCTTCAAGGCCTAGCTCAAATGCCACCTATAACATAAAATCACCCATCACAGCCATAGGTGAAGGAAATTATTCTACCTACTTTAAAGACACAGAATGTTTTTGTCTTGTAGTTTTACAACACTTGATACTCTCAGCCTGGAATTATAGTTATTTTGCCCTAGTGATCTCTTGTTAAGTCACCATAAGTTTCTTGAAGGCAATGTTCATGTCTTCATCATTTATATATCCACACAGCACCTCTCCCTAAACTAGACTTTCTGAGTAAGAGGTACTAAAATGTCTTGAATACACAAATCACTTACCTGTATTGCAACTCGAGCAGCAGGGATGATTTCCTCAACCCTAATAGAAGACCTATCAGACACTGACAACTGTCGGTAGGATGACTTTTCTGGGGTACCGCATAAGGACATCTGTCTGCTTGTCTGCCGGCTGACATTCCGGAATGGGCGGGAAGAAAGTGCTTCTATGCCATCTTTGGTGAGGTCTTCGTCTAATAATGTGGGCATTGTTTGTCCAACAAGTAAAAATCTTAAAAAAAGACAGCTAGACTTATTCTGGGTCCACTTCATACTATTTAAAATATGATTTGAGAAGAAAAAGTCAAGTATTGCCTTGTGAGACTTATGCAATACATTTACATACCTTGCAAGCTGTAGACAGATGGAATAAACACCCTGTCTTGTTTCATAGTCTACTTCTGATGGGATGGAATCTCTCTGCATAACATTTACAACCAAACTTCAAAAAGAAGAAAAAAAGGCAGGATATTAAAGACTTCTATTTCTTTCATTTTAAATTTTCCATAAGTACAGTAATATAATTGGTCATCAATATTACCAATTACTTAGTTTCTACATGATTCTGTCATACAAAGATCCTACATATATATATAACAATTTCCTATGATACCTATAAGTTTCCTGTTTTCCCTGCTTCTGCTCTTGACTCTCCACCTTCCAAACCTATTTTCAAAAGACCAATCAGGGTGATCCTTGGAAAACATAAGTCAGATCATGGCACTTCCAATCTCCTATGCTGAAAACCAGCAGAGTCTTAACAGTAGCCTATAAGATCCTTCATAACTTGACCTCTGGTATCTCTACAATCTTATGTCCCAGACCTCTGTCTCATCTGAGAATGGGAAACACTGTCTCATTCACTCTGCCCCAACCACACTGGCTCTGCAGGCACCAGGTAGGTCTCCACGCATGAGTATGAACTGGCTGCTCCTCTGAAAAGCTTTCTTCTGGGTCTTGCTCCCTTATCTTCTTCAGGTCTTTGCTAGATGTCACCCCAGTGAAGTTTTTCCTGATCACCCTTCTGAAAATCACAGCACCTGCCAATCCCTGCTTCTTTACTTTTCTTTACAGCTCTCCTCACCATCTGACAAATATTTTTACTTAAGTTTACTGTCTCCCCCGCCCTAGACTGTAAGTGTCATGAGGATGTGGATTTTGGTCTGATCTACTCACTGCTCTGTTCTCAGTGCTTAGAACAATGTCTGGCACATGAATTAACTGACAAACACAAATAAGCCAAATGTTAACTGCCTTTGACAGCCCAAACGGCTGAGTGATGTAAGAGGAGTTTTTATTAAAAATACCTCTACAGTGTCGAACACAGAATAAAGCTACACATGTGTGCCAGACCTCCCATGGTACTTGGGAATCCTTTTCGCCATCATTTCCGTTTCCCATCCCCTCGACCTCCTCAAGGTCCCTACCCAGTTTCTCTGTGCCAGACCTCTCCACAGGAATTCCTTCAACCATCCTCTGCTCAAGCTTCAAGCTGGTCTCCATGCCTTCCTCACCCAGAGGAAACGGCATTCCCACTTCTTTCTAGAGAATATCTCCTTCCAACTACAGTACAACTTGACCCCATCATTTACCCCTTTTCTTTTATTTTTATTCTTTTCTCCTTCATTGGTCCCTTTTAGTTAGCCTATAAAGAGAAGCAAGTCTTCTTCTACCAGCTAAAATCAAAACACAAAAGCCAACTTTCCCCTCAGGTATATTCTCTTTAATTTACTATACCCCTTTCTTCCCACTCATCTGAAAGCAGAGATCTCTATGCCCTGATGCTACCTTCCTGCCTTACACTTGCCACTGAGCTCTGACAGCTGGATTATGCCCTCATGGTTTTACTCTTACACTCCCAAATTTCTCATGCCATTCTCCACTTCAAGCACCCTATCCAAACTATCTACCTTACATGGCTCAGAAGGACCCTGTATGCAATCAAATTTATTTCTCTTGCTTTCCTCTGTTCCTCCCCGCTCTCTCTGTGTTTATTTCCCATACTGACTAATGACTCACATTCCCCCACTCTACCAAGCTAGAAACCACAGGGCCATTTTATAAATATCCCCACCCTCTACCTAACTAGTCATAAATGTCATTCTGTCATTGTCCTTCATCTCCTCTCTGGATACTGTCAGCTCTCAGTCTTCCTCTCCTCCAGTCTCTCCCATTTCCCTTCGTCCTCTTCAGTGCAGCAAGAGTAACTGTTTCAGGTAATTCTTGGCTTAGAAACTGCCTGTTTTTCCATGGACTACAAGACAATGCTCATATTCCCCAATGAAACCCTTCTTGACATGTTTCTCTCCTTCATCCTTTGCTTGAACTTCACCAGGCAACTGAGGTTCCCAAGACAGGTGATATATCTTCATGCTCTCACTCTCCCCTCCCTCCATCTCAGCTTAGAGTACCCTTTCCCTCCTTATTTACCCAGAGTATTTCTAGGTAAACAATTTCCCAATTCCTAGCTCAACGGTCATTTTCTGTGAATCATTTTCTAACCTTATGACTCTATGCAAATCCAACCAATTTAACCGCTACTTTCTCGCCCCCTCCTCCCCACAAGCACTTTTTATATGCCTGTTTTAATACCTTTTTTTTTTTTTTTTTGAGATAGGGTCTTGTTCTGTTGCCAGAGTGGAGTGCAGTGGTGTAATCATGGCTCACTGCAACCTCTACTTCCTGGGCTCAAGTGATTCTCCCACCTCAGCGTCCCAAGTAGCTGGGACTACAGGTGCATGTCATCACACTCAGCTTTTTAAAAATATTTTTCATTTTTAGTAGACATGAAGTATCACTATGTTGTCCAGGACAGTCTCAAACTCTTGGGCTCAAGCGATCCTCCTGCCTCAGCCCCTCAAAGTGTTGAGATTACAGGCATGAACCACCATGCCTGGCCCATTTTAACACTTAAAATATACCTAACTGTGTGTTACAACAAACCTAGCTGTTTGTTATTCTTTGTTAAACCATCTGCTGCCTCTCAAAGGTAGAGATAATATCTAATTTATCTTTGCATCCCCAGCACTAATACTTTGCACAAAATGGATATACAGGGATCAAATTCACCTTATTTCAAACTGACATGAGACACAAAAGAAAGAGACACAGCCTCCTTACTTCTATCTTCTTGAGAATTTCCCCCACTACCATAGGGGAAAGAGACACGCTTCCATACATTTTTCAAATAATCAGAAGTTATAACGAATTAAAATACTCTAAAGGACTGAAACATCATTCCCTCTTATTACAACTCTCACAATGAGTCACATGTTACCTTGTAGGAATAAGCAAGACTTTGCAAGCGAAATTAAGGAAAATATCCATATTCATTTTTGGCAACTCATGTAACACTACACTGAAACTCTAACCTCAAACCGCCAGCTTTGAGGAAGTTTTCACAGAAGGATTTGGCACAGCTTCTGGCCATGTCATCATCAGCTGTTGGCATGAGTTTGGAGCTTAGAACCTAGGAAATAGATAAGTACAATTATTCACCCGCACATTTTCAGCAGAAATTACTCCTTTACTAAATAAAACATTCAGACAACTTGAGTTAAAATCTCTTTAAATGCTGCACACAGTTTTTCCCCCAGAAATATATGGAAGCTGGTGTTTCACAATAAAATAATCACATTTTCCCTATTCTATTTACTTTGGAAGAAAAATATCTCTGTTCTAGAGAAAGCTGCTACGTTCTTTTCATGAAACGGCAAAAATCAAAATCTCAGGCCCTCAAACTTAGATAAGAACAGATAATTTCATGTGATATGCTAGATATGTTCTTTAGAAAGATATAAACCAAAGTTTTATAAAATAGCCCACATATTAAAAATGCAAAATGAGTTCCCCAATAATAACTCTAACTCCTATTTATTGAACACCTACAATGTACCAAGCATATGTATTTTACTTTATAGGTGAGAGAACAGAGACCTGAAAGGTTAAACAGGTTAAGTGACTGCCCACCTAAGGGCACATGGCTAGAATTCAAATCCAGATGCAACTCATTCTAACACTCATGCCCTTCTATGATGCCACAAGACCTACCTAAAGTCGAGTTCAACTGAATATTTTGGTTGGGCAGAATTTCACATAAATAACCAATCTATAGGCAAGTCTACAAATCTAGTTCACATTCTAGTTTTACCTAGCTGAGAGATCTCAGGCATACAATGTTCCCTTTTGCCCTAGTTTTCTCATCATTAAATGAGCACAGTAATTACCTTTATAGGAAGATTGATGGATTAAATACTACAGCACAAACTTTAAGGTGCTTAGTATAAGCATCGGCACAAAACAAATAGTAAACAAGTGCTTATTCAGTTATGATTTAATAATAAAAACTCTTATTGCCTCAGTCTTAAACTAGATGTAGTTTAAGATCATTTTCTATTCTAAAAAAATCTGCTTCTATGAACCCTTGAGTTTTATGAGTTTAGAACTTAATGTGAGATTTTGTTAAAGATGCCTTCCTCCTAGGTTGCCCTTGGAGAAACAGGCCCACCAACATGGGATAATGAGCATCACATGGGAGAAAAGGAACCTGTGCTCTTCTAAAGCCTTGAAGCATATATAGCTCTTCGTCTATAGGTACACCCTGACCCCACTCTCCTCATGCTTAATGGACAACAATTTAATGAACTGACAGGTTTCTTTAAAGAAATGGAAATATCCACTTTGAAGTTTCCTCACAGGTAAACAAAAGTTGATAAACAAATTGCAAAGAAACCTTTTCACTGACAGCAAAATAAAAGCTTTTGGGAGGGTTGGGTTTCCAAATATTTTAAGTATCTAAAGCAAAACACAAAATATCAAAGGAATTCACACTTAATGAGAAGTCCTAAAATGATACTGGAAGTATTTCACTACTGCAGTGCTATGGCTCTAAGATAATGGAATTTAGATAGTTGATGGCAAGCTAGGCCCATTGTTGGACCATTCTGTTTTTCTAGGCACTATCAAATGTGGGTGTTAATAATTACACCTGAACTTTTTGGAGATAATCTTTCAAAAGCAAATGACAGATCTGGCAGGAATCACAAGATGCAAATTCTACAAGATTAAATTGGCTAAAAATTCCTAAGCAATTTTCTGTTTTGGAATACTGTATATATTTTATTTTTTGACATCTGTTTATTAAACAGGGTGGACATTGAGCTAGTATTTTCATTTTGAATAAGCCTCCTCAGTATGCACCACAACCTAAAATATAATCTAAATAGAAAGCACTTTGGTATTCCATGCTGTTTTTATAACTTAATACTACACTGAATGCTACTACATTTCATAAAGTTAATTCTTAAACACAACAATGACTCAACCTGGAACATGGTTTCCATGCTGAATACTGCATATATTTTAAAATGCCCACATTAAATAAGGACATGCACAATTTTAAAAATGTTTGCTAAATATTTTTTCCTTTTTAGCCCAAGATATCTTTTTACAAGAACGATTTAGGCAAATATGAAATGTTATCACATCATATAAACAACTAGTGGAGTGGGAAAATGAATGACTATAATTATATGCTCCAAATTAGGTTGTCACATGAAATGAAAAGTGGAAAAAATGCAGGTACCCTCTTAAAAATTTTGACTCTTGTGTACTTAAGAAACATGATATAATAATTAAGGTTGCTTAGGCACTGATATGGATTCTTTGGAGCCTGAATATAACTTCCTAAGACAAAGCAAAATTATTCAGGGCTTTATTTTCTTCAGACCAAAAGTGGTATAAGGGTCTGACCTATTATTCTCCAAGAGCAGAAGTGATTCCAGTTGGTCACTTTCCCATAGTGCTTTGTTTACACTCAGCCATCCAGACTCAGTATATACAGCTTCCGTATGTCTTACTCATAAGATCTTGGAGGGAATACCTTGTCTTTTCAACTCTGTTCCCTTAACTACCATCATGACTTGTAGACAGTAAACAATTAGTAAATGTTTAGTGAACTAAATGTATTACTTTAAAGCTTCTTTTGGGGAGGCTAATTACAACAATCCCCTGAAATTCATATTTTGGAAGTGAAGACATAGTGAGAAGGTACCATCTATGAACCAGAAGGCCAGCCCACACGAGACACCAGATCTGCTGGTGCCTCGATGCTGGACTCCCCAGCCACTCCAGCTGTGAGAAATAAATGCTTGCAGTTTAAGCCACCCAGTCTATGGTGATTTGTTATAGAAGACCAAATGAGCTAAGGCAGTAATAAAAATAAACTTTTGCATATTCAAAGGCAAAAAAGTTTCCATTTATTATCTATTTCTTAAAAATAATCTTCAACCAATCATCATGTAAACCTATTTACTTATTTCTGACATCTGAAAGCATGAATCTAAAAATCCAAACAGACCTGTCAAAATGAAATGAAAAGAATTTAGGTGTCTTACTTCTAAGTTGTAGAGCACTCTGAAGGTAGACATTCCCGGGGCAAAAGATCGAAACAGACTTTCTAAAATTGAACTGGCACTTGGCTGATGCTGTTGCTTTGACGACAGGGATGGAGATTTTGAGGACTGAGAACTTGATTCAGACAACAATGTTTTCTAAGTTTAAGAGAATAAAAAATGACATAAACTTTTTAAAATGACAAATTAAAGAGAAATAGATCTTAGTACATGTTCTAATATTCCTTTCCTCTTTAAGTCACGCCAATGATATTTTCTTTCTTTTTATTAAAATATATATATATATATTTTATCACATTTTAGGTTTTGGGGTACATGTGAAGAGCATGCAAGATTGTTGCATAGGTACATACATGGCAATGTGGTTTGCTGCCTTCTTCCCCATCACCTATATCTGACATTTCTCCCCATGTTATCCCTCCCCAACTCCCCACTTCCCGCTATCCCTCCCCTAGTTCCCCCCACCACAGACCCCAGTGTGTGATGCTCCCCTCCCTGTGTCCATGTGTTCTCATTGTTCAATACCCGCCTATGAGTGAGAACATGCAGTGTTTGATTTTCTCTTCCTGTGTCAGTTTGCTGAGAATGATGGTTTCCAGGTTCATCCATGTCCCTACAAAGGACACACTCATCTTTTTTTATGGCTGCATAGTATTCCATCCACACCAATGATATTTTCTAAAAATTAACTTCATAAAACCACGTAACTCTGTAACTACTAAAACTTCAAACTTCATCATACAAATTCTAAATGTTCAATAAGATTCAAATACTACATGAATGCTTTTGAGTATGTATTCTAAGCAAATACATGCTCATTTTAATTTGCTTCTGTGTTTAAAATTTGTATCTCTAAATACTGATAAAATTACAAGATTGCTAAAGTGGTAGACTTGAAAATTCGTTAAGCTAATACTAGTGATATATTTTATAGTTACATCAGTTTTCTTTTCCTTCAAATTAATGTATAAGCAATAAATGACATGATAGCTGATCTAAATTTCTATCACTAAAATATAAAATACATAGTTCTAACAACTTTTTCTACATGAATTTATTCTCAGAACTTATACAATATTATGATAAGACAATTTCAATATACAGATAAATCTCTTAAGGAACACATTCTAACAATCAACAAAAATGAACTTTAAATATCAAGTGAAAAAATTAAATGATAATCCATTTATATAAGCAACTAAGACATATGCAACAATCAGATTCAAAGAGGCCTCATGACTAATGAAAAACTTCTCAACTGAAACAGAACTAGAGTCTGATCTGGGACAAGCAACTTCATCTCTCTAAGTTTTGGTTTCCTAATATATAACATGAGGAGGTGGAAAGGTAGATGATATTAAAGGCTCTTCCAGTTCTAAAACTTGAAGTCATTATTGACTTTATATAGATACTTTAAGTTCTGATTTTCATTTATGGAAAAGGTATTTCTCTTTTATTTATTTATTTTTTGAGACAGAGTCTTGGTTTGTTGCCCAGGCTGCAGTGCAGTGTATAATCTTGGTTCACTGCAGCCTTGACCTTCTGGGTGCAAGCTATCCTCCTACTTCAACCTCCTGAGTAGCTGGGACTACAGGTATGTGCCATCACACCAGCTAATTTTTTTATTTGTAGAGATGGGGTCTCTCTACATTGCTGAGGCTGGTCTTGAACTCTGGGGCTCAAGCCATCCTCCCACCTTGGCCTCCCAAAGTCTTGGGATTATGGGCATGAGCCACTGCACTGGGCTGGCAAAGGTATTTTTCAAAAGAAGAAAAAACGTTATGGGAAAGATGATATCATATGACATCAGTCACTGAATTGTGATACAAAATTGCCATGTTAGTTAAATAACTAGCAAAGATACTCATACCTTTCTTCCTAAAGAATCAAGCTGATCAAGGGCTTCCTGAATGGCTGGATCAGTGGGTATCAAGAGCAGGAGCTTCCGTACTCGCAGAGTTATCCTGAAGTTTTTCAAAGATAAATTTTTTTCATATAAGCCATAGTTTAATAGCAAAGTCCACTAGTATGCAATATAAAGTAAAATGCATTTCAAGTGAAGTTACTTGGCTCCCTAATGTTAGTAACTTTCTGCCAAGTCTCACAAATATTTATATTTACCTTGGCTCTTCCAGATTAGCGAGCTGATAAAGCATGTCGAATACGTTACATACGAGAGCCATCACTACACCAGGGAGGGATTTCTCCTGATGGAAAAAAAATAGAAATTCAAATTTACAAAAGAATGTCCTCCTTTCCTAATCAAACTTACAAACAATAAAAATACTAGTTCTGAGAGACTGGTCACTGTAAAGCTTGAGGGAAGCAGTATGAAGTCTGTACTGAAGAACACCACATGGGAGCATACTAGATGAGGGATCACTACCTTCTAGTGTGTATTACTTGCTCTCCCTCCTCCTGGCCACCTGCTAGTGAAGGGACTGAGGCACCAAAAGGCAGGCACAGTAGAAGAGAGGTAAAGCAGAGGGGATGTGTAATCAATATAACAGACAGCAGGCACCACTGAGCTAATCACTGCTTGCCTGCAGAGAACAGGGTGAGTGATATGAAAACAAAAGTAGTGTATTTACGTATCTACATTCACATACAACAATAGATACACGTAATTTAAGCTGAGAAAAAGAAGTTACCATGTTTTTTTCCTAAAGATCAGAAAAGACAAAATGGGTGTAATTGCACAAAAGAAATTCAGGTGTGATTAAAGTACTATTATCTGGTTATAAGGACTAAGAAATCAGACATCACACAATGTATTTACAAGTGGAAAGATTTTTAATAAATTCAGAATAAATATGAGATAGTTAAAAATTATTAAACTTGAAGATGCTATGTACACTGTTTCTGTTGTTATTTAGCTGCCATAATACCATTCTGAGTATGATTTCTTTTTAAAATTCTTGTTATATATGAAATATAATTTTTAAAAAAAATGGAGATGGAAGTCTATGTTGGCCAGGTTGGTCTTGAACTTCTGGCTTCCAGCAATCCTTCTGCCTTGGTCTCCCAAACTGCTAGGATTACAGGCATCAGCCACCACACCCAGCCTTGAAGTACAGTTAACTTTGACATCCACACAATACCAACACAGGTTGAGTATCCCTAATTCAAAAATCTGAAAAGTGAAATTCTCCAAAATCAGAAACTTTCTAAGTGCCAACATGATGCCGTAAGTTGATAATTCCAGGCCTGACTTCATGTGACTGATCTGTCAAAATCTGGTTTCATGCACAAAATTATTTAAGATCTAGAATATCACCTTCAGGTTATGTATATAAGGTATATATGAAACATTAATAAATTTAGTGTTTGGATTTGGGTCCCATCCCCAAGATATCTCATTGTGTATACGCAAATATTCTAAAATCCTAAGTACAACTCAACTAGAGTTCTTTGATATCTCTAGTAAAGTTTATGCTCTATAAATCAAAAAGATGCAGTCAGCTGAGCACAGTGGCTCACGAGGTTAGGAGAGTGAGACCATCCTGGCTAAAACAGTGAAACCTCATCTCTACTAAAAATGCAAAAAATTAGCTGGGCATGGTGGCAGGCACCTGTAGTCCCAGATACACAGGAGGGCTGAGGCAGGAGAATCACTTGGACCTGGGAGGCGGAGGTTGCAGTGAACTAAGACTGTGCCATTGCACTCCAGCCTGGGCAACAGAGTGAGACTCCATCTCAAAGAAAAAATAAGATGCATTTACACAAGTTCTTACGTTTGGAATTAAAGGAATAAATACATAATAACCTTGGGGGAAAAACACTATGTCTTTTAAATACCTTTGCTTTATATTAGCTTGCTTTCTAGACCATAAAAGCCTAAAAAGCAGAACAGTCTTATGCAGCTTTGTACCCCTGGAAACCTGACACAAAGAAGTACAAAATAAACTAATTCATGAAGTCATTCAAATATCGACTGAGTACCTATCATATTCTAGGTGCTGTTTTAGGTGTCGAGGATGCAGCAGTGAACAAAATAGAAGAAAATCTGCCCTCGTGGTGCTTATATTTTATTGGGGGAGAGAGATAAACAAGATAAATAAAATGTATAGTATGCTAAACAAAAAATAAAGTAGGGAAGGGAAATAAGAAGAAATATAGGGGTAGGAAAGAAGCTGAAAATCTAGACAAGACTGTCAAAGAAGGCTTGCTGAGAAGGCAGCATGTGAGTAAAAGCTGAGGAAAGTGAGTAAGCCACCTGCATATCAGGAAAGAGTGAGCCACCTGCATATCAGGAAAGAGTGAGCCACCTGCATATCAGGGATGGTCTGTTTCCAGCTCCTGCATATCAGGCACAGGGAACAGACCGTACTGTTTGAGGACCAACATGGAGGCCAGTGCAGCTGGAGTGATGCGAGGAGCAGCTCACAGGAGACAACCTCAGAGAGGCTATGCGGGCACATTAGGAAGGTCCTGAAGGTCCCAGTAAAGGTTGGCTCTTATTCTGAGTGAGACAGGAGCCACTGGAGTTGAGGAGTGGCACAATCTGACTTATGTTTAGTAAGATCCTGGGCCGCTGGGTGCCCTGTAGAGAAGAGACTGAACTGGTGTCAGAGCAGAAACTGTGAGACCAGTTAGGGCACTACTGAAACATGCCAGGTAAGGCATGGTGATTGCCTAGACTGCTGTGCAAGCTGTAGTTGTAGAGAAAAGTAGCTGGATTCTTGATGTATTCTGAAGGTGGATTCAAGAATTTGCTCCTGGACATGGGTGTGAAAGAAGGAACCCAAAGATTCTGGCCTGAGCCAACTAGAATACTGAAGATGCCATCATTTGAGATACAGCAAGACTGTGGGAAGAAGAGATTTGGGATAGGATTGAGGTAATGGGAAAAAAGGTCTAAGGAGCTCAATTTGGGATAAATTAGAATTACATAGCCTAGTAGACACTTGAGATGTTAAGTGGATGAATCTGTTTATTTGAACTTCAGCGTAAAGCTAAAACTGGCAGTTAGCAATGTATATACAATATGCAGAGTTTGGAGACTGGATGAGATTAAGGGAATGACTGTAGATAATGGAGAGGTCCAAATATTGTACCTATACATACTTTGTTCAGAATCTCCATTCTAGGTTTTGTATGGGCCATGACATATAAATTGTTAGACTCTGGTGTGATTCAGGACTACTCCTGTTTATATTCTGAAGTGGTCAGAAAGTGTTACCTAAGACTCAGTCAATGAGAGAAACTATTCAAAGACTAGTTTTAGATTATTATCTTCTTAATGCTTTCTGGAAATCATGATTCCAAAGGTCTAGAGGGGAGGTGTCTTAGCAATTGCAAGAATTTAAAACTAACACAAACTTAGGCATTTGAATCAAGCATAAATTTAGTATAAACATATAATGTAAAATGGCTCTCCCGAATGCTAAATCAACATTATACTTCACTGAGAGAATACAGGATCTAGAATGGGGCTGCAAGCTCGTTCCCATTTTGGGTATAGAGATTAGGGAGATGAGGAGAAATAGGCAAATGAGACAAAACAAAAACAAACAAACAACAACAACAACCCAGGCAGAGAGGCAGGGGAAAGTCAAGCAAGTCTTGAAAGCCAAGTGAAGAGTGTTCCAAGGGGAAGTGATCACATGTATCAGCTTCAATGAAATGTCAAGAAGATGAGGACTAAGAGGTGGAGGTGACAGACTAACTGGAAAAGATCTTATCAAGAAAGGACGGCACAAGAAAAACTGGAAACAAGTTTAGACAACTCTTTCCAGGAGCTCTGATTTGGGAAGGAGAATGGGGCAGTAACTGACAGTGGAAGTTGAGTGAAGAGTTTTTTTTTTTTTTTTAAGATGAAAGAAACAACATGCTTGATCACTAATGAGAATGACACAGTAGAGAGGAAAAAAAAACTAATGAATCAATGAAGAGAGAGATGCATAAGAGGACAGTGAGTTACCAGGCAGAATCATTCAGTGATTGATTCAGAAGACTGGTAACTTATGTATCTCCTTTTCTCAACTGAATCCCAGTATTTGTTATACATTTGGAAGAGTCAAAACTTGTCTGAGAGAAAAGGATATCATCATCTAAACCCATATGGGCACATAAAAAGACAGTGATTGTTAAGTTCTTGTTTTTAAATTGCAACTGATCACCCAGTACCTGCTCCATGGCATATGAAGAACTAAAGGCCCCACTACTGCTGCTGCTGGAGCTGGTTGAAGAATCTGCTGAGCTCCCAGATGGGGTCCCGCTGCCAGAAGTCTTCACTGTAAGAATTTGTTCATCAGAAAATCCCAGTTGGTGGAGTAGCTTTTGATCTTTATTCACTGTCAGCTGCAAAAAGTGGTTTCTTAATTACTGAGAGGGAAAGGAAGAGGAAATTATTCATATCAAGCTAAATGTTTATATGATAATCTGTTTATTATTCATAAAAACTGCTTTTTTAAACCTACCAGGCTATCATTTGTAAATATCTGTATATTATCCACAGGAGAGCACAACTGCTTGGCTATTTTCCACCGGACACTCCCTATGGTTTCATTACTGTGAGCCTGTAAAATAAAATTAAACACGTTGTGAGAGAATTCATTTATTTATTCATTTAAACAACTGTGACTGAGCATCTACTAGGTACTGGGCACTGTTCTAGAAGCTGGGAACACAGCAGAGAACCTAAAGACAAGAACCTCTGCCCTCATGAGGCTTCCCTTCTTCTGTAATTAAATGTTCCATTCCACACTCCACCTCCTCCCCATCATGCGTGGAATGAGACCACAAGCCCTTCTTCTACTGCAGTGTTGTCCACTCTTTGCCTTTCTCACTGCACTCCCCTGACACCAGTCACCTTGTTTGCCTTTGTACCTGCTGCTCCCTTTGCCTGGAATGTTCTTCCAAGCAAACATCATTTAACCTGTCAATTTACTCAAGTTTATGCTCAAATGTCACCACCTCAAAGAGACCTTCCCTGTCTACCTTTTCCTAAAATATTTTGTGCACTCCCATCACCCTCTTATCACCCTCCTCACCACTGTATCCTGCTTTACTCTTATCTGTTCTTTATAATACTTACCACCACCTGACATTATATAGTATTTATTTATGTATCTGCCTGTACCCCACAGTTTCATTTCAGGTATTTATTCTACATCTGTTTGCAAACAGCCTTTAGAATGATTATTCATGCAGCTATCTCAATCAAGACTGCTTTGTGAAAATAATAAAACAACATGAAAATTGCTACAGATTTTAATGTAAACCTACCTCGACAGTGAAGGTATCTTTGGTAGACTCATAGGTAATATTAAGAGTTAAAAGATGTCCATGAAATGAGGCACCATGAGGTAGAATAGTTCGTGGAACAGAGTAAAAATCCTTTAAAAATATATAAGTCAAATCAGATAGACAGCACCACTGATAAACACATCAAAAATACATACCTATGTATATATAATGAATGAAGATGCTTTTTTAAGAAAAGAGAGGCTAGCTGGGTGTGGTGGTGTGTGCTAAACTTCCAGTTCTAGGAAGGCTGAGGTGGGAGATTGTTTGAGCCCAGCCTAAGCAACACATGTCTTAAAAAACAAGAAGTAGCTTACCTCTATAGTGATCACATAGCGCTCTGCCAGAAGCAGCAATCTCTCAATTATTACAAGTTTAGTGGATCTATGGATTAACAACAACAAAAAGAATTTTGAAATGTATTTGAAGTGAATTACCGATCTGAGCTCAACTCTAGTTTCATCAAAACCACAATAACAGCCCCAAAACCACAATAACAGCACAGTAACAGTTAAAACTCAGTCAAAGACTGAATTTTGCAAATATTAAACTTCTCTTTTACCCAATGGGGAGGTGGTTCCACTAACTCATAGCTGCAGCACACACATGGAATAAGGGAGAAGCCTGTACCTCCCATGTTTCCTTTCCTTTTCTTTCTTCTATTTCTTTAAACAGTTATTCCATAAACAGAGGACCTGGGTTCCTAGGCCTATCTGTCCATTAAACCATTAAGAATGAAATCAGTGAGTTTGGCTCTCATTAGTCTTACATAACTAAAATATGACATACAATTCTGCAGACATGAAATCTGACATAGTTCTGAAATGCCTGAGAATTAGAAGACAAATACAAACCAGTAAGTATAACACAAACGAAAGTTGCTATCCGAAAATGAGATCTCAGGTCTCTTTTGGTTGAAGACTTATGAAATCTTACTTAACATCTGAAATAATCAGACTGCAATATTTGGCAGTTTATACAGTCACAGCCCCATACTTTATTAAAGAGAACACTCCTATAGTCCCAGCTACTCGGGAGGCTGAGGCGGGAAAATTGCTGGAACCCAGGAGGCAGAGGTTGCGGTAAGCTGAGATTGCGCCACTGCACTCCAGCCTGGGTGGGCAACAAGAGCAAAACTCCGTCTCAAAAAACAAAAAGAGAGAGAACACTACATGTATTAACATTAAGAAATGAAAATCCAAGTCTCTTAATTTAAACATTTTCCATTCCAGAGAGTCAACACATTTCAAAGAGGTATATTTCTAAAACTGAAAAGAGGTACTACCATTTTCTAACAATTGGTCTGGCATGCTGATTAGCAGTACTTAAAATTTCACTTAAAAACAGCTGGTTAAACACATTTTAGCAGTTCTATTAAATATATTTAACAGAGTTCTAAATTATTCCAGTCTATGGGCAAGAACTAGAACTTGAAATGCAGATGAAAAATCTTTAGAAAATATCTAAGTCCATAAATGAGTGAACTACTGAGTGAACTGTTTTCTTAATGATGCCTCAGTAATGAATTAAATCATAGACAGTATTATGAAACGCTGCATATATGACAGAACCCCCCCCAACCCAAGTTGGAACAATTTGGGGTACTGAAAAGTTATTTCCAAACTAGTGAAATGAGTTAAACTACAATGTCCTGGTTCAAATTCGACTTTGAAACTATATTTTTATTAACCCTATTTAGAGTTTATAATAAGAATATTTTAAAATTATTATGTGGTTTTTCTCTATAGTCCACAAAATATTAAATGATTCAGAATAAAAAACACTTAGTAAAGAGAAAAAAACAAAAAGTATACTCATTTAAAGAAGCAAGAGTTTGGACATCCTAACCCAATAGCACATAAATACACTTACATTCTAATTTATCAGATAAATGAACCATTAAGGAACTAAGTCACAGAGATGGACTATACCTTACAAACATGTACTTGGGAATTCTTAATATACATTTTAAATGAAAGTCTATTTGAGATATACTTCCAAGAATGTGGGAATGTGAAAGTCATGTTAGTGTTTTTATCATCAGTTGAATCTGTATTATTTCTGCCACTTAAAAATGAAGTCTGAAAAGGCTGTTTATTGGCTTCCTTCATATTAATAAGGTGACACAGTATTCAATTCATTTTAAAAAGAAGAATAGGGGAAGGGACTTACTGCCCTGATTCCCCCTTTTTAAAGGAAGGCTTTAACAATCCCCAATTGTGAATAAGAATAAGTAGATATTCTGGAGTAGAGAAAGACTCTATGAGTACCCATCACTAGAGGGCAGCAGCAGAGTGAGGTACGGAGAGTAAGCCCTTCTCAGAGCCCTCACCAGTTTCCTGGGGAACAATGACATGGTGCTGCTTACCAGCAGAGGATCATAAAAACTCCACAAAAGTACTTTAGTTCCTTCCATCTAATGTTCCAAATTATGCATTGTTTATTCTATATCTCCCGTTCATGAAATCTGACTTTAGTGTCTCCTGTAGTTCTCTGAGTCTCCTGTAGTTCTCTGATATCAAAGAACTACAGGAGACACTAAACTCAGATTTCATCAAGAGTATCTGAAAACTAAAAACATAGCAATGTGATTAAGAAACAATGTTCAGTTTAAAGTTTTAGCACAAACATTTGGGGATAAAGTTCTCACTAAAAATTATTTTGAAAAATACTTCTATTATTTGAATATTTTAGTGACTATGATTATATTATAATGCATAATTTTGATTAATCATCATCTTCCACTTCATTCTGCTTACCCTATTTATGCCCTGAGTTTGACTATTCAATGAGAAGATCTAAGTAAATATTTTAAACTTAACAAAAATCAGTCTTGTATATGGTATTTCATTCTAAACAGTAAGTTATTCATACTATATAGAATAAAAGTAAAATGAATCAAATAAAAACTAAAACAAGAGGACCTGTCCACCAAGTAGAAGGGTAGGGACAGGGCAGTACTTGGGTGGTTCTGGTGATGACCTACACACAGAACTTCCAAAGAGACAGATTCAGGGGTGTATGATGGGGAACATGTAATTCTCAGGATTATGATGGCTTGCAAAAAATTATGATATAAAATGAGGAAATCAGTAATTGAAAAACCTACATAAAAAATACCAATCATTTAAAAAAATCTGACGTATGTGTGTTGTGTATTTTTTACTTCTGATCACTTACCTATATGGAGACTGAACTGAGGTTGCTACAGTTGGCATGGCAGTTGCTGTAAGCATTTTTGTTGCTCTGGTCACAGCATGTGTTAGAGTGGGACCACCAAGTGCTGAACTGGCTGCCTAAAAAATACCAAACAGTCATTCTCTATCAGGGTTTCTCAACCTGGCTCTAGTGACTTTCTGGACAGGACAATTTGCTATTGCAGAGGGCTGTCCTGGGCATTCATTGTAGGATGTTTAATAGGATTCCTGACCTCTACCTACTTAGGGACCAGTAGGATGCTTCTAGTTGTGACAACCAAAAATGTCTCCAGATATTACCAAATGACCCCCAGAGGTAAAATATGCCCCAGCTGAGAACTAGTGCCCTACATATGATAATACTTACATGGGATCTCATATTGGGGTATTTGAATACCTGAATTTTTTTTATGATGACATATTTGGCTGGAAGTCACAACTAGGAAAATACTGTACATATTTTAGCACATAGTTATCAACAGAAAGTTTAACTTATTGGAATTTGGAGGCAGCAGCATTTTAAGCTTTTAAATATTTTTTGATTAGATATAAAACTTAAACAAGCATATCAACTGAATATGAATATTTTATGCTTTAACCATCATGCTAGAAATAAAAGAGATACATGTGAGATAGCATTACACAGCAGGCTTCTAATGGACAAAGACAACCAATACCACCTACTACTAACTGTCCCGCTGTGTTTTAATAACATTTATGGTATAACTAGATGAAACATGGGGAAAAATAAGAAAAGAACCAGTGCTAGTATAAAATTCCTAGACAAAAATAGAAAAAAAAGAAAAAGATTCTATTAGAAATATGGAATGTATAGACAACCTATTTTCTGAAGACAGTACCTATACTCCAAAATGGGAGGAAGGTGGATAGAGTGGGAAAGACAGGTGATGAGAGGGAGAAAAATTTCCTATAAAGTACACTTAGATATTGGGCAAATATCTGTCCTCTATGCCAACATATGGTACTATTGATAAATTCTTCAATAGGATCCAGCCACAAACATCAGCATTATAGATTATCTAAAAATATAAAATTAGGAAAAGAAAAAAAAGCATTTACTTCAAAGAGAGGTTAAATAAAATTTGCTACTCACCTCTAATCTTGTGTAGCAATCAGCAATAAATTTCTTATGTAAAGATACTGAATCCTGAAAGAGTATATAGAAATTACAATTAGTCCTTGACATTTAATTGTAATCATTATTCAGGACAAAATATCAAACTAAAGAAGCCAATTTTTGGTCATGTCAAGGATTATTGCTTATCACTACAATATATATATGACTTTCTGCTTTTTGTGTATGAGTAACTTCTTTCCTTAGATACCTACCTTCTTTAATCTAGGATTTAGATTAATATAACTATAGTTTATGATTAGCTGAATAGCTTCATTAGCAATTTCTTCATCAGGTGATTCCATGGCTATTTTCCAAATGAAATCCATTCCTATCAATTCCAGCTTTTCTACATACTGCTCAAAAGAAAAAAAATTAAATTATAAACCATATCCAGATCACAAAATTACAAAATCACAGACAATTATTTTGTTGCACCATTAGTCCACACCTCTTCAGTTCAATATGAATTAAGGTGCAAAACCTCAACTATATATGAAAACAACGTTATACTGACATGGAACTTTAAAAAGCACCCAACCACAGAAGCACTGGGCAAATTCCATGGGTACCAGGATAGGTATGGCGGTATCTCTTTCGACATTCCTAGACTCAAACTGGACATACAGTTTTACAGGCTACTGAAGAAGAAATAGAACAGGAATGAGATGAGCACCATTTTCATGAGCTTTTCTTCAAAAGGAGACACACTCAAGCCTGAAGTGGTCACTAACTCTTGGGGCTCAATTTGGTCTTTCTAAAGCTCAGTAAGAAACAGCTTTCTTACCACCCAGGAAGCCATATCCTGAATGAAAAGGACTTGAAAAAAGAGGTGAATTTTTGCCCCCACTTTTTAAAAGGCCATGTATAAACATAAATATAAACTGTAGATCCTAGTTTTCTTGCTTCACTGTCTATTCCTAAATTTTTGTCCCCAGATCCCTGCCATTGCAATCCTAGAATGAAGACTGTGCTTGCTTTTTAGGTACATGTGAATTGCTGGATCTGAGGAGTTGGAAGTTTAGGTGAACTATTCCTGCTCTGCATTCATGTAGCCAAAGGAGGCTACTGGCTGTCCCTAGATCAGCCAGAAACGGAGGGATGTGAGGAGAGAGTGGTGTCCTCCCGGGTAGCTGGTGAGGCATGGTAGTGCAGGAAGGAGCCTCCCTTATACTCTAGGAGCAGCTCTGTTATCAACGTGGTAGCTGGCAGTCAAGGAGATGCCATTCTCAAAAAAAAAAAATCCATGTTATCTCTCAAATATAACACATTTTTTTTTTTGCTGAATATCAAGTTATACTAGATTATCCAAACTATCTAGATTTGAGAATAATGTACTTACCAACTGAGCTCCTTGTCTTTTCAATCGATGATCACAAAGATTCACATTTTCAAAAAAAGTCTTAAATAAGTTAAAACCTGTAATTATAGAATGTCAAATAAATTAATGTACTCTAGGAAACACAGATAATCAATGAAAAGACTCAAAGTGGTTCAAGAACTAAAACCATAAAACTCTTGGCAATGGTTTCTTAGATATGGTACCAAAAGCAGAAGCAACAGAAGGAAACGTAAGTAAATCAGATATAATAAAAATTCAGTGCTTCAAATGACATTAACAAGAAAGTGAAAAGACAACTCACATAATGGAAGAAAATACCTGCAAATCAAGTATCTGATAAGGAGCTAGTATCCAGAATATATAAAGAACTCTTACAACTCAACAATAAAAAGACAACCCAATTTTAAAATAGGCAAAAGATTTTAAGACTTCTCTAAAGAATATGCACAAATGGCCAATAAGCACATACAAATAGATGCTTAATATAATTAGTCACTAGAGAAGTACAAATTAAAACTATTACATTTGGCCGGGCATGGTAATCTCAGCACATTGGGAAGCTGAGGCAGGTGGATCACCTGAGGTCAGGATCACCTGAGGTCAGGCCAGGCTGGTCTTGAACTAAAACTACAAAAAAAAAATACAGAAATCTATTAGAAATAAAAATTAACTGGGCATGGTGGCATGTGCTCAGAAGCTGGGGCAGGTGAATTACATGAACCCGAGAGGTGGAGGCTGCAGTGAGCCAATATCGTGCCACTGCACTCCAGCCTGGGTGACAGAGCTGTCTCAAAACAAATGAACAAACAAACAAACAAACAAAAAACCACCCATGTAATTCTGATACCATTTTATAACCACTTAGGATGTCTAAAATAAAAAAAGGCAGATAATAACAAGTATGGGTAAGAATGTGAAGACACTGGAACCCTCATATATTGCTGGTAGGATTACAAGGTAATGTGGCACTTTGCAAAACAGGCAGTTCCTCAAAGGTTAATTATATGTCACAATCTGACTTCTAGATACACATCCAAGAGAAATGCACAACTACAGAAAAACTTGTACGTGAATGTTTATAGCAGTATTAACCACAACATCCAAAAAGTGGCAACCATCAAAATGTCCATCAGCTCATGAATGGATAAATAAAATATCCATTTATAAATAAAATATCCTTTATAATAATCCACTAAACCCACGTAGCAGATTATTACAAAGCCATAAAATGGAACAAAGCACTGATAAATGCTACAACCTGGGCGAACTGTGAAAACATTATGTCTTAACATTATGAAAGAAGCCAGAGACAAAAGATAACATTGTATAATTCCACTCATATCAAATGTCCATATTAGGCTAATCCATAAAGACAGAAAATAGATTAGAGGCTGCATAAAGGAAGGAATGGAAAGTGACTATTAATGGGTATAGGGCTTATTTTTGGGGTGATGAAAATACTCTGGGATTGGAACAGAGTGAAGGTCACATAATTTTGTGAATACACTAAAAACCACCAATTGTACACTTTAAAAAGTGAGTTTTATGGTATGTAAATTATATCTCAATTTAAGAATTCAATTAAAAGAAACACCTGAGAGAAGGATTTCCATACTTTAATAGTTAATTTAATTTAATAATATGAACTATAAATAGTTCATATTATTCTGAATCCTTTAAAAAGACAATTTGATCTAGCAGGTCATATGATTTAAACACTAATTATAAGATTCCATTCATGTAAAAAGGAATTTGAGTACTAAATATATCTTTATATGCACAAGAAAAATTCTGGATATTCCTAACTGTTTAGTTGCTTCTGAGAAGGAGATTACAGGTAAATGAAACAATAACACTTCTTACTTAAAAGTACTGAAAAAAAATGAAAGTTTTTTCCTACCATTCATAGTGATTTCATATGACTCCAATTTAAGAATTTTCTCCTTGAAGAGCTGCTGCTGAACATCACTCTCAAGATCATGCTGCCCTTTTGTAAACCATTCAAAACACATCTGTGGAATAAGACAGTATTACTCTATAACTAAGATCTATTGCAGGCAAATACATATTCCAAACTGGAAAAGTAAAGGTAAATTAATACTTCAAATGTTTATATTGTCAAAATACCACTCAAAGCTAAAATGCTTGGAATTCTGAAATTAAATGAAGCAGTTACTAGCAATCTTTTCTCTAGATAATGAAAATATCTACTCATATTTTTCACTGGATTTTGTACTTGGGTTTTCCATCAACATTTACTGCCTGCTTGTGCCAGGCACTATGCTGGGCACTGTCACATAGAACCCTTTTGACAAGTCTATAAAATAGTTAATATTATTCTGTCAAATAAGATGAGGAAAATGAAATTTACTGTTAGAAAATGTCAAGGTAGGTGTTTTGTTCCTGATTTAATCTATTTTTGGCTGTTTAATTATAGTTTTAAAAAATTTGTCCAGGGACCAATTCTTCTTTACTGTTTTTGGGGTACAACATCATTATAGGAACTCAAAGTTTTCTGTTGGTAACTTAAAATTAGTTTCATGTGGAGGGGAAAAGAACTTAAAATATATCTAGAATTCTTTATGTATACTTATTTGGTTAAATTTGGTATTTTATCGAGAATGGTATCAAAATTACCAAAGAACTTGAACATTTATTTTTATCATGAATATATACTATATAAAACATTTTTCAGCACTTTCAGTTCTTGGCCCATACTATTTATGCATATATAAACCGAATATAAATATTTAGAAGATGTGAGACACACAGAAAAAGTGAACGATGTAATATTTCTGCTTCCTTTATCCACAATACCATTTTCTTACCTCCCTATCTAATTCACAAACATCCTGGCCAGTCACAAGACACTCCCAGATCTCCCTGGCACGATTCCAACCCAGATACAGAGTGGCTTCTTGCAAGAAAAACGCCAGAAATTTTAGATGTGCCTCTAAATACTGCAAAAAGAAATAATGCTACTTAGTTAACTCCAGGCATTCATTCCTAAAAGCAACATTAAAAGAAAACTAAACTTTAAATTTTAACAACAGTTTTACTTAGTCCTTTTTCATATAATTTAGGGTAAAGTAAATATTAAAAATAAAGATCTGTTTACAAGTTGGTAGTATAATGTAATAGAAGTTATCTCAAGTCTATTAGAAATCTGGTTGATTTTGGGTGTCAATAAAATGTAATTTCAGCAATCTCAACGTAAAATACTATAAGCTCACAAGTGACGAGTTAAGATTTTTCCCTAATTTAAAAAAAAACAATAATATTACTAATTAATTGATTGCAAAAACAAAACCCATTACCCACAGAATTAACATTATTTCAGATCAAAGACAAAAAAAAGATGTTTATTCTTTCATCATATGAAAGATAACCCACAAACACCAAAATACAAAACTGTTCCATCACTACAAAGATAACCTCGTACTACCTCTTTATAGTTATGGCTAACAAAAATTCTTTTTATAGTACAAGTATAAAAAGGTCAAATGAATGCTGTGAATCATGAAGCAAAAACACAAGGCCTGATACCTCCCGGTAAGTGTACCGGCCGTCCACTAGCGTCGAGCCACTTAAGCCTCCCGGCCCAGCCACAGCAGCTGCAAGCCGATGACAAGCAATCAAACTTCCAGTTACCAATTTCACTATTTCAAAATTTTTCTTCAAGTCTTGAATGATGCTCTTGGCAAAAACAAAACAAAAAAAGTGGTAGTGAGAACTTGCAGTTATTCTGTTGGTTTAATACTGCTATTTAAGGATGTAGTCCTAGGTGAGACAAACATAAGAATTTCCTCATTCAATATTTCCTACATACAAGTAAATAAAATCAATCTGTACATTTACTAGAAAATAAATTTCTTTACTAACATTTTACATCTAAAAATATTCCTTTGATTTAAAAAAAAAGTCTTTAAAAATAACTATTTCACTTCCTGTCTACTTTTCTGGATCATTCTTCTCAAGTCTATATACTGAGGAAACTTAGTACTTTAAGCAAACTAATCCTTTTGTCTTATAAAACAAGCTCTATAATCTTTTCAAACCAATTTTTAAAATATCATTCTAACTTTTAAAAACTGGCTTATTTCAAAATTAAGCAAAAAAAAGGAAATGAGTTAAGGAGATATATATATAAAAAGTTCCACAGAAATGAAAGCAGAGTGATGCTTAAACTCAAGATTACTAAATGATATAAGTGAATTATATTAATAACCAAAAAAAAAAATAGTGACTAAAAACTCAGTAACTTTAGTCATGTTTTGTTATATAAGGTTATGCAAGTAATTGTATAAAATAAAAAATAGCTATACCCTTACCTTGTCTTGCTTTTGATAAGTTTGTTTTATGAATGAGCGAGTAATTTCATGGAGCTGACGCAAAGCTGGTACCACCCATACAAACTGGGGATTATTAAGCTGAGATGACTAGAGTTAAAAAGAAGTTACATTAATTAAATTTAGAATAAACAGCAGATTCATTTATTAGCTATAAAAGACTTCCAAGTCAATCAGGTTTACTGTTACACATTTTATTTCACGCTTTATATTGACCATTTAGCTCATCTCCATGCACTCATAAATCAGTCTTCAACTTCTTATTCTGCATGCAATTTCCTAAGGCCAAGAACTGCAAACAGGAGTGGATGTGAAGTGACAGTAAATGTACAGGGGTACATCAGCAAAAAACAGACAACAAGGAATTAGCAACTTCAGAGGATAGATTAAGTAGCACAGGCTGCTAAGTCATGTTGACACAAAATAAACTGATGGCCAAAGCTTAACTTGGATAATACTGAACTGGATGGTGGAGTAAGAATATTGCTTTCTATAATTTATGATTAAGATACCAACGATAGGATCAAGGCACTGAGAGTGGTCTAAATACTAAAGAAAATATTCATAATCTGTATTTCCTAGTTAAAACACTTTCATAAGAGGTAATTCTACTTTTATTATTACAGACACTTTACACTTATACGGTACATTTTTCAAACATATTATTTCTGAAACTGCTACATGACAATCCAGATCTTCATAGTACAATCTAAAAAGTCTACTGTTCGTGTAATACTCTTTATAAAGAGAATTGCTTTTTAATAAATAGCATCTTTCGAAATATAAAATTTCAAAATTTGGTAAAAATTTCAGTTTAAACATGACTATTAAATCTCTAACCAAAAAGCTGGGTAAAAACTTAAGTCCTCAGCATTCTTCAGAGGCTAAAATTTTTGTTTTAAAGCCTCCTTGTTCTATCGAGCCTTAGTGTAAGATGAAGACCCTTGTGGAGGGGAAATATACTTTTGGTATCTTTGTAGATAAACATCTCACTATTGAATATGTACATGTGAGCAAGTTATTGTTACACAATACTTTTTTCCTTGCCTCATAGAGATCAGCCAATCATCAATCAGCAAATACCGTATTTCCTAGATTCTAAGACACAGACTTCATATATTTTAACATTTCTGAAATTGACACCTTAAACAATTATGTCAAAAGAAACTCACTAGCCACTAGGCACAGAAGTAAGCTTTTATATAGCTGTGCTTACCTGAGTATGTGCAAACTTAGCTGTACACAAAAGGTATTTGTTCATTTACCTGTCATTTCAGTTGTTATCTGGTATAGGTAGTACCAAACAAGAATGGCTTTCTCACTTAAATTTGGATCACTAATTTGTTACTTAAATATTATGAAAAAGATTACACCCTAATGCAGCATTGACTAACCAGTTGTGTGCACCAACACAATTAAAATAAAATGGTCAGTGGTCTCACACTAAAGAATTTTCCAAAGCCAGGGGAAGTTGAGATGACAGACTCATACTCTTTGAAGGGCTATACCACTCAGCAGTAAATGTCTCTCTGTCCTAATCTGCACTTTATTTCGAGAGAAGGTGTTTAACTTGTAACAGTGTACACAACTCAATTATGAAAAAAAGCAGCTTGAGTTTTACAAAAGAGAACAAGCACACAAAACTCCATATTCATCAACATGCCTCAAAATTATACAGCCTAAGAAAAAAAGATTTCAGAGACGTTCAAAGTATTACTATATATAATGCAAAGCAGTGTGCTCCTATGAAGTTGTTCATAATTGTTCAAAAAAAGGCTTAGACTCAACCTCTGATTAAGAACCTAAACCAGTGGGCCGTAACTGCAAAATGAGCAGTTTCTTTTCTCTTCTTTGCAAATTTATTAAGTCTGAGATGGAGGCTGCAATCACTGGCATCTTAGAATCACAGAAATAAGGTATACATATAAAAGCCAACTACTTGTGAAATTAGCTAGAATATTTCCGACTACACTGTAAAAGTTGTAAAATGACAATAATAGAAATTGTAAGGTTTATATCCAAACAGATACCTTCCCCAAAGGATTGCAAAATTGGGACATAAATATGAACTCTTCAGCAATAAGCAAATATATTAAAAAGTATCATCGTGGCCAATGAAGTCAATTATAATGACTATATTTTTATTTAATATTGAAAATTATCCTTTGAAGTTAATCATTATACAATAAAATTCAAAGTCTATAAAATTAGAATGTAAGAATTATTTCTGATATAGCCTTTTTAAAGTTTAGTAAACAGGAAAGATGTTATTTATTTCAACTTATCTATGACATGGTGCCAAGTTACAAGAAAAATTTAAATTACTCTTTTCCAATTATAAAAGGGGCAAAAGATTGTAGTGAACAATTAAAATGAAGTTATCTGATAATGTCATGGAGTGGAGGTTTCATAAGAAGGAGCTAATTTGATGTCTAAATTGGACTCAACACTGGATGAAGCCTTAAGAGGTCAACTGGTTTAGCCTGCAAATCTATGCCTAAATTCTCTTTATTCATTTTTTTATAAAGCGACTGACGTATAGTATTTCCAATGATGAGGAACTCACAACCTCAGAAGGAACTGAGTTCTGTTTTCAGACTGTTCTCACATAAAGTCCACTGACATTGAAACATGCTTCTGCATAACTTCTTAGGAGACAGAAAAAGTAAGTTGAACGAAACTTCTCTGTAACAATGCTCTACGCATTTAAAGAAAGCTTTTAATATTTTCTTGAGTTCTCTCTTCTCAGAGTTGAACATTCCCACTTCCTCATCTGTCTTGCTTTTCCAGATCTATCCTTTTACCTAGGACCAAGGCAAAATTTTTTGATTGGGAGGACGATTTCTAAAAGTATTTTCTCCTATTCTAACCACATCATGTGAAAGTACCTGTACTGAGGACATCTTGCTACTTTTACTTTCTGTTAGGTGTTTTGGCAGTAGAGACGACTCAGGTAGTCTTTTGGCAACCTCATAGGGTGAAGGGGATGAGGTAAGAGGAAGGGAACCAACATTTGCTAAAAGCCTGTCAGGCACTATAGTAGGTGGCCTGAAGATAAACGACTTCAGGAATACGCAGATAAAACTAACTGAGGAAAAATGAGGTTTTTTTTGGTTCAGTAATTTTTTTTTGGATGAGTACATTTAAACTTTTTAATTGAAGAAAAACATAAGTGAAATAAGAGGGAAAGGACTGGGGTAGACAGTGGAAGGTATAGAAGTAGCAAAGGAAAGAGGACCAGGGGAGCCGAGGGTACCCTGCAGAATCTACAGAAATAAAGTTAGGAAATCAAGGTCAGAATTTCTGAACACAATAGTGGAACTTGGGAATTTTAAGAGTGTCAAAAGCAGGGGGAGGGGGAATCAGTTGGGGGAATAGAGGTAGCTGAGGGTGGGAGGGGAGTTAAGAAGTGGGTGATCTTGTCTTACCCTTTGCTTAGTTTCTGTGTAGCCTGGCAGGGAGACATAATCCCCAGTCAGCCCACCTTGCTGCCTGGCAGGAAAGGGCATAGCATAGAAAAACACCTTTAGTGGAAGTAAATAATTCACCCCCCTGCCTGGAGCCATATCCAGGGGGCTTTGATCTTCCTACTGCCCCCCTTCAGCAATGTGTACTTTGTGAAAGTCCATGAAAGCACTTAGTAAATAAACTGAAAAGTGCTACATAAAAGGCAAGATATTATTGTTTGGAATGAAATAACAGTACACCAGAATTTCTTTATTGGGAGCAGTGGGGAAATAAAAAAGAAAGAATATTCAAGTCTCACAAATAACTCCCAAAATTCTCCTTCTACTTTTTGAGTTTTGAGTTTTGTTATAAAACAACAGACATGAATGAAGTGACTGCAAAGAGAAGCAATAAAGATGCAGTGATGCAACTGACTAAAAAAACTAAGAAATGCTCGTAACAAGGAAGGGATAATGGTCAGGAGGAATATTCTGGTTTCAAAAGCCGTTTCCCTGGAGGGAGGAAAAAGTCCATTCAGCTTTGACCTTTTATATACAAAGAAATGGGTCTACTGCTGAGAAGAAAAGACCATTTTTCTACAGATACCCTTCTCCTATTACTATTACTATTGAAGGTTACAAACGTCTTCAGTAACTCTAAATGAATTTTAATCATAAGGAGAGACTGCCAAATTATCTGTATCACTGAGCTAAGGAAACTAGAAAAATTCAAACTGTATTTGAGTGAAAAGAAAGTAATGTTGTTGAGTTAAGAGAAAAATTCCTCATAACCTGAGAATTACCAGCTCTAGTTTGCAAATACCTTTTAAAATCTCTAAAGCTGGGTTATATGTAGAAAATTCACTTGGTCACATTTCAGTGTCAGAAATATAAAACATAAAGTTCACCAATGCACCCAACTAAACTTTATGATCAAACACAACATAAGAAATAAAAGCCTAAGAGTCTCTTAATATACCAATGAAAATTAGTTAGTGGTATCCAAGTTCCTTTAAAGAAATACTTAACAAAAGCCAAGAAGTATGTTTTACCAGTGAAATTACTAAGCCACTAGCTATTCTACCAAAAACTTTCCTTATGTGAATAATAAAATGAAAATCAGAGAAAGTGAAAGCCTTCCCAGTGCCAGGTTTTCAGTTTGGTCTGAGTACCCTGAGGGCCCAGGTGAGAGGACAATGCTGCTCCAATTGGGGCTGCTGCAACAACAGACGCACAGTCCAATGAGCTGGCCACTGTGATCAGCCCTCTCAGAGGAGAGGCTTGAGGCTTCTGGGCCAGAACAACAGGAGAGCTGCAATCATTACTGCTCAATCTGCTAACCACCACCTCCAAGGACAGTCCACAAGTTCACAGTAACCTAGAGTCCCAGTCCCTGTTGTAGAAGTCACTATCCAACCCTGCCTTCTAAAATCAAGCCCCAGCAACAGGTACTCACTGAATGACTTTGCCTACAGAATTACTCTAGGAACATGTCTAACTGAAGAACCCAAAACACTACTATGTGCCATCGATGACTGAACCTCCTTCCTTTCTCTCATTCTATGAATGTTCCTCCATTTCTCCCTAATGGGAGAAAAAAAGTATAATATTTATTTAGAATCCACTGTACTTATTATGCATACCTTGGATTTAATTTCAAAAAGAAAAACTAAGTTGAAAATCTTTTAATTTTATGACAATTATATAATAAAATTACTCTTTGAATGTGACCCTAGATTTTTTTCCCATTAAGAGTCAGTAACTACCCAAGCTTTAAATAATAAAGCATAGGTCATAAATATTTAGACATCAAGCTTGAATATGAACATTACTCTAGGAAACACTAAAACACACTATTATTTGTGATGCAATTTATTAAAAGAAATTATTAAACTAGTATACCTTTTGGTTGGTTCCATCTGCAAATTCTTACCTTGAATCCATCCTTCTTGTTTTTTTCCAAACCTGACCATTCTCCAGGCTGAAAATTCATTTTAAGAGAAATATAAGTGACTTTGTAAAAGCAATACTAACTTCCCAATCTTGGACTTTAAGGTAAGAGCTTCTAGACAGGGCATTTAGTTTAATTTATATAACAGGGGAGGAAAATTATTTGGCTCTAATTACTCAGGGAATACTGTTGGTCTAACAACAAAATCAGATCAAAGCTGAAACCAACCCTCTTAATATCTTCTATGCACTTGATGATGTAGCTCCTCTTGACTGCTTCTTTCACTGCATACGCATCACTAAGGATTGTCAGGTGCTCCTCCAAGGCCTGCTGAATAAGGCTACTGGGCAGGGTTGGAAGGTGAGCCAGTTCCCAGAGTACGTCTAATACCTACAATAATATCACATATGATCAACCAGCCAATATGCAAACAGCTGCTTTGAGCATTTGTAGCTAGAAAAATCCATTTGATTCTCCTGCCTTTCCAGAAGTGGTCTCAAAGCGAGCTTCCCGGCCTATTCGTCCAATCAGGCTCAATAGCTTCTGTCTTACTCTATCACTCTCAGTCTCCCAGCTCTGTAGAATGGAAAAGACACAGAAATTGCTTCTCGATCAAACTGGCAAAATATGCAAAAACTTTAAAGTTGAGCTAAAAACAGTAACAACGTAAAAAAAGTACATTTACTGCTAATTCGGGAGTGGGGAGGAAGGGTTCCAGGACCTCAAAAGAACTTATTTTAAGAAAAATTAAAAGTAAGCAAGTCTGGCTGAACACATACCTTCTGAATGAGAACAAACAAATGATTAAGCTGATCTGAATTAAATTTCACAGCCGCTGCAGCAATAATAGTATGAATGTTCTCAATCACAGTAGATGATTGTCCTGACTGGAAAAGGAAACATTGGAAAAAAGTTAATTCTTGGAATGTGGAACAACCTAAGTCTGTCCCCTGTTAATTTACAGAAGCATAAGCAAAAATATAACAAAGATAAACTGACTGTAGTCTAATCGGCATCCATCTGCATGACAATACTGGCAATACTATATGAAGCAACCATAATTAATTGTTATCAGCTGGCCTTATTTAAATTCCTAGCAGCATTAATTCTTTACATGAACAATGTAAAACAAAAACAAAAAACAAAAAGCAAAACCACAAGAATCAAGTTCTCAATCAGACATATTTCACTAATAAGAGAATAAAATATTTTCTAATGCTAAAAGATTTAAACTGATTGAATTATAAAACAAATGTGCCCACTTTGGACATCTTATAAATGATCCTGAAGGTTCCAGTTGAGCATATTACCTGCCTTATTTTTCATTTTACTTATATTATGTGATTTCAATTAATGTTTATTTATCCCATGGGCAATAAGTCTTTGCTGCAGAACTACAGACCCTATTGTCAACCTTAAGGTTAAAGTTCACTTTATAACCTCAATCGTGTCACTGTCATGCCTCATTGTTCATGTGAGAGACTTGAAAGACAAGAGGACATTTTTAGATTCAATTCCTTAAGAATTTTCTCAGTATCTACTAGGTACGTAGAGTCATTGATTGAATGTAGTAGGAATATACAATATATAAATCATGGTCTCTAATCTTCAACCTTTTGTGGATTCCAAATTTGTACTTGCAAAACAGAATTATATGAGTGTATTCCATCAAGGTCAAGACATAGGAAGTAATACTTTGGGTCCTGGGACTGTTTTCTTTTATTCCTGCACCTGACTTTTTGTAGTCTGCTCTGCAATGCTGAGCTGGGAGCCTGCCAACTACATTTCCCAACTCCTCTGCCTGCTATCTTCCTGTTACGTTCTGCCAATGAGAGGAAGTGCTGGGAGGTGAGCAGCAGGATGAAGGATGAAGTATGTGTGGCTTAGGCTCAGAGTGGATGCAGATGCTGGTTGTGGCAGCAAGGAACTCTAGAAACCTTGGTGCCAGGAACACCTCTTTGACAGTTCCAGCACTCAAAGTAAAAGTACCTCCAAGAGCAGCTTCTTTTCCTTGAACTTAATACCCCTTCATTCTTTTTGTTTCTCCAACATTCTCCTTTTTTTTTTTTTTTGCTCCTCTACCTTACCTAGCAACACCTTTGTAAACAATCCCTTGTAGTCAATTCCCTCTGTTTGATATACCCAGCATAGTTTCTGCTTCCTGACTAGACTCTAACTGATATAGTGACTAACTTAATATAGTCAAAGTGTGCTCCAGGTTTTTCTCTGGCTTACCAACTAGATGTAGAATAATACCATTAATGAAATAGACTGGAGAATGATTAAGTTTGGAAATAATGAATTTGAGATGCCAATGCATTACACATGTGAACATGTGTTACATATTTAGATATATTGCACTGGAGCTCCAAGAAGAGATCCGAATTAGAGATATAATTAATAGAGTCAACAGCATACAAATGTAGTCAAAGTCATAGGAGTTCCTGCAACTGACTTATGAAAGCTAATGCAGTGAGAAAGGGGCTAAGATCTAAGGCATGAAACAAAACAAAATCAAAGTAGAAGAGAGTAAGTTAGTTAAAGGGGACACAGGAAGGAATGCCAGGAAAGTTAGGAAAACCAGCAAAATGGACTATGACCAAAGTGAAGAAAAAAGAAACTGAAGACTGTTGAATTCTGTCATACCTCTTGACAGTCCTAGTAAGATGAGATCTACAAACTTATCTATTATCCTTATTTAATAGGGACTAAATAGGAAAAATATTAATGAAAATTAATAAACAATATAATAAAAAAAACCACTAGATTGATAAAGACACACACCTATTCCTAGCTCTGCTACTAATTGCTAAATAACCTTTTCATTTTTTAATTTAAAAAAGGAGAAGACCAGACTAGATCAGCAGTTTGAAACTTCTTGTGGTGAGTGGAATCGTTTTCAAATATACAATCTTAATAAAAACCTGAAACTGTAAAGTGGATTAGGTACAGCTGCTTTGTTTAAAGCAAGATAAAGGTTCCATTTCTCTGCTCATTCACCACACCCCTCCCTCTTCTGTAGTCCAAAACCATTAAGAAAAGGCAAAAATAATTCTGCTTGACCTACCTGTATCTTCCAAATTTTAGTGAGCTCCTCTAACGATAATTTACTGCCCAAGAGTTCAATAATTCCCTTTATACGGTCACAGTATTGTGCTTGGTCTATGTTGCCTAATTGAGGAAACATGAGAAAGTCAGATATAGTGAACACTGACTCTCTAAATAGAATTATATTAATTTAAAACAACAGTAACTTGCTATAAGATCATTTAAAAGGTAATACAGTCAAAGCACCAACTTTGCATACGTTTTAATACAAAGATATATTACTTAAATTATGTTAGGTAATTTTTATTTTTTTGAAAGCAACTTACCTTCCAGTGCAATTGACAGAACCGAGTTTTCAACTAGCCAATCTAATAATCTGTCTGTATCTATAGCATTCTTCACGGATTTGGATAAAGTGCTATCTTCTATTAGTTTGGTTACCTAAAAAGACAAGATTATTGTGACTGAATCAAACATACATTATCAAATATTCACATATACATAATTTTTATAATGTTACAATGTACTTTGATAATTAGCCAAAATGTATCAAAGGTTAGAAGAAGTTACCATTTGTGATGTCCCTTTAAAAAGAACATGGAGGGCCAGGGCACAGTGGCTCATGCCTGTAATCCCTGCACTTCGGGAGGCCACAGTGGGGACCACTTGAGGTCAGGAGTTTGAGAACAGCCTGGCCTACATAGAGAAACCCCGGAGTTTGAGACCAGCCTGGCCAACAGAGAGAAACCCCGTCTCTACTAAAAATACAAAAAGTTAGCTAGGCGGGGTGGTAGGCACCTGTAATCCCAACTACTCGGGAGGCTAAGGCAGGAGAACTGCTTGAACCCAGGAGGTAGAGGTTGCAGTGAGCAGGGATTGTGCCACTGCACTCCAGCCTGGATGACAGAGTAAGACTCATCTCAAAAAAAAAAAAAAAAACGTACATGGAGTCATTCTTATAGCTCTCATTCCCTGGACCACTGCTGATTACTCAGGGACGAACATTTAACCCAAACCTTAATCACAGCACTATGTGGAAAGTACACACAAGTGTCAGGAAGACACTTCATATACAGAAAAAGTCAGTCTCTCACTGGTGATGGGAACTGCAGGATGTGGAACATGGGATCTATTCATTGTCTTGATCTCTACCGTATGAAAAATGCTGAACCGTAGGTGGAGAGGGAGCAAGGCCAAGATACGAAGACAAGCAGGGATGAAACTTGGACAGAGTCCTGACAGTGGTTGGATCTCAAATTCTAGTTGTTCTGTTGCCCACAAGTGCCCGCCCTTTTTTGGTCTGGCTACTCAATCCTTCATTCATGTGAAATAACCCAGCCTCTTTTCAATAAACTCCTCTTTTGGCCTAAAATGGTTCAAGATGAGTTTCTTTCACTGGTACCAAGAATCCTAACTATACAAAACTGAAGGAAAAATAACTGAATTTTAACTGAACTTCATTGGCTCCATGTGTCACACACCAAAACCAACTGCACTGTTTCTGTGGATATGATAAGTTCAGGAAGCTACAGAAAATTATTTCCATCATTTCGCTTCGACCGACACTTGCAGTCATTTTGTTTTTGTCTCCACCCCTGTTATCAGATTTGGTTTAAGTAAACTTACATCTGAAATAAAACAAAATGAACTGTACCCTTAGAGCAAAAGTCAATCTCAAACTATATATTCTAAGGGATTATATTCTAGGAAATTTCTCAAAAACACTAAATACTGTAAATATTTCAGATGTAAATTTTGAAAATAACACAGAAGATGCCTTTACTAACAATTATATACAAGACAACATTTTATATAAATCATCTTTTTATATGATTATAATAAATCATTCATATTTCCCAACATTTTTATATTAACAAGCACAACCTTTGGTAGAACTAAGTATCTGTACATTGGGTCTTATAAAAACAAATGCAAAACTTACTTCTTTGAGAGAATTCATTTTAGCACTAAAATGTGGTGATTTCAGCATGCGCAGTAGAATGTCTAGTCGAAGGTCATCCACAATTGTCACCAGATCCGGTTGGAAGCGCATGCAAAGTAACTTAATGGCAGACAACAGCTCAGGGATGCTAACCAATCTCTTTTATTTAATAAAAACAAAAAACAAAAAAGGAACTGTAAAGACATTTTGATCCCAATTCTTATAACATACACAAGAATATAGGGTAACAACAGTCTGTCACTATCTGATATTCTACAAGGCCAATTAACTTCATTTTGCTTAGAAACAAAAGTTAGCACACGGGTGAGCAGCAAAGGAAAGGGAATGGTCCTGTGAACAAATTAGGGTAGACAAAATAAATCATGTTAAATTTAAATGGCAAAATTGCTTTAAACAACTCTGGGTAAGTTTTAACACTGTATTATTTTTAAAGCTTCCTCTATGCCAATTGTGATACTATCAAAATCATGTTAGTAAAATTCTGAATAGTATCACTTACTAAGGACACTATATTAACTCCACTGACTGAGGTAACAGCTATCACTGGTGCTTCAGGAACAGCACTTTTTAATTAAAAAAATGTAAAGTTAATTTGATGTGAATGCATGTGACCAGAATCCAAACAGCATGGTGTGTGAACCCTGCCAAGTCCTGGCTCTGCTGTGAACTAACTGGCACTAGGGCCTATCTGGCTGGAGAGAGCGTTTACCTTGTCTTTGAGGTCTTTCTCTTCTACGCTCCGTACATCCTGGATTGTGGTAAGAATGACTGGGTCTAGCATGGGCTGCAACATAAAATGCTACAGTTATTCACAACTCTTGAAGCTGTCCCCAAAGTAGAGAGAGACAGTGCTTCTTCATCTACAATTTCCAAAGAAGAGGGTGCAATGAAAAGATAAACATTTTTTATCAGAGCAGCACTATCTAATACTGCCAAATAAACCCTTAACTGACTCCACTTAATCTGAGGTGCCTCAGCTTCTTTAATATCTTATAAAGGTATCTTATAAAGGTAATTTTGAAGAGTGACTCAAGATACACAGTCTAACTTTTAAAACCCTAAGCATGAGAATAAATTGTTTTTGTAATAAATATTGTTTAATTTTTTAAAATGAACATAAATACAGATCATGAAAAATACGCTGTCATATGAATTACTTTTGCTTACTGATGTGAATGAGGCCTACAGATGAAATTCATACAATACACTGCTCCAGAATGGTAACACAACCAGATAACTAACTCGGAAGAGTATGTGAGAATGGCAAAATATTAGCTATTAAATTACCATCTAAATTACCACTTCCATATAAGTAAGAAAATATTTAAAACTTAGCTGATGAAGAAAGAAGATAAACAATATTTGGCTGTTAAAGCCAAGAATAGCAATGAGCTAAAATGACATCAGGCACTTATCCAGAAGAATTTCTTCATTTACACTTATGCCAATTGTACAGGAACGAGAGAGAGCTGTTATGGTTAAGAGAATCACAATATTCTTTTCAGCATGTGCTGTGCCCTGTTTATCCTTACTGCACCTTTTGAGATAGCTATTACTATTATGGCTATTCTACAAATGAGAAAATTGAGGCACACAAGTTAAATAAGTCTTCTGAAGTCATATACAAGTAGCAAGTGGTAGAGTCAACTGTTATGTAAGTAACATGTATTATGGTATGAATTTATTGCTGAATGAATTTAATTTTGGATGGTTTGATATAATTAAAGATGAAGACAGAAGTGCTTGGTTGGGAATTCATACACTTCTTGTTCTTTTTAAAGCACATTCTGTTTATATATATAAAATCTACAATTTCTAAAGACCTTAACATTAGTTAGCAGCTGGGATATTTATGCTAAATTCTCTTCCACAGAGCAAGGCATGAGTAAAGAGCATGCATTTAAAACCCAATCTGACCCTCAATATTAAATTATCAATGTTTATTATTAAAATATTAAAAAGTCCAATCACTTTGCCTCTTTATGGCTTAGTATTTTAGCTATAAAATTAATGACTATATTTATATGTTTAATAAACTGAAGGAGCATTAGCTGTTTCTAAAGAGTTTAATATACAGAATGAAGAAATATATAAACAACCATCCTATGTCACCTAAAACTCTTGCAGTATTAACTTGACATCTAAAGAAAACATTAACATTTAGAAACAACAGAAATTGGCCAGGCACAGTGGCTCACACTTGTAATCCCAGCACTTTGGGAGGCCAAGGCAGGCAGATCACGAGGTCAGGAGTTTGAGACTAGCCTGGCTAGCATGGTGAAACCCCATCTCTACTAAAAATACAAAATTTAGCTGGGCATGGTTGCTTGTGCCTGTAGTCATAGCTACTTGGGAGGCTGAGGCAGGAGAATCGCTTGAACTGGGGAGGCAGAGGTTGTAGTGAGCTGAGATTGTGCCACTGCACTCTGGCCTGGGCGACAGAGTGAGACACTGTTTCAAAAAAAAAAAAGAAAAAAAGAAAACAAAAAAGAAAAAGAAACAACAGAAATTTCCAGAACTGACTAAAAAAAAAAAATCCTATCTCCATTATTAAAGTGGCCCTAAGTAAATGTGACATTCGAAAGAAGGAACAGTGCATTTAAAAACACTGCTCCGAAGGATACTATGCTTTCAAAACTACTTATGGTGATTTTTTAAAAGCTCTATAAAAGTTACAAGGTCCACTGACTTATTTATAAAAATAAATACATAAATAGAAGTATTTTAATGTGACATTTTGTTCAGTAAAACTTGTTAACTGAAATGAAAAGGAAACAAGATAGTAGAAGAGGCTTTTAGTATTAGAAAACTCAACGCTCCTAGCTTGACTGTTCTATGATCTGCTGACTTACAATCCTACCGAGGCAGGAAATCACACAAGATGTGCTGTTAAGCTGATATTCAAAAGTGAGTGACTGAGCCAGTAAGTGAGCCTAGCCGATTTAATACATAAATACTAATCTGATTTAATACATAATGGCATTGAATCCTTAAATAATCCTGTGAAGCAAATAAGGATATGCTGCCTACTTTATAGATAAGAAAATGAAAAATAAATAAAAATTATATTTGATAAAATCATAAACTGAAAAGGTAAACAGCCTTCTCAAATGTTAGGTCTCCTATACTTCAAATTATTCAACAATTTTTATTATCTGATGGCATTTTTATTAAAAGGATAGCTAATGCGAAAAAAGGAGATACTCTGGATTAAAGACCATTCTGAATAACCTGATAAACGGAAGTTATTACTGTTTGCATGTCTTCAATCATATGAAGTAATGTGAAATGGCTTAATCCTACCTGTACCACAGAGGAATTGAGGTACTCTGCACACACTCCTAAGGGTTGAATCAATGCTGAGACAGCCTTGAAAAAGACAGTGAAGATTAGAAATACATTTGAGAGAATTTTTTTTCCTGTCAAAATTAAACAAATCCCTTTTCACATATCAGAGAAAAATTTAAATCGTGATTTGATCAAGTCATGAATAAAAGACTAGAGAAACGAAACTCCTGGATAGAAAGAACTGATATGAAGATGTTGATCCATTTAAATGATTATAGAAATTTAACATAATTTACATCAGAATATGTCAATAAAACTTCTTTGGAGAATTAGATAAAATGATTTTAAAGTTATATTGTAGAACACTAAATTTTTTTTTTTAAAAAGGAAAGAATAGTTAAGGAGTGAAATATTCCTTAAACCGAAAACACTGAAGGCTTACTTGAAGAAAATTATAAAACTTTATGGAACTAAATTAAATAAGCGCAAATAAATGGGGAGATATCATGTTGCTAAATGGAAAAGACCAGTATTGTAAAAATGTCAATTCTCCACACATTGACCTATAAATTTAATGCCATTCCAAACATGATCTCAGTGGAATTTTCTGCAAGAGAACCTGATAGGTTGACTATATCCAGAAGATAAAAAATATGGGAACAATAAAAAAAAAAATGAGAAAAGAATGATACTGGGCAGAAGTGGCACTACCAGTAAACAATGTTGCAACAGTACAGAAATGAACCAAAGAATGAATGAATAAATAAATTACTGGAACAGAGGTCCAGAAACAAATGCATTGGCACATGGGCCTCTAATATATTATTAAGCCAGCAAATACAAATAATAAGGAAAAGAGATTACTCAGTAGAGGATCTAACAACAATTGGCTACCTACTTGGAAGAAAATAAAATTGGAATCACTTAGAATTTATTTATATATAAATTTTTATATAATGTTATATTATATTTTTTATATAAATTTTATATATTATATATATATAAAATATATAATATATATATATTATATATATATAAAATATATAATATATATATATTATATATATATAAAATATATAATATAAAATTATATAAAAATAAATTCTAAGTGAATTCAAGGACTCAGTAAAAAGAATTAAAATATGAAAGTATAAAATATATATTTTTATAAACTTCAGGTAGGAGAACATTACTTAAGCAAGTTAGAAAACTTTTAAGCCATTAAAGAAAAATTTGACTACATAAAAGATTGAAACTTCAATATAGCAAAAGCCACCATCAATAAAAATAAAAAGAAGCAAAATACTAGGAGAAAAGATATACAAACATGCAAAACAGATACAGCATTAATAAGCTTAATATAAAAATAATTCCTAAAAATAAAGCAAGTCATCCAAAAGAAACAGAAATAAACTAGGTCAATTCATAAAAGAAATACAACCAACCAATAATCCTATGACAAAATACTCAAGCTCATTAAGAAATCAGAGTATTACATGTTAAATAATAACTTTTTTTGTCCATCATACTAGAAAACCGAAGATTGAAAATATTTAGCATTAATGAGACTATTATCAAATGGGTTTGTGGAAGTATAGATGGGCAAAACCTTTTTAGAAAGACATTTAGCACTGTCAATTATAATTTTAAAACAAATATACAATTGACTCTTGAACAAACAGGCTTGAACTGCATGGGTTCACTTACATGCAGATTTTTTGAACCAAAGAAAGACTGAAAATACACTATTCCCGGGATGCAAAACCTGCATCAATGAAGGTTGACTTTTCATATACAGAAGTTCTGTGGGGCTGACTGCAGGATTTGAGTATACATGGATTCTGGTATACCCAGAATCCTGATACCAATACCCCTGTATAACAAGGAATGACTGTAATCTTTAACTTAGAAATCTCTCTCTCTAGGAATTGATCTTTCAGAAATAGCTGAACGTACATAAAGATATATTTATAAGAAATACTCTAACAGTAAAAACATAGAAATAATCCAATGCCCGTGAATAATTGTCTACAACATGGTATACCATTTGCAGAAATATACCACTTGCAGTCATTAAAAACACTGATAGTACTAACCTGGAAAGATGACCACGATATTATGTTAAATGAAAATATACAACTAGGTATAGCTTGATAATTTGGGTTTAGGAGAAAAAAAGAGAGAGAGAGAAAGAACATGCACAGATTTACATAAATTTAGGGAAAAGCCAGAAAGGCATGTATTAAACTGTTACCAAGGAAGTAGGTATGTGTGGGGATCAGGAGGAAGGATGAGCAACAACTTTCATTTCTTGTTTTGTACAGGTGTTTTTAACTGGTGGGATTGTGAGTGATTTTTTTTTTCTCCAGTATTGTTAAATTCCAAAGTTGTACTCAGACTTAATAATATGGCCTAAATTTATTCTGGGACACAGCCAGCTTAACAGGTCAGAAATCCAGAACTTGTGAATTTTAATTATACCTGTCTCCTAAAAGAGTCCCAACCTTTGGAATCTCTCCAATACCTGAGTGTTATCATCCCCTCAATACAGCCTAAACAATATAATTCTGGGTCAACTGCAGCAGACAACACAATTGTTCTGAAAAATGGTTTGACCTTAAGGAAAAATCTTGCAAGACTCTTTAACCTCATCACATTTAATAATAATAAGGACTAAGCCCAGATTCCCATCTATCTATCCTCAGCCAATTTTCATCCAAGTAGGGTAGAAATTTAGGAGTGCTCTGTATTTTTTTTTTAACCCTGGATCTGAAGAGGTTTTGGTTTTTAAGTTGTTATATACTGTCTTTCAAGGCAATAAAGTCATTTCCAACATACTTGATCTAATCAATGGGGATCACAAGGACAGTTCAACCTAGTTAACTTCCAGGGAAGCAAGAGGAGGCTTCTGCATCAGTGTCTGTAATCTGGCAGACATATGATCTTTAGGATAAACACTGGGTGGCAAGAAAGGGTCAATCTATTACCACACCAGCAGTCTCTCTCCTTGACCATTGCTATTTCCTTCATCCAGAGAGGGACCAATAGGAATCAATTAGTCATGGTTTCACAGAAATAACTACAAGTGTAAGCACAATCTTTAACATTTAGGCATATTATTTTCTGCATTGATCAAATTACAGCAGATAGTACAGTGTCTTATTCATGCCAAGTATGTGATAGTTTTTAATTGAATGATTAAGTCATTAGAGAAAAGAATAAAGTGCTCTCAGCAACAAATAGGTTAGTAGTATCTGAAAAATTAAAGATTAGTTATTCCCCTTACTATGAGGTTATATGTTTTGAGAAAATGAAGTTGAAACAAACACTGCACATGATGGATGAGTCTAAGCTCCCATTTTATAGCCATCTGTTAATCTAAGTTTTTGTAACACCAAAAAGCTTACTAAACATGAGACTATGAAGTTAATTCTGATTTTATATAATCATTTAACTGAGCCATAAAATTGTTATGCATATATATACTTGCCACATACAGCAACCAACTTTAAACAGTAAGATAATTTCATGTAACCCATTACAAATTAAGAGAAAAATACCATAGGTAAAGAAAAAATGAGAAAAAAACTCTACATGGCAATTTGGTTATAATTAGGAGTAAACATTTCATTTCTTTGGTTATCAGGACCATGGAATCTGCTCCTTAAAGATGAGCCTTTAATTTAACATTTAACTTGACATGTCCAGACCCTGTCCTCTGGCTGTACACCAACTCAAATGAAGTAAACTTCCACACTGGGTATAACAGTGGTTTAACTTACCCCAAGTTCTATATCTTCTGAATGGAGCTTGGCTTGGATTGCTGCAAATCCACCTAATTCTCCAAACTGAGAAGAAAAAGGGCACATATTAATTTAATTTTTCAATTTTTTTATTTTGAAAATTATTTATTGGTACATAGGAGGTGTGCATGTTTATGGGGCACATAGATGTTCTGATATAGGCAGGCAATGTGAAATAAGCACATCATGGAGAATGGGGTACCATCCCCTCAGGGGTTTATTTTCTGAGTTATAAACAATCCAATTACATTGTTATTTAAAAATATACAATTATTGTTGACCGCAGCCATTCTATTGTCCTATACATATTAATTTTAAAATGCTATATATTAATAATTTAAGCAAGGAACTAAAGCTAACATTCTACTCTATCACTGTGCTCTATAACATTGGTCTTGAGAGAATCCTTGCATCGATCCTTCTAATGCTTCTGTGGCATACTGCAGATAGTACTAAGTCCAAAAGCTGATGTTTATGTGCCAGTATTAATCATACAAAAAAAGGAAGAATCTATGAAATCTAGTCCTTAAAGCATTTTTTTGATTATTATCTGGAGCCGCCATTTGCTTAATATACCAAACTCTAGGATATCTCATTAGAAAACTGAAAATATGCTACATAACAATATTAATAAAAGTCGTATACCTTATTCACCAAATCCACAACCCATCCATGAGGCTCCTACGAGAAAGGAAAACCAAAATTGAGATGGCAATATAAAAGCTTCCCCTGAACCCTTACGTTTCTTTTATCCTAAATGAAAAGTTAGAGAAAATGTTCTAAAAGTTTGGAAACTATTTTCCAAGTTTTTCCCAAATGCTTCCTAATCTGTAACATTACTGTATATAATTTTGGGAGTCTATAAGTCTGCATTTTGATGGAATTGCCAGAATATGGGGCATCTGTGCATTTTTGGATAGCTGAGATCAGTTGTTTAGCTCTCCAATATACAGGATAACTTGAGTTAAATTCTCTAAAGAAGTTTTATTTTAGAAATTAAAAATTAATTATTAACATAAAAAGTAGTAACTCAGCAGTCAAGAGATGAAAAGTTTTAGTCCCAGTTAGATAATTAAATAATGCTCTCAGGCAAGCTCTCTTTTCTCCTCCCTTTTCTTTTTTGAGTATTCACTGTTCTAATGACTAGATATAGAACAGCGACTAGGAAGAGATGTATCTGCTTTTACAAAGCTCATATTCTAGCAGGGTCAACAAAACCAAGTAGCGCACCATATACAGAAGATAATTCAAATTGTGCTAAGTCCTACAAAAGAAAAAACAAAAAGTCCTCAAAAGAAAAATAAGACCTTCCTCTACTTGGGGCAGTGGTCATGAAAGACTTCTCTGAAGACGTCATCTGTAGAGGAGGAGACAGATATAGACATTTAAAGAACAGTCCAGGCAGAGGGGCTAAAATAGCAAAGGTCCTGGGATGGCAGAAAAGAGCCTGCTGTGTTTAAAAAACTCTCCCTGCTGGGACATGGTGAGCCAGGAGTGGCAGAGATGAGGTTGTACAGAGAGGCAAAAAATGTAGATCATGGAGACACTTACAGGCCATGATTAGAAAGAAAGCAACAGAAGCATTTTCAGCAACAGTGTTTTATATTTTAAGATCACTCCTGTAGTTCTGTAGAGAACAGAATGGAATGGATGAAGAGGAGAATGAGACATGATCAGACACAACCAGTTAGAAGGCCAGTGCAGTATCTAGATAGTTCACAGCTGTGCGTGGAATAGGACGGCAGCAGAAGGAGGGGAGAGAGGTCAACTGGAGACATATTAGAGATTAAATCAAAGGACTTGTTTATGGTTTGGTTATCCTTTATTCAAGGAATGAATCCTGGCTGACTCCTATGCTTCTGGCATGAGCATCTAGATAGATGGTGATGTTACTTACTGAAGAGAAGAATGAACGCCAGGGAGGCAAAATCAAATTCCACTTCAGACATACTAAGTTTTGGAACTCTGTGTGGCAACGAAAAGGATATAATTGACTCTTCAAGTCTGATATACTCAGATAAGAGGTTTAAGCCACAGAGATAGGAATTCGAGGACCATCGGCCTAAATATGACATTTAAATCCATTAGAGAAAGTGTAGTGAATAGAGAGAGGAAGCCCGGAAGATCAAAACTGGTTAGAGCTGAAGAAGTCAACAGAGGAAACATGGCTTGGGGGCAGGCAGAAGCATAGGCACTGGAGCGCCCTGAAAGCCACGGAAGAAACATCTCCAAGGAAGGAGCAACTGTGACCAGTGCTATTGATGGGGTCAAGGGACATTACTTTCTGATCTGGAAACATGAAGGGGTGTTGGTGCCTTAAGAATGATTTCAGTAGATGGTGGACAAAGGCAGAATGGAATGCCCTGAAAAGTTAGTAGACTTCAGTCTAGGTAACCTAAATGGCTCTCCAGCTGAAAACACTAATGGATAAAAACATTAAAATATACATCTAGGCCAAGTTGGCAAAAAAAGCTCAGAAGTTTAAAACAGAGAAAGCAGGATCCCGTGAGGCAGGCAGGAAGGCTCTGAAGCCAGCTTCACCCACAGGCAGCTGCGGAGCCCTGGTGACCTTGAGCTTCCATCTGCGGGAGAAAAGGGACACAAAGCCCAGGTGGGACAGGGTGACTCAAAAGGTACTTTAACGTAAAGCTAGAACTAAAGGGCTACATCCTTGGTGTCAGATGAACTCAAATAGATTTACCTGCAGAAAGGGAAAATAAGGATGCCTAAAGGGAGAAAAACATTCTCCAAGAATTCATAACCACAGAATTTCCCTCATATTCATATTACTGCTCAAATTCACGCTGACGTTACGGCCTGAAAAACCTTAAGCTGATAATTTATTCTAAAACGGTCACAGAATGGAGTGCTTCCAGGTACCTGGAAGAAGTAAAAGTAAATCCTTTTTGGAAGAAAGAACTTTCAACTTAGGCTTCAAACCACCCTCCTAGAATAAATGCTAAGAAACATGAGTTCAAAGAAAAATGAACAAACAAATAAGTATAAACATATTTCTATACACCTACATACATACACAAAGCAAGTGAGTAAAGCCAGTAGAATCAGACCTACGGATATGAGACACAGAAGATAAAGTAAACATTAAACAAATTAGGGATTGAAAATAAGAGTCAACAACATGAGACAATAAAAAGTTAAACAGAGTCAAATTAGAACCAAACAAAATTTATATAAATGAAAAATTCAGTAACTGAAATTAAAGACTTTAATAAACAAGTTAAACAGCAGATTAGATACAAATAAAAAATCAGTGAATTATACTACTATAGATCTGGAAAAACGTTATCACAATCACAACATAAGGAGACAAAAGATGGAAAATGTGAAAGGAGTTAAGGGACATGGAGGACAGAATGAGACAGTCTAACATTTACCCAAGTTTCAGAAGAAGACAGACTAATGGGGAAGAGGCAATATTTTAAAAGATAAAGGCTGAGAAATTTCTAGAACTGATGTAAGACATTAACCTTAGATTCAGAAGCCCAATGAATCTGAAGCAAAATAAATAAAAAGAATACCATAGTTAATCACATTAAGGTCAAACTTACAAACATAAAAGAGAAAGAAAAGATTTCAAAATACAGCCATGGAGAAAAGACAAAATTCTAATAAAAGAACCACAGTCAGACCAATAGCCAACTTCTCAACAGCTATAATCAAAGCCACAAGACAGTCAAATGATTATCTTTAATATTCTGAGAGAAAAAAATATCATCTAGACTTTTGAACCCAGTGAAAATACACACTTCAAGGAATGACAAAGTTCAGGCCATCAAAAACCAAGCCTTATCCACAAATAGAACCTTACTAAAGATTCTCTATAGAGTGCACTATCTACTTTGCTGGGTAAAAAATGATAGGAGGGGACTAAGACAATGCACAATTAAGATGAAGAGGAAATGAATCATTTGAGAGGAGAGTGAGCATATCCAACATTCTAAGGTCTTTATGCATGGCTCAAGAAGGAGAAAAGATACTGGTGAAATTTAGATTTTGCCTAGTAAATTAAAATTTTAGGGTATCTTCAGGAGGTCTGGCTGGGAAGGGGAGCAGAGGACCATGCTGAAACTACAGAGGGATACGATATTAAAGGCAGAATATTTAAAGATGGGAAGATACTGGATCACGCTGCATACAAAGGTAACAATCCAACAGCAAGGAAAAGACTGAGGATACCAAAGAAAGAACAGAAAGCCAAGGGGAGGAATATGCTTGAGAAGGCAAGAGAAGAAGATATCTAGAAGAGAGAGTTCCCTTGTGGTAATGAGAGGAAACACAAAGACTGCACCTTTCTGGGTCTCAGTGGATGCATATGTAAAGTGAAGGAAGATAATGAACATCTGCCAAGAGCTCACTATAGTGAACCACCATGTTCAGTATTTTTATGTATATTTGTCACTTGATCCTCACAATGCATCTGAAGAGAAGGTTTTGAATTTGTGGAGGCAGTGCTGCATATGGTTAAAGAACACTGACTAGCTGCCTGCGTGAGTTCTCCCTATAACTAGGTATGGGTATTGGGCAAGTACTTCACATCTGTTTCAGTTCTCACCTATGAAATGTGGGTAAAACTAGTACCCAACTCAAAGAGCTGGCATGGGGATTAAATTCCAAAGAACATTCATTGTCCTTTCCACTCAGTTCTTTCCTCCTTTCTGGGGAACTGTTTCACTCCCCAAGGTGGAAATAACCACTCCTTCCCCTGGATTCTATGCACAGTACATGTTATGATAATTCTACCCACTGTTTATCATGCTGTCATTTCTTGTTTTCATATTTCCTCCACTATACTACAAGCTAGTAATCACATATTATTACTATGTATATTAAGACAGGACTGTGTACTTATGCTTATATCTCAAACTTAGAATAATGCTAGACACATAGTAAATGTTAAATAAACAATTGTTGACCTAACCCTCTGCTTCCACTAAAGCAATGGACAAGTTTTCTATTGATTAAACTCAATTTCTTTCAACTGTTTCTCAAACCAAACAGTATTTTAACTAAAGAATTGTTTAGATTATGCAATTCTTGTGAGTATATGCTTATTGCAGACTGTAGTCTTTTGAATATAAAATATATTGGTTCTAGGCCTGGAAAAGCGAAAGTTTTAATGCCTATGAAGATTAAAAGAAAACTATATATGAGATTACTGGATTATTTTTTATAGGTACAATTAATCATTTATTAATCATTTCAAATGCTCTACTCTCTGAAATCTAAGAAACTGGAACATCAATTAAATTGGGGGTTCTGATAACCTGATACATGACACTAAAGATAGTTCTCATTTCACTAAACATCATTTCAAACCTATAAAATCTTCATATTAGTTAAGAACTATAGAAAAATTATGCACTATCTGAAAAAAAGTAGGCGATTTTATAAGCCAGATGGGATATTTGTCATTTCTGAGACTGTTTTAATCATTCCATATAAATTGTCATTTTTATAGCACAAAAAAATCTTTTTCAATAGATTTTTCTATAAAAAGATGAAACTAAACTATGTTTACCTTTTGGAAAGTCGATACAGGTGAAACAGCAAACATATTTCCCTCTCCAAACACTTCTGCCCAATTCCTTTGAGACGCTTTCATTCTGTTTTTAAAATGGTATTCATTATCAGGATTGAAAGCCTAGATTCAAAGAGAACAGAGAAACATTATTATCTATTTCTATAGCAACACATATTAGCATGAGAAAAAAAGATAAAAATATAGCCTTAGACTCCCCTCATTAATGGATCTTTCAAGAATACACAGAAAGCATACGGCTTAGCTAGTGCAGAGGCGCTGAAAACTAATGTGCCGTTCTCCTGTCCTGTTCAGTGTTCCCTATGAGGGAAGAGGAGGTGGCAACAGGATGAGGTCTTACTCAAGGCACTGTGATGCCAATGTCCCAGGTGTGCTAGGGCTACTGGGGACAAGATGAGCAACAGAGGCACTGAAGGCAGAAGTCAGGAGGGGAAAATATGAGGGTCCCTTCTTCATGCAGCTGCTGTTACCTTTTGGGGGAAAAGGCCAGAAACCAAACTACATCTACATGAACACTCCATATGAAAGTACTTAAGAATGAATAATCAGGAAGAGATAAGGGAAAGGCATTTAATAAGTTGAAAAACCCATTACAATTAGGAAAGTAATTCCTACAAACCAAGAACACAAGATGGTTGCTCTGCTTTTAAAATAAAGACAAAGTATCCTAATATCCTTAATGATAAAATCATTATGATTCATTATTAATTACCAGTCAGAGAACAGTAAGTATTTTAAACAAAATCAAAACATAAAGTACTTCATTTTAGAAATACTATACCATTGTAAGCACACCCAGGAGACCAATGGGAATTGGATCTTGTTTTATTCTCTCTGCAACCAGCTCTATTAATAGCATTAACATGTTGTAGATTCCTTCATGAATTTCAGTACCCCACTTGTGAACAGCACTTGACGTCAGGAGCTATGAAAACATAAAGGATAGTCTAGAGTCTAACTTGAAAAAAGAAAATATATCTACAATTTACCAGGTCCATCTCAAATAATTGAGAGATTATGATGAAAATACTTTTTCAATGCAGATGATTGGCTTTTAAAAGACCCATAGCTGTAGTTCATCTACTTGCCCATTTATTTCAAAGTCAATACAGAGTTTGGCTTTTGAATTTTAATTCTCTTGCACTAAAGCACTTTGTTTAAAAGAAAAACTTTATTTGGTCCTCTACTTTTCATAATTACTAGGGGAGGTCAAATGGTACAGAGCAAAGTAAAAACTTAAAATCAATTCCAGTATTACTGTTTTCTAGCTGTGTGGCCCGGAAAAAATCTACATGAGTTCTCAAAGGCTCGGTTCTTTCATCTCTAAAGAGGCATAATTCCTATCCACTTCACACAAATGTTATGAGGACTAAAAGATACAACAAACATGCAAGCATTTTATAAATGGTAAGGCATTATTAATATATCTTGATGGCTGGCTGCCCATATTAACATTTCTGGAACCTAAGAAATGAATGCTGTATTACATGGATTCTAACAAACATATCCTTTGAACATTTTTTAACATCTCAGAAATAGGATAACATTTTTTTCTACCTGTTGACTAGATGACAGCAGGACTCAGAATGTGAAAAAAAAAAATCTTAGAAACACCTTAACAGTTTATTTTGCTTACATTTTCCTTTTTAGTATGTACAAAATAATATTTAATTTTTGAAATGTTTAAGCAAGTCTAAAATAGCTCTAAGTCTTAAGACATTCAACTGTTTACTTTGTCGCTATGTTTCTTAAATATAAACAAATGTAAAACAATGGTACAAATCTTATAACTAGATAGCTTCTTAGATTCCTTAAAATGTAGAGAAGATGGATGTCTTCTGGTCTTTGGGGAAGTGAAGAACAAGTACCAATATAAAAAATGAGAAATCAAAGGATTTCACTTAAATTGATATGGTGGTTTCATGTTTTTGTAAGATTTTTCAAAGGGAAAATACTATGTAACAAAAACTTCATCTTGGCCATACTGAGAACCTCTTTTTTAGAGTAGGCTGGAAGAGCCCAAACTGTAATAGCTACAGAGAAAAACCTCAGTTCCAGATTTTCTAAATACTAATTAGCCACAGTATTTGCTCAAATTAGCAAAAGTCATAAGATTGATTTTATACAAACCAACAAGCTACTGTTTTTGCAGAATTTTTTTTGCCTGACTACATATCCCTCCTATACTTAAAAATTAAATAATGAAGCAAAACAAAGCAGAGATTAACATTTGAGAAACTTCAACTGATTACACAACAAAAATGTATGTGGATTAAGCACCAATCCCTCTGGAGCCATTCCATTTGCCCATTTTTCATTTTGAAAATACAATTCTGTCTACATTCTAGAAGAGACAGGGAAAGGCAGGAAGTACCTCGTGGGGAAGATGCACACAAGGTTTAAACATAACCATGCATTAAGGCCAAACCTGAATTATATTTTCTGCCTGAATATACTAGAGTAAAATATCCAGGCTAGCCTGAAGGTAAAAGGTGAAGAAGGTGGAAATGACAATAAGTTCCTTTGTGCACCTTATTCATGCAATCATATATTACTCATACCCTTCCTTCAAAAAGAAAATGTGAGGCAGCTTATGAGAAAAGCCTGGAGAACTGGGGAGAGGGATGGTCACTGAACCAGGAAACAAAGCTAGGGAAGTAGTACCAATTATATCAAATCCTCCTGAGTTTTCTGGCAGACAAGCCTAAAGGCACACAGAACTCTGTAGCTCTTCTGATTTCATAAAAGATGACAGGAAGGAGAACCTTTTTAATAGCTCTAAAGTGCAAACTGAGTAACATAAGACAGGATACCTTTGTACTCACAGTTTTACAGAAAAACAACCAACCATGTGACCATTTATTATACTGCTACTAACAGCTGAGGGCATGAGACAAAACAGTTTTCTGAAGTATCTCTGCAGAGAGTTAAGAGTATGATACTCCAAATGTGCAACTTGCTGGTGAACGGACTGGATACAGGAATTTCTGGATCTGGAGATCCTCCACCTTTCCTTAGACAAGTAAGTCCTTTTCCACAACTCTGAATACATTTTTCATTTTAAGTTTATAAATCTACTGTGATATGTGTCACAGTATGTTATATTATAACAATTTGCTATTTTTATTTTATTTTATTTTAAATTTTGTAGAGACAGGGGTCTCACTATGTACCTAGGCTGATCTTAAACTCCTGGCCTCAAGATGTCCTCCCACTTTGGCCTCCCAAAGTCCTGGGATTATAGTGTGAAGCACTGTGCTTAGTCAATTTTGCATTTTTTAAAAAGCTGCTATAATTCTTAAAAGTTTAAAATTATTTTAAACTACAAATTGATAGATGAGCTAATCTAAAATAGAGATAAATCTTGATTTCATATAATCTCTGCCCAAATGACAAGTTGAAAAGTCTTCTCCCTTTTTTCAAATATGAAGCTATATTGCTTATAAAATTAATTTTATTATTTTTAAAGGCTCGAATCAAAGGAGACTCTGTCTACCAAAATGCAGCTGGGAATAACAATTTGCAAAGGAACTGTTTGCTTTTCTGCATCTTAAGATAAATACAAACATTACCCATCTGTAGTTCTAGTGACTTATTTGTATACTGGAAAAAATGGATGTCAAAAATCCAAAAGTTAAGTCAGTAAAATAATCATTCATTCATCTTCTTCTGAGCTCTTTCTATGAGCTGGGCACTTAGTTACATGTTGGGGGAAAATAGCAGCATCTTAACAGACTTGCTCTTATGAGGATTCAACTCACCTGCTAAAAAGGGAGGCTGATTTGGTCTGCTTTTAGAAACACAATTCTTGTGATCTCCTATTCCCATTGTTAAGAAACACTACTTTCTAAGACATATGGCAAGCATATCACTCTGGCTCAGAAGAGATGCTGCCATATGCACGCTATTTTGGCAGTGAGAGTACCTGGTCAATCTTTCAGTAGTTTAAAATGTCTTCTCCTGTCTCACACACTTAAAGCAGCTCATATTTTGATAAGTGTATACTGTATTTCTGTGTGCCACAAGTCTTTGTTTACTAATATGTGCAATATCCCAGTATAATTAAGTCTTAACCTATTCTTTAGCAATTAAATAGTAGGAAGTATTTATTATTAATAAAAGTTGTATTTAATCAGAGATACATGCAGACAATATAAAAGAAGTAAATCATTCATAAGCCCCAAATTCAGAGCTCCTTTTTTTTATATTAGAGGATTCCTCAGTTAAACAAGATTCATAAACTGGTCTTACACATAAAAACTCAAATTACAACAAAAAGCTTCTCTTCCTTCACCCCACCGCCACAAACCAAAATCACATCAGCTCATTCTTACCTTTTTAAATGCTTCAGGCATACACCTATCCATAAATCTTTTACAATTCTCATCAGACTCAGAAAGACCTTAGCAAAATAAAAATATTTTATTCAGATCTTTGGTAGTTTGTAAAAATCATATACATCATTCTAAATTCATAAATACGGAACTATGTCATAGCAACCTTAATTCTTAATAAATTATTAAAAGTAGAATATATATCTTTGATGAAGAAAAGGCTGAGAAACAACCACAGCATTAGATTAAACTTGTGCTTCTATGTCAGTATAATTTCAATGATCTGATTAAATAGCTAATAAAACACCAACAGCTGCTACTTACTAGCCATTATTATTTCCCTAAAAAGTTCTACAGGAACACAAATATTTTCTAATCCCAGAACTTTGAGAGGCCAAGGCAAGAGGATCACTTGAGCCCAAGGGTTTGAGACCAGCCTGGGCAACACAGTGAAACCCTGTCTCTACAGAAAATAAAAAGCCAGGTGTGGTAGTGCTTGCTTGTTGTCCCAGCTACTTGGGAGGCTAAGGTGGGAGGATCACTTGAGCCTGAGAGGTTCAGGCCGCCGTGAGCCATGATTGTGCCACTGCACCACAGCCTGAGCAACCCTGTCTCAAAAACTAAAAAACAAACAAAAAGAGCCCCACCCACAAATATGTGCAATAAATGCCGAAGTCACTCTTCTTCCTTAAAACAAACCAATGAACTCCGTTACACAGATTTGTGCCTGGCACAATTCACATAGTAAGTGATAAATACCAATTTAATTCCCTGTAAAATCATCTTTTGGAAAAAGCACATTTCTTTATTAGACTCAGTAATGGATTTTGCTTATCATTGGGAATACTGCTAAACACATTCATTTTTTTTTTTCAGACCCACTGCTTAGCCTAGTACCTAGATCCTAACAGGAGCTCAATACAAAATTGGCTGAGAAGCCAATCAGAAATACACCATAAAAGGATATTAGGGTTAAATCTAAACCTAGTCAAAATATTTCCTTTTGATATATCTTGCATTTATTCATAGGAGTAAACTATGCATACTCTTAATAAGAAAAAAATTCCACAGAACAGTGGCCCTATTCATAACTGAATTCAATACGAAAAATAAGTTATTTTCTCTTTTTTAGTACAGACCCCCATTCTTCACACCTAATGATATTTTATTATTCTACTAACTTAATATTTTTAAAGCTTAAAACAATGTTGTGCACTTAATAAGCACAACAAATTGGTTAACTATTACTTTCTTCTCTTAAAAAAGAAAAGCTATTGAATTGAGCCTTAATTTAAAGTACTCCAAGCTTCTGTAGAAAAAGTTAATTTCAATTTCCATTAAGCTTTTCAATTATATTTTAAATAATCTTATACTCTATCAAAGGTAGAAGCAAACAGTAAATTTAGTTGAAAGCTTTTCTTCTGCCGGAGATAAGTGAAGACTAAGAGAATAAATGATCTGTCCAATATCAGACAGCTAGGCAACAACAAAGGCCTTCATTAAACTCAGGCCTTCTGTGAAACAAATGTCCACAAACAAATGTTCTGATGTCTGAAAACTTACCAAGTCTTGCTAGGTAGGTAGATGCCAACAGGCACTTGCCTAGTGATTCTTCTCGCTTGTAAGGGATGGACCAATGATCAGTCAAAACACGGCTTTCCAGTTCATATAAATTTGTTGTAGGGAATTCAATTCCTTCCCCTGAGCAGTTTCCATTTTCATCATTCTTCTGACAAAAAGGGGTAAGATAAAAAGCAAATAAACTAATCAGTGATTACTCGAAAAATTTCATATGTAACACAGAGTAGATACTTCATCAATGGTAGCTATTAACACCAATACTGTGGATTCTATCTTTCTTTCTTATAATCACATCTTTCACCAATAATATCTCAAATATTCTCAACTTTTATCATTCTGGCAACCCTACTTGCTCTCTCGGAAGGTGACCTCATCTCTTTCTTTAAAAATGAACTGTACAGTCGTCTGTCTATCTTGTTGATCTTTTCAAAAAACCAGCTCCTGGATTTATTGATTTTTTTAAGGGTTTTTTGTGTCTCTATCTCCTTCAGTTCTGCTCTGATCTTAGTTATTTCTTGTCTTCTGCTAGGTTTTGAGTTTTTTTGATCTTGCTCCTCTAGCTCTTTTAATTTTGACAACAGGGTGTCCATTTTAGATCTCTCCTTTCTTCTCATGTGGGCATTTGTTGCTATATATTTTCCTCTAGAGACTGCTTTAAATGTGACCAAGAGAGTCTGGTATGTTGTGTCTTCATTCTCGTTGGTTTTGAAGAACAACTTTATTTCTGCCTTCATTTCATTGTTTATCCAGTCAACATTCAGGAGCCAGTTGTTCAGTTTCCATGAAGCTGTGCAGTTCTGAGTTGGTTTCTGAATTCTGAGTTCTAAGTTGATTGCACTGTGGTCTGAGAGACTGTTTGTTATGATTTCCATTCTTTTAAACAACTCTATGCACATAAACTAGTAAACCTGGAAGAAATGGATAAATTCGTGGACACTTGAATCCTCCCAAGCCTAAACCAGGAAGAAGTCGAAACCATGAATAGACCAATAACAAGGTCTGAAGTTGAGGCAGCAACTAAGAGCCTACCACCCAAAAAAGCCCAGGTCCAGAAGGGTTCACAGCCAAATTCTACCAGACATACAAAGAGGAGCTGGTACCATTCCTTCTGAAACTATTCCAAACAATCCAAAAAGAGGGAATCCTTCCCAAATCATTTTATGAGACCAACATCATCCTGATACCCTTACCCAGCAGAGACTCAGCAAGAAAAGAAAACTTCAGGCCAATATCCATGATGAACATAGATGCAAAAATCTTCAATAAAATACTGGCAAGCTGATTGCCACAGCACATCAAAAAGCTTATCCACCACGATCAAGTAGGATTCATCCCAGGGATGCAAGGCTGGTTCAACATACGCAAGTCTATAAACGTAATTCACCACATAAACAAAACCAAAGACAAAAACCACATGATTGTCTCAATTGATGCAGAGAAGGCCTTTGACAAAATTCAACAGCCCTTTATGCTGAAAACCCTCAATAAACTAGATATGGATGGAACGTATCGCAAAATAATAAAAGCTATTTACGACAAACCCACAGCCAATATCACACTGAATGGGCAAAAACTGGAAGCATTCCCTTTGAAATCTGGCACTAGACAACGATGCCCTCTCTCACCACTCCTATTCAATATAGTACTGGAAGTTCTAGCCAGAGCAATCAGGCAAGAAAAAGAAATAAAGGGTATTCAAACAGGAAAGGAGGAAGTCAAATTGTCTCTATTTGCAGAAGACATGATTGTATATCTAGAAGACCCCATCACCTCAGCCCAAAAACTCCTGAAACTGATAAGCAACTTCAGCAAAGTCTCAGGATACAAAATCAATGTGCAAAAATCACAAGCATTCCTCTACACCAATAACAGACAAAGAGAGCCAAATCAAGAATGAACTGCCATTCACAATTGCTACAAAGAGAATAAAATACCTAGGAATACAACTAACAAAGGATGTAAAGTACCTCTTCAAGGAAAACTGCAAGCCACTGCTCAATGAAATAAGAGAGGACACAAACAGATGGAGAAACAGTCCATGCTCAAGGTTAGGAAGAATCAATATCGTGAAAATGACCATACTGCCCAAAGTAATTTACAGATTCAATGCTATCCCCATCAAGCTACCAATGACCTTCTTCACAGAACTGGAAAAAACCACCTTAAACTTCATACGGAACCAAAAGAGAGCCCGCATAGCCAAGTCAATTCTAAGCAAAAAGAACAAAGCGGGAGGCATCACACTACTGGACTTCAAACTATACTACAAGTCTACAGTAATCAAAACAGCATGGTACTGGTACCAAAACAGAGATAGAGACCAATGGAATAGATCAGAGGCCTCGGAGGCAATGCCACACATCTACAACCATCTGATCTTTGACAAATCTCACAAAAACAAGCAATGGGGAAAGGAGTCCCTGTTTAATAAACAGTGACGGAAAAACTGGCTAGCCATGTGTAGAAAGCAGAAACTGGACTCCTTCCTGACACCTTACACTAAAATTAACTCCAGATAGATTAAAAATTTAAACATAAGACTTAACACCATAAAAACCCTAGAAGAAAATCTAGGCAAAACCATTCAGGACATAGGCGTAGGCAAGGACTTCGTGACCAAAACACCAAAGGCACTGGCAACAAAAGCCAAAATAGACAAATGGACCTAATCAAACTCCACTGCTTCTGCATGGCAACAGAAACAGTCATTAGAGTGAATCGGCAACCAACAGAATGGGAAAAAATTTTTGCAGTTTACCCATCTGACAAAGGGCTGATATCCAGAATTTACAAAGAACTAAAACAAATTTACAAGAAAGAAACAAGCCCATTCAAAAGTTGGTGAAGGATATGAACAGACACTTTATAAAAGAAGACATACATGAGGCCAACAAACACGAAAAATGTTCATTATCATTAGAGAAATGCCAATCAAAACTACATTGAGATACTATCTCACGCCAGTTAGAATGGCAATCATTAAAAAATCTGGAGACAACAGATGCTGGAGAGGATATGGAGAAACAAACACTTTTACACTGTTGGTGGGAGTGTAAATTAGTTCAACCACCGTGGAAGACAGTGTGGCAATTCCTCAAGGACCTAAAATTGAAATTCCATTTGACCCAGCAATCCCATTACTGGGTATATATCCAAAGGATTATAAATCGTCCTACTATAAGGACACAGGCATACGAATGTTCATTGCAGCACTGTTTACAATAGCAAAGACCTAGAACCAACCCAAATGCCCACTGATGATAGACTGAATAGAGAAAATGTGGCACATATACACCATGGAATATTATGCAGCCATCGAAAACGATGAGTTTGTGTCCTTTGTAGGAACATGGATGAACCTGGAGACCGTCATTCTCAGCAAACTGATGCAAGAACAGAAAATAAAACACTACATGTCTCACTCATAGGTGGGTGTTGAACAATGAGAACACATGGACACAGGGAGGGGAGCATCACACACTGGGGTCTGTCGGGGGGAAATAGGGGAGGGACAGCAGGGAGTGGGGAGTTGGGGAGAGAGAGCATGGGGTGAAATGCCAGATATAGGTGATGGGGAGGAAGGCAGCAAATCACACTTCCATGTGTGTACCTACACAACAATCTTGCATGTTCTTCACATGTACCCCCAAAGCTAAAATGCAATTTAAAAAACTTAAAAAAAAATAAACCAATGAATGTAGGAAAAAAAAAATGAACTGTACAGACAGGGCGAGGTGGCTCATGCCTGTAATCCTAGCACTTAGGGAGGCCAAAGTGGGAGGATCACTTGAGCTCAGAAGTTCAAGACCAACCTGGGCAACACGGTGAGACCCTGTCTCTTTCTCGCTCTCTAAAAATAAAAATAATGGTAATAATAATAAACTGTCCATTTCTCATGATAAAATATCAAAGTTGCCTTCATCAACAGCCCTTCTGTTTTCACCTCTCTTTTCTCACTGAGGGGATAAATTCTTCAAAGAGGTATCTATATTTGCCATCGTCATCTCCACACCACACACACTGTCAGGATTCATTCCTGACAATACACCAATCTTCATTTCAGAGTCCCCTATTCTCCAAAATGGCTACTATGAAGGTCACCACTGAACTTTATTTCACTAAATCCAATTATGTCTCAGTCCTAACTTTACCTCTTAGGAGTATCTGACCTTCCGCCTTCTCCCTCCTCTTGACATGCTGGCTTCTCCTCCCTGCCTCCTAGAACAGCACACACTCTGTTCTCCTCCCATGAGTCTGGCTGTTCTAGTCTGTCTCCTCTTCTGGTACACCTTCTTCTTCCTAGTCACCAAATATTTGAGTTCCTCAGACCCCAGTGTTACGCCCTCTTCTTTTTTGTTCCCATCTATTTCCCTGGTTGACTGAATTCACCCTCCAAATCTCAATTACCTCCTATCTGTAGATGCCTCATACGTATCTATCTCCAGCTTAGACCTCTCCTATGAGCTTCAGGCCCACAAATGAAACTGTCTGCTTGACATCTTCTCTAATTCAATGTTTGCCCCAAACCAAATTCATGATCTTTCCCCCATAAATCCTGGTCCACTTCTCGTGTTCTTCATCCCAGTGAATGGCAGCAGATTCAACTAGTAGCATAGCCAGAAGCCAGGGGATCATTCTAGACACTTTGTTCTCCCATCCCCATCCCCAGGATCTGGTGATTGGAACCCACACATTTCTCTCCAATTCCTCCTACTTCTGTCTATCTCCACAGTTACCACCTAGCCCCGGTTTATGCCTAGATTACTTCACCAGCTTCCTGCCTGGTCTCCCTCTACCTCATAAACACATTTACTCTCCACACTGATCTTCATAAAGCACTAATCTGACATTAACCTTAAAATCTTCATGGCTTCCTTTTGTTCTTAAGAGAAGTCTAAATCATGTTTAAAATATTTTACAAGGCCTTGAATAGTCTAGCCTCTAACTCTCTCTCTCCAGCTTTCTGCACTCCAGATCATTTCTCTGGGATTTAGCTTATGGTCTGGCATAAAGCTCCCTGTATCAGACTATTTTCCCAAAAGGCCACAGCAGTATTTCTGGCCCCACATACTCTTCCAGAACCTTGTCACTCTTCATCATAAAGTGGCATTTACTTCCCCTGGATCTGAACCAGGGTGGAACTATGTG